GATGGGCAGAGTCGTGCTTCGTCTCCAGAAGGGTCGAGGAAAGGGGAACGAGCAACCAAACAACGTCGGCAGAGGGACACGAAGGGAAAGGGCAGGGAGAAAGAAGCGGGGAGTCTCGCCCGGAGGTGAAGGAGAGCAAGGGCAAGGGCTACAAGCGCGTCACGAAGCGTGCGCTCAGATTCCGCGCCGGCATGGGCAGCGCCAAGGACGCGGACTGGTTTCTAGCAATCCGGAAGACGCTCGAGGCGAACATGCAGCACGCAGACCTGTTCCCGCCCGGGCGAACCTGGTGGGCTATACGGGACGGGGACCTCCACCCGAGCAATCGCTCGACGGCGCCGGCGGGGGTAGGGCAACACGCTGGGGAGAAAGTGCGGCTTTTCGAAGTGTTGGATGCGAGGAAGGTGTTCGGGCAGATTGTGGTGTTGAATCCAGTCTCACAGGCAAGTTCTTGCACATCGATCCGTATCTGTTATCGTCATATATGAATTTAGAGAGATCGCCTGAGTAGAATAGCTAGGGTTGCCTTCGAATAACGTTGCTTGTGATTCGTTCAGACCCGATGAGATTCGGGCAGAGTGTGTATCGGACCGGATGTATTAGAATGCTTGGGCTTCGGGATCCGGGGACAATCCGTACGATTCCCGAGGCTCTCGGCGACATTCATGCTACATTAAGTCACATCCTACATTAGCCGGGAGAACCGATGAGATTCTGCTTCAACACCTCGCCAAATGGTGGCTATGTAGTTAAGTCTCAAAATCGTGTATGACCGCAGTTGTCCCCGGATGACAGCGAGGTCCTGCGTGGTCGCTTCACTCTTGTGCTTCGGTCGCTTATGCTGCAATTCCTCCTGCAACATCCTGTGTGAACTGCCCTCAAACTTGGTCGTTTTCACTGGGAGTCACTAGTCACTAGTACTGAAACCCTCTTGAACACGACTTCGAGTCGGAGCCGGGCGCGCCGAGGTTGACGTGAGCTCACGTTCTTCTTTACTGCTTTCATCATCCACGGCCCACGAATCAAGCACGCTGTTTGCCATGCGATTCTTGAGGCTCTACCATCGCCATCGACCATCATGTGGTTGGACGGAAAAGCCTCGTTGGTGAAGACGCTCTTGTGGCCGGTAGACGACCCTTTCCTGACAAAGCACGCGGGGACGCGCCGGCGGCGAGAGGGATGGTCGTTAATGGACGATTTGGTTATGTATTGGATCGCCTTTCTACCATCCGGGGATACAGAGCCAGCGAGGACTATCGTTTACAAAGCTGATTTGGTCGCGGTTCGGAATATGCAATCGCAGGAGGTTCGCTTGCAACAGTTCGTCGAGCTGAATTATGTCATCCATCGTTTGGCCGTCGTACCAAACCTTGGGTTCGCCACTGCCGAATGGAAGTAAGCACAGACGGCGTTCGTGTTGTCACTGCTTCTAAATTGGATTCAAGGAACGCTACCCTCCACTTCCGGGCGTGTAACTCAAGCGGAGCTCTCGTCCGCGAGCAGGAGATTCCGGCTCAGGCAGCATACGGAGATTTATCAATCTACCAATCTACCGTTTCCCTGTGTATCACTTCAATGGAACCCCCTGCTCCTGAGTGGTTGGATATTCCTTCTCATGTTCACTATCTTCGTCTTGATTATCTCGCTGGATATACTACCGATTTACCCCGTGACCTCGCTGCGGACACGATCGCCACCTGGAACATGGAAGACGGCTCTTTGAGCATGGTTAAGATCCCTCAGACGCAACTAGGCAGAATTGAGGTTCGTGAAGGCATAGATGGTTGTTGGACATTTACCATTCTGACGGAGATATACTCGTGCAGCATTCGGCGGATTTTCAATACATTCACGCTTCGCAGATCGTCTTGGCCAGCAGTCTCGCGTTCAACCCTAAGGGAGCGGTTCTGTCTAGCTTTTCGACGGCACAGGACGGCGCTGGGCAACCTCTGAAATTCTATGAAGGACAGCACACCGATCCGCACTCTATAAGCAACTATCTTGGTCATTCAAGCACCGCGGTTGCTCGGCCCATAGTCGTTCACAATCACGATAGTGGTAGTCGGATTACCGTTTTCAGAAGCGAGATACTAACCGGGGATATACCGGTACGTTACATGGCACTCATCCGATGATGGGGGGTGCTGATACCGATTACAGTCAAAGGCTACAACAAGAGATCCACCTGGGCTTCGTGAAGCCTTTCAGTATCCCAACGAGTCCCGGACACTTGGATTTGCGCTTTCGAAGGGACCATCTATCTCCGGAACGCGTGTGCTGGTGCACAAAATGAGTCATGACGGATGCGCTGCGGTGTACATGCTGGATTTCGATCAGGATCTTGTTGCATCGCTGTTGGCGAAGAGCGATGCGGAGAGGAGGGAGTGGGATGTCTTCCTGAAGGCGAACGGAAGTCAGATCAAGATCGTTACCCGGAGATTCTATCACAGCGTCGACGGAGAAATATACGACCAGGAGTACCTTTGGCCTCAGGAAGCTCCCCAGGAATGGCAGGCGCACCTTGACACCATTATGAAGAGCGAGTCAGACGAGGAACTCAGTGATAACAGTGACGACGAAGGCGTGGAGAAGCAGCTGTCGGGCGTTGAATACGATGAAGCGCCAGAGGAACATCGGAGTCCCATGCCATTTGGCTACGTGCAAACTGCAATTCACCTGGGAGAGGGCGTGAAGTGGGACCAGTTAGCTATGACACCGCATGCACTCGTCGAGTTACCTCATCCCACGCACGAAGGCCGTATCGTATATTTCGATTAAATATGAGATGTGAGACCACAAATTTGACAGACCCTGGACAACACAGGACGGCGATACAGACGGTAAGATATCTTAACCAACGCACAAGTTTTCCCCCGGTATGAGATCACAAGTCGAGTTCAGGAAGGGGTTAAGGGCGTTTAACTGGGCCTGTGTCACACCCTGACTTTGCGTAACTGCGAAGCAAAAATCGCCACTCTCGACGGTGTAGATCTTGTTGCACGGGTTCCCGCCGCCGCCCACGCAATATGCTTCACCAAGCAGAATATTGGTGCAATCGGACGACACTTCGGGGTTCCTGCAGCCATATCCATGAGCATTACGAGGAACAAGGATGTTCATTGCACTTACCAGCGGAAAAAGTCGGTGGCTGCGATAGAATACGTGGTCTCGATGGACGGGCAATTATCTCCGGAGATGATTGTATGATAACTTGTGCAATTTCCGAGCGACCCACTCGCCAGATTGTCAGGGGGTCCGTCGCCATCGCCCGCACCCGGGTCTTCGCCCGTTGTCAAGTTACTTCGAACGCAATACGCTAGATCAAGTTGTAGATTGGAACAGTCGGCATTGATCTCGGGGTTGTACGTCAGGAATTCCGTGTTCGTCAAGTTGAACTCGACTTCAATGGGTCCACAGCTATCACCAGTGACCACGGTGTAGTATTGCAAACAACCGTCCGTGATTGTACCAGGAGCAACGTTGGGCGGGACTCCCGACCCATCGTCAATGTTGGAGATGGGGAAAGTGGGGAATACGCAGTATGCTTCGCCCAGAATAAGGTTTGTGCAATCGGTCATCAAGCCTGGGTTCAACTCCGCGAATTGAAGACTGGTTATGCCGAACTCGTCGGCGATAGAAGAGCATCCGTCGCCTGCTTGTACGGTATAGAACTCAGCGCATGCTTTAGTCGCATTCGGATAGGCATTGACGGGAGCAATGGCGGGGAATAAGGTATAGTTCCCCAGCGGAAATACTATGCAGATGGCTGATCCGATCTGAGGGAGTGATCCACTGGCGATTTCGGGGTTCCAAGACTCGAGATCACTAGCATTCACGCCTACCAGTGTAGACACGGAATCAATCGTATCACCATCCTACGACCAGTGGATATATAAGTCAAACCACAAGAACCAGCTTCAGATCAAACCATACCTGAATAACGTAGTAGTTCCCACACGCCACGGTACGCGTTCCGTCCGCGACATTCGTAGGCGCCGATATGCCAGCTGTAGTGAGAGCAACGAGATAGGTCGTTGGTGTATAGTTATCCGATGGAATGGTGTAACTGATCACAGTGGCGCTGGAATAATTGGTCGTTACAACAGGTGATACAGTGATCGAAGCGAAGGGTGGGTAAGGAGCGACGCAGTAGTAGTAGTCCAACCACAAATTAGTGCAGTTTTCATCAATTTCTGCAATGCGGTGTGAGCCAGGAAGTATCGTCTGGAGGATCAATCTCACTCACGGGGATTGAGAGTTTGGAAATCCGCAAGAGATACGCTGTTGGCAAGAGCGACCGTTTGACAAATATCTCCACTTTGAACTTGATACCATCTTCCACATGCCGTCGTTGTTCCGCTGACGGTCGGTGTGGGTAAGGGAGCCAAAGCCGTGGGCGTTGCGGACGGTTGAGCTCCTGTGGTGGCGCCAAGCTTCGGGAAGCCGCCATTCGGTGACAAGCAAATAAGCTTGCCGACTCGGAGCGCCATCAATTGACAATAAGTTCCTAGGTCAGGGTTGAATGACTGTAACTGCGTGGTCGTCACGCTGATTCCAGCTTGGGATGCTGCAACGGCAGCGACACTGTCGCAAGTATCATTTGCTGCGATGGTGTAAGTGTTGCATGCTTGTGGTACGCAAAGAATAGTGTTGGCAGCGATGTCGCAATCGGCCAAGGATGGGTTCGACGCTAATACCGAGTACTCGCTGACGTTGTATCGCTAAGAACTCCATCAATATGGCTAGGAGGACGTCGGCGCAATCCCGAAGTCATACCTCTGCTACTTCAGCACAAGTAGTGGCCGTGCTCGTAGTCACGTTGCGCCCCACAATACTGCAGTCCGCGGCAGGAGCTGCACTTGAATTTGCCCCAAAGCCCGTAACACCGGGATCAAAAATGACCTGGCCGCCCGGAGCAGAAGAGATGTTGTACGAGTCGAATTGCCTAGGGAAACATTGAGCCCTTCCCGTATTATAATCAAACACCACTCACGGGCCACACAAGTCAATAGCCGATGATAGAAGTGTAGCGATAGCTACAGAGTAGGTTGCTGGGTTGGATGAGGTAATATTTAACGTTTCCAACACACAGTAGGTGCACAATTGGTCTTTCGGGATCGACAGCAGCCCTCCTGTGGCATTGTATGACTGGATTATGGGGCCACAGAACGCAGAGGTTTGTGGGTCTTGAAGGCATTGTGTCATGTACGGGCCCCGGACATAATCGACGGCCAAAGTAGGGGAGATTGTGACGTTTCCGGAACCAGAAATTCTGTAGCCACCGCATGCAGATATGACCCCCGCGCGATACGAATCCAGTCCGACTGAACAGTCAGCCGTGCATACGGAGCTCAGAACATCGTTGAACATGTATGGGCTGATTCTAAGATTGCGTCATATGTTGCCGCTTCTGTTGAAGAAAGCTGGGATATACTCACGCCATGAGAGGGATCGTTGAATTGCAAGGTATAGTAGTCACCAGCGCATTAGCGCACGCATTGGGAGGAACTGGGTCCGTTGGTATAGTGTCGTTAACGTATATCTGAAGTGAAGCGCTATCGTCTGCGGCTAAGACGTCGCCATTGATACCCGATAAGACCGTCGCATTTTCCTCAACGCCTGTGGATTCGGACGGTACGCTGCTCGGGGTAGGACTAGCTGATGCTCTAGCGGAGGCCAGCTGTTTGAGGAGGCCATCATGAAACGCGGTGTCGTGTGCCGTTGCATGCCCTAGGAGATCGCCACGGAGGTTCGAGCGGGCGACGCCAACATACAGCGCCAGTACGTTTAGAAGGGGGAGCGAAAAAGTTAGAAGGGAGACCATCCCTAGAGCTAGACGTGGTGGCAGCCCATCCCCTCATGCCCAAGTACCATCATCCGAGACGTTTTACTGCAGCATTGCTCCGCGGGATCCTCTGCTGTCGGGCGGGTCGGCGTCAATGTGCCTGTAGCACAAGCAGGAAACGATAGATCTGCATGCTCGAATCGCCACCGACGAGAAATTAATGCGAGGCCATCAGCATCAGAGGGACAATGGGCGCGTCAAAGCAGTAGATTTGACAACAGCTGGGCGAAACGGGATCGGTTACTCGCGGTCATCGCCCGAACCTTGAACCAGAACATTGAGTTTCGGGTACTGCTCTCAAATGGCCCTGGTCCCTAGATCGACAGACGGGATCATATTGAACGCAGAGATGGACGTTATGCTCTTCATTCACGGTCTAGGTGCTCGCATCAACTCATTTCCGGTGGCTCTCTGAGGCGTCGGCGATTCCGGCCTGCGACAGCTTGTTCCATCTCTATCTTCCCAAGCAGTCGAATACGATGGCAAGCCACACATGCTACCCGACGTAGCACTCGACAGAGGACGATTATCCCGGCTCGTACGGACTCATGGATAGCTAAGACGAGTAAGATGCTATAAGTCTGCCAGCGACGGATAGAGATCCCCGTGTTCTCTGCCATGCTGCATACATGGTACCTCCTACAATTACCGCTCCTCATCGGCGTTCCTTGTAAGGATATGCTACAACTCCCGCTGATTTGCATTCTGACATAAAAATGTATGTATTAGCCCTCTTGAACGGCGTGCTCGCACAGACTCCGGACAACACCACCACGCTCCCTGTTGGAAGCTGTACCGCTACGATACCTTGCTCCAATGGTGCTTGCTGCAATGCCCAAACCGGATTCTGCGGGTATGTTATGCCAAGCGACTCAATAGTGCCATACTTATCTCAGTCTATGCATAGCTTTGGCCCAAACTTTTGTACGACTACCGCTGACGGTGGACAGTGCACGTCAAACTGTGACGCCCTTGCAGAATGTGGTGTTGGGTCCGCTCCGGAAAACTTCACTTGCCCTTTGAACGTGTGCTGTAGCCAGGTACCTGTGACATGACCTCCTTAACCCTTATCTGACATCCGTTCAGTTTGGCTTCTGTGGAACTACAACAGGTAACTTCACCGGACATGCTCGGATGATGCGGACTGATGTTCGAAATTCAGAGTTTTGCGAAACTGGATGTCAGTCATTCTGCGAGCCCCCCGCCATCCAGTCTTGCGGTGACGATCAAGCAAGTGCATTGCATCGTCGAATCGGATACTACGAAGTATGTTGGATGTTGCGATGTTGGCAAGTATATACTCAAACGATCAGGGCTGGGCAATGTCAACAGATTCTCGGGCTTGTGATATGTATCCACCCTCCTCGATATCTGCTGAGACTCTTACGCACGGTGATTGGATCCTATATTCATTGGAATATGGCGACTTACGATCCACCAGTGAACTACGCATTCGCGCTGATATCCGAAGAGTTCCAGATTATGGAAATGGCCGTCAACGACAACGTCTTGGTGGGCTCTGTCGCATGTCTGAAAGATGCATAACATGACACATAGTCACAAAGTGGCTGCAAACAACGGCGTTGAAGAAGAGAAATCCCGCATTAAAAGTATTCCTATCAATTGGTGGATGGAGCTTCAACGATCCCGTGAGTATATTATATACTCAGCTTCTGTATGCGAGCGTGCTCATGGTCCCGTCTAGCCTACTCAGCACATTTTCAGTAACATGGTTGGTAGTGCGGATGCTACCAACACATTCATTTCCAGCGCTTTGTCGATCATGCAGGTATAGGTCAATCGTATTCATTTGACAGATTCGTATTCATGGCGAAATCAAGGCCTATTCATTCGATGGATTGGATATAGATTGGGAATATCCGTAGGTTGCCACCTTACCGTGGTTTTTTGCGGCAAGAGTTCTGTCCTCATATTGCTAACTTGGTTTTCGTCTCTTTTCGTCCCATCAGTGTTGCCAATGAGCGTGGAGGCGTGCCTGCGGATAGAGCTAACTATCCGATATTCATGTCGAAACTCAAAGCTGCTTTCAAACCCCGTGGATATGGACTGAGTTTTACGGCACCGTCTTCCTACTGGTACTTGCAGCATTTCGATCTGCCTTTACTCTTACAGAGTGCTGACTGGGTGAGCGTGATTGATCGATCGGTATTCTGCATGATTCTCAATCACCGCAGGTCAACGTAATGACGTACGACCTGCACGGTGTCTGGGACGGTACCGATCCGTACATTGGACCGGTGAGGCGCCATGCCATGCAAATACAGGGAATCGGTGTAACTGAATGGTCATCGCAGGTAATCAACGCTCATACAAATCTCACGGAAATCAAATCCACTATGCAGCTGTTCCGTAACGTTGGTGTCGACCCCTCCCAGATTGTCCTCGGGATAGGTTTTTATGGCCGCTCCTTTCAACTCGCTGACCCTGTGAGTTGGCGTGGTTCCAAGCACGAATGTTTGCTTACCGAAGGTGTCCCAGAGCTGCTCTGCTCCTGGCTGTCCATTCGTCGGAGGCGCCGACCCCGGAGTTTGTAGTCTGAATTCTGGTGTGTGCAAAATATGATATGATTCACAGGTAGCTGATCACACTGACAGGTACACTGATGTTCAGTGAAATCGAGCAGATTATCGACGACAACAACCTCATTCCTGTGTTTGATGGTGCGTTCTGGAGCGCAAATTTGCTGAACTCCACTAACACGACTCAGATATTGACGCGTTTAAGTATATGTAAGCACATCCTCGAGAATACTCCAACCGTTCTGCCTGACTAGCCTGTCAGCACATGGAACGAAGACCAATGGGTGTCGGTTCGTGCTGCGTATTCATAGAGGAACTATCGCTGAGTCAAGCCGACTACAGTACGACGACTCTCAGACCCTGGAGATGAAGCTTGACTACGCAAACAGCATTTGCCTTGGAGGTATTCATCTAGACCGTGTATCACGTTCTGTCAATGATCGAATATCCCGAATACAGGCACGATGATATGGTCCATAGACCAAGGTTCATGTCCATTGGTATCAAACTCATGAATTTCAACTACTGACGTACTTGATGGTAGATGATTCGCAGTATACAGCCCTATCCGGTCTGTACAAGACGATCACTACACCGAGTTTGTCAGAGACCGGAAACCAATGCCAAGTTACCGGATGCGGCCAGCAATGTCCCAGTGGCTTCGATTCTCTCACTACCTTGACACAGATCCCCAACATAGCTGGCTCTTGTGACCCCAAATCTCCCGCGCGCCTTTGCTGTCCACCAGGTGTGTGATATTCCTGGTCGGGCGGGTGCCATGCTGACCACAGGTGCAGGTGATGCCCCTGCTCAGTGCACATGGAGAGGCGGTGGCGGTACCACTTGCAATGCCCAATGCAATGTCGGTGAAATTGTGATGGCTTTAGACGAAGTGGGTGATGATGGCCACCCGACATGCGTAGTTGGATACAAGGTGGGAACATTGATATCTCTCTAAAGTCGATAGCAATCAATGCGCTTCCCCAATAGGCATTTTGTTGCAAGTCTGGCGCACCCAATCCCGATGCATGCTTCGCCACATGTGAGTAATGCATTGCTCGTTAGAAAGACAATCATCGATAGGTTGTACATGTCATAGCATGCACTGGGGAGTCCTGCGTGGCGGGATACGTTGTACAGACACACGTTAAGCAAGGCAGTGCCGACAACGGTCTCTCATGCGAGCAATCGCCGGATCCAAACAAAGTATGCCCAACAATATGCGAAGTCAGTCTCCATCCCTCCTGAGGCGATGAATTCGCGACTTATAAACGAGCAGTCCAACACGAAAAGTGTTTGTTGCTTGGAGAATGGTCCGTACCTCATAACGTTATGGGCTCACTGATGATCTCATGAATGGTTAGCTGGGTATGCAAATTGCGGATGGGTCGGTGATCCTCCAAACTGTTTGAATGCCGCGTGCGAAGCTGGCCAAGTGGGTGGGTAGCCTTTTGATGATACTTCTCGTTGTTCGCGCTGATGTCCCCAAACAGCGATCTGTGCGTATCATCCTATAGATGAAGCCTTAATCAAGTTGCTCACACGCATACAGTTACTGACATGCAGGGAGATGCCAGCACCTCCTGTGTGGGCAACAACAAGAGGTTCAGTGACGCCTTCAGTGGCATCGATCATCATTCAACTGAACCTAACCATTCGTAGATACTATTGCTGCGATCCGCCCTCCGGTGAGCCGCCTCTTCCTCAGTGATAACCTGGGGTACTTTACTCAATCTATTCGCGGCAGGATCTCAATTCCTGCCCGTGCCAGAGAATTGGGTCTTCCCACAGAATTTCGAAAACAGCGACACATACGATGTCAGCCAACCGGCGACTTTCACGGTCGATTTCGACGACAACACAGGTACTAGCGATACATCCTCTTCAGGATCAGGCTCAAGTGGCGTAAACGACGACGGAACGGAGGACGACTCCGCGTTCGGCGAAGTGTTCATCTCGTCCCCAAACCCGGCCTCTGTCAGCTCCTTAGATGTCCAGTCAGATTGGGTTCTTACAAAGTGTTCGGCTTCCAGCGATGAGGCGCAAGAAGTACGTTTCTCAGCGTCTAGCCTTCAAATCTCATTCAGAGACTCACCAAGGTATAGGTACTAGCATACTGCACCAAAGGCATGGATGACGAGGATTCCGGTTGTGGTCATGTATTCCTTGGTCATGCTGAACATACAATCGTCCGAATGCCCAAATCCTGTGGGTTGGGACCGTACGCTCGTGTCATCTCCCTTGAGGTGCATCCCGATCAGGGGATTCTACCCGCGGAACACAAGAACAAGAAACGGTCTACCGAGCTTGTCTATTCCCTGAAGTTTGATTATAACTTTTTGGCCATACCTGAATCGAACGGGCCTGTCCTGTAAGCGAAGTCCAACATTGCCCTTGTCCTCCAGCGTAACATTCATACGCGGAAATAGCATGCGAGCGGATATGACAGACATTCCGGGATACTGGTGCGTTGGCGAGTGCCCTTTCCGATGTATGGAATTAATCTTACCTCACTAGGAATGAAATCGTCAACACCGCTCCTGATAGCGGTACCACCACCACCAGGCGTCGAAAACGTGATTATCACCGGCCGATCGAATACGAGAAGCGCTGGTTCGGACCGTTCGATGACTGGCTGGCAAAACTGACCACAGTGCGGAGCCGGAACAGCATCGATCGCAATTTCCATGTAGGTATACCGCTCTTGACGTACTAGTTTTGGAACTCATCGTCTACAGTGGTCCGATACCTATACTATCTATCATGCAGTAAGTGTTCGCCCCGCCACAGTTGAAATAGCCACTGATGAACTTGGCTGCCGCCTTCAGGAGGAACAGGTTAGGGAACTTGATACATAAATATTCGTGAAACGTCTATTGAGTGTCCTTCACGCAGTGCCCGAACTTCTCTTCCAGCATGGATATATCAGTCACGGGCTCCGCCTCTGTCTCAAGCTCATTCGGTTATTACCTCGAAGCATCGATCGTACCCCCTCAAGTTCAGCAATGTTATGTTTTCTTTCAGGCAGGAGCGCAGGCCCAGGCATCGTTTACCATCAAGGGTCTAGCAGAAGCACACTTCGACAGCTCACGCTCTGAACTCGCATCCTTCGGATTCCCTGGTTTATACTACCCTGGTACATCTATTCCCTTATTTATTCAGGTCTGAGATTGTCTGAGCTGATTGAGCATGATATATAGGCCTCTTGACGCTCGGCCCTTCGTTGCATCTATATGGTCAACTGTCAGGGCAACTAAGTTTGTCCGGCCAGATCACTACCTCTGTTGGATACACATTCCCGGTGCGCGGGGTCCTTGGGAGGCCCTACACATGCCACAATTTTAATATTTCGCGCTTCAGTCCATCGATGTGTCCTTTGGAAAGCAGGACTCCGACAATGACGAAGAGAATGAGTCATCGCCGGTCACTCCGGATGCGAACAATCAAGGCTACGATTTCTCTGTGGGTTATAACGTGAATCTTGAGGTACGACGCATCCATATGTTTGGAGACCGATCTTACCCTCGGCTCGTTTTAGGGCTCCGTCGATGTGAGGCGATTTCATGAATGCCATCTCGCGGTTGTTTGATCACGGACCAGGGATCAGGCTCACATCGTTCCAAGCCTACAAATCGGCGTCAACGTCCTCGGTGGTAGTTTGATAGATGCCCAGGTCGGTGTTTGCCTCCTACGTGTTACCGCCACGATATATGCGTTAATGTTTCATCACAGCTATTCACCGAAGCAGACATCTATGGCGGAGTTGGTATCACAGGGAGTGTCAGCCAATCTGTAGGTTGCTCGTTTCCCACGAGAATGATCACCCCGCTCATCGGAGTCTATCCAGTCTGCAGCACAATTCTGCGTCAATCCCGTAAGTGTCTTGATGTATGAAATGGATCCATTACAATATCCTCGACGTAGCATTTTGGTGTGGCCCTCAATGCTGGCTTGACTGGTTCGGTTCTATTCTGGAGAAGCAACCCCAGGTCATGGACGTTCTACAGCAACGGTAAGTGATTTCTATGACTTTCCTTGCGCTACTCTCATACTGATGCATCGCAGAATTCCCGTTCGGCGGAAATTGCTTCTCATCGGTAGATCAGCCTTCCTCGGCAAGTGGGAAGCGGAGCGAGGATACACCGTACTACGTTTATGAGGCCTCGGGCACTGCCGGTCAAGGATCATCAATCGATACACGTCATGCCTTAGCCGAACCTGCGTATGTGGCCTACGAACGCAGACATGCGCAACCGAGGAAGAGAACGGTCCAAGTCGCCTCACCGGCAATCATACCATACCCATCGAATACCTCGAATACCTTCCAGAAACGAGGAGGCGTCCCGTTCTTGCCTGGAAACCTGTTTTGTCCTGCGGTGGGAAGTGATATATTGGATACTCCGGCTGGCTCAAAGAATTGCCAAATATATGCGGACCTTGGAAGCGGCAATACTGGACAAGTAGCTGATGCACTGAATAGACGCGCCGAGCACAATCTTGTAGCGCTGCTTGACGGAGAAGGAGAGAAGGTGCATGCGTTGAACGCGCGGGCTAATATTTCGGATGAACTCCATCCGACGATCCTGGCGGAATCGACGCTTAAAGTTTGCCCGTAAGGCATAGCTGAGATTACAAGAAACGCTGGATTACTGATTAGGCTCATTAGATTCACAATCCCAATACCAGCCTACAGCGATACCCAGGTCCAGACATATTTCGACCTCGAACATCCCGGAGAACTTGACCCCACATATAGCAGGTGAGTCGGTTCATAGCCAACCAGGAACCTGCCAGTGGTTTATGATGATATTTATTCACAAGATACAACCCGCTCCCGGTGAGGATGGACCGTATCAATGAGACCATATTCACTCATGTGCGCGATTAGATAAACACAGGAACAACAAAGGGAGGATTGCCGGCACTTTCCCAAGCCAACAGCGCTGCTATCTATGCTCGTGAACACGTGTACGTCGCTAATCCCTTTATAAGCCTGAACGCCTTGATAATTTAGGTTATCTCAGATACGAACAATCAATGTGTACGTTTCTGACAGATTTTGGTTCGCGTTCCCGTTCGTTGTTAACCCCGTCTCCATGTAGCTGCATTATTCGTCGATTATCTAGCGCAATTCCCTGCTTTATGGCAAAACAGTGCCAACAACAAGTAAGATTGAAGCACATGCATAGCTTCTCAGCTAACCCGTGACTGAATCCAGGCAGTACTGTGACTGGGTTACAGAAAACCTCATGACGGTAACTGTGTATTATCCCGGCGTGCCTGTTTCGACAACTCCTCCGCCGACGGTTTTCAATGAGATAGGGCAGTGCTATCCGGGTGGAAGGGAGGGTACGAAGTGGTGCATTGATCCCCCTCTTCATACTTCTGACCTACGGATAACATAGGTGGTAACGCGATGGTTGTCTTGGAGCAGCAAGCAAACGTGTTCAAGGTGTGTGTGTCCGGATGCATCACAGCATGTGTCGTAACAATACGCATCATATATCCAGAATACTCTGCTATATGATGGTGAACGCCGACTCAACAACTTACCGGCGCAAGTCCTCATGGATTCGACGGAGTTCTCGAATTACTGCCCCACGAAGCAGGTCGGAAGAGTTGTCAAAGACCCTAACGTCTTGCTAATATACCTCCAGATTTCCAAGCTGCGCGCCGCCGCCGGCGTGCCATCATATATGAATGATTATACGGTATGAGAAAACGCACACACAACGGGATTACTAACCCAGTTTCAATCTGTTAGGTGAAGCAGAACTTCTTAGAGAATAATGCATGCATAAGGGACACCTGGAAAGCGTGGTACGCAGCGTACTCGACAAGCAACGTCGACGCGTATGTGTGAACCCCCTTTTTCGGCCTGTGCGGCACCTGATTCACGTACCTCTCTGCTCAGACCGAACAAGGCCACGGTCAACGTGCCCAACATCTATGACAACTGGATATCTAACGTGGTATCAGGGATGGTCCCGTACCTGAAGTCGGAAATCACGCGGCTCATCGCTTTGTACAACGACAAACTAACTACGGCGGCCGAGGTTGACCTCTCCTTCGCCATCCTCTTGGACAACGCGGAGATATTGAATCGGGATGGGGACCAGATGGACACCGGAGGCGCGGCGTTTACCATCGATCGTCTGACGACACAGCAAGATCTGACGGACGCCATTCTGAATGACATACCGGACATCACATGGGCTGCTTCATTGCCAAGGCACTAGAGGGATTCTTCGAATGATCGTTCGGTACTGAACTTGCCGTTGGATAGAGTAGATGTACATTTCACTGTTGTACTTCTGCTGGTGCATATCCGTCATATCTATCATCTTGGGTGGTGCACGTAGCAACAGATGCTCTACCGCCCAAGGTTATTTCGTCCTCGGGCAGATTCCCATTCCGCAAGAACGACATTGCAAGCTGCCAGCATCTTGTCTTTCTTTTCATCGTCCATCCAACTACCCTCTATTGAGGACCTGCAAATCCATAACCATTCCTCGGGTCCCCAGTTGAAGGCGTTCTGCACGGCTTGATAGCACTCCAGTATACCGGAAGCGCCAAAATAGGCTGGATCATCGCTATTGATACTGAATGGCACTCCGGCCGCCAGGAATTGGGGCAGCGGCGAATCCCGCACGTGTTCGATGACTTTGAGGCAGACGTTGCTGATTGGGCAAACCGTCAGCAGCGTGCGGGTGTCGGCGAGATGTTGTAACAGAGCTGGGTCTTCGGCCGCGTGCACTCCGTGGTCGACACGCCTGCATCCCAATACATCGACGGTGTCCCAGACGTTTTGAGGCGGACCTTCTTCGCCCGCGTGGGCGGTGATGCGCAAACCATACGATAACGCGAGATCGTAAAGCGGTTTAAAGCTTTTAAAATCGATGCCAACTTCGGTGCTGTCGAGGCCGATGCCGACGATCGTACCATTGCGGATGTGCTCTTCAGCCAGGCGGAGAGTCTTAAGCGCCAAATTGAGGCCGAGGTCACGCATGAGGCAGAAGATGAGGCAAGTGGACATGTTGAGTTCGGCTTCGGCGCGCTTCGTGGCGCGGGAAAGGCCTTCGATAACGACGTCGATGGAAATGCCTCGACGGTGGTGGGCTTGGGGGTCGAAGCTGAGCTCGGCGTGCCATACACCGTCGCGCTTGGCTGCGGTAAGGTAATCCCACGCGAGACGTTCGAAGTCGTCGGCGGTGATCAAGACGCTTGAACCGACATAGTAGGCGTCGAGGAAGGACTGTAGGTCCGTGAAATGTTTGTAGTACTCTTCGAGTGCCTCCTGAGAGGCGAACTCGGGCCGATCGGGGAGGTCAACATCGTTTTTGGCGGCGAGTTCGAATAGAAGAGATGGGCTGAGCGTGCCCTCGATGTGAAGGTGGTGCTCGCACTTTGGTAGCCGTGCTAAGATGGACTGGGAGTGCGATGTGGTAACATTGCCATGATCAGAAGAACCGCTCGACATGTCCAGATGTGATGGGTGCACGGCTGCTTATGCTGCGAGCAGAAGTCCGTAAGTGATGCGCAGAGTCGACGGAGCAACGTGAAAAAGACGCGCAGTGGGGACGGGACCAGGATCCGACGAGAAAGGAGACGGATACATGCGGTCCATTTTGGTTCTTCGGCCGGTGAATATGTTTAGGGTATAGCACTCGGTTCATCGTTGGTATCGCCAAGGTCGGCTCTTGTGTCGACGACGGTATAGACTACCGCCATTTGCATTGTGAGATTGTGAATACATGTCTCGGTGAGCAATGAGGCTGGCGAACAGGTGGCGGCGATTAATGGGGATACAGTAAGTCCCAGCACGTGTCTCATTTGGATGACGGTCGTCGGCGTTGCCTGTTGTGGCCTACTTGCACCGTCCCTCGTCAGCCCGACGCCAACCCGGGAAGAATCCTTATTCCGCAGAGATCTGCAGCGCTGTCACAAGTTGGCCAACGCAGACGGAACTCGTGACGTCGCCAGACGGGGGTCATCCCGGTCGAACCCACCGTCCCAACTCACAAATCATAATGTGCCGAACCGTTCGGCCTCACCTCCGCCCACCAATCCTCATAAGCCCGGCCAGTCGCCTGAACCTTGCCCGAGTCCGCAACTAGACAAGTCACCGCCTGGCATGGTCCCTCAATACCTGCTTCGCGCACCGCGCTCTCTCGTATTTCCCTGCATCGCTCTGTGCTCCATCATATGTGAGTCCACTTCGTGACGTTTGCCGTCAGCTTGATGACCGTCCATACCAGTCCTCGTAATCTCTACCGTATCCAATCTGATACCCACTCACACAAGCGAGCTCGTCACATACTCCGAGCACTGCACCACGCCGGATTGCGGTGCTGCAAGCATTGTGCTCGACGACTCGGATCCATTCGCCGACCGCGTTAGCGCACCCCAGTCTGTCTTCTCCGCACATACACATGAAGAGTCGCCTGCAGCTCTCACTCGGACGGATGGAACCCTGCGCGTGTTCACCCTGAACTGCTGGCAAGTTCATCTTCACACGACGGTGAAACCACCCACGAAGTGTAAACTCATGTATGTTCGAACAGGGGTCTCAAGTGGGTTTCCAAGCACCGTAATGAGCGCGTCGCGGCCATTGCCAGTCTTCTGGCCAATTCCGACTACGACATCGTCGCACTCCAAGAACTCTGGGTCACCTCGGATTACGCGAAAATCCGCGCCGCAGTCTCCGCATCGTTTCCGCATGCACGATACTTTCACAGGTATGTAATGCTGTCTCACAAATCAGTCGCGCGACGGCCGACTTGCATGAACGCGCTGACGTGTGTTTCTGTTCACGTCAGCGGTGCGCTGGGCTCCGGTCTCGCGATTTTCTCACGGTTCCCCGTAGTGGGCACGACAATCCACCCGTATTCGTTAAATGGGTCACCAATGGACGTCATGAGCGGCGACTGGTACGTCGGTAAAGCCGCCGCTAGCATTCTTGTCGACCATCCCGAAGTTGGATACCTTCAAATATTCAATACTCACGTAAGCTCCGTTGCCATGCTGGTTTACGGCACGTGCTAAGAATATCTCGGTCTACCTTCATACAGTTATACTCAAGGGCGAGCGAACGCGTGCCGCTTCACTTCCGAGCGCATCACCTCGTCAACGCGTATGAGTTTTCGAAATTGATCCGGCATGCGGCTGCCATGGGACGCACTGTCATTGCAGTCGGTGATCTCAACACGGTTCCGGAGTCATTCCCAGTCCGCTTCATCCTCGAGCACACCGGCGCTCGAGATGCCTGGAATGTGACGCACTCGATAGATGCACAAGAAGATACTGCGATCACCCCAGAGCTGGCCGTGCAACGCTTTGGTATCACCGCCGATTCCCCTCTGAACACATATACGGACCCCCATCCCAAGAGCCGATACGTGCAAGAACACCTCGGAAAGCGCCTAGACTATATGTTTTACCGAGGCCCAGCGAGAGGATCTAGGCACTCGGACGTCGTGGACTCCAATCTTACGCTCGACTGCGTAACGACGAATGTCATCCTGACCGAACCCGTGCCGGGCACCACATATTCATACTCGGATCACTTTGGTCTGGAGACGACGTTCCAGATTTCGTCGGCATCCGTCGCCCGCGGCGTCGACCAGACTCCTCCCGACGGGCTTCCCTGGCTGTCGGAAGATTCCATCGATACTTTCGCCGACGCTCTCAAAGCCGCCTACAAGCATGCGAAGGGCACGAATCGTTTCTATCTTATGGTGTTTTCGTGCTGCCTCGGTTCACTGCTGTTCATCACGATTGGTACGTTCTACGCCGTTCAGCCAGATGAATAACCAGACTGACGTATACATCTCATTGCTGCAGCTTCGGCATGGGTTCCGCGATCGTGGGCCAACCCGGCGGTTGTAGCCACGGTCATCGGACTGAGCTGGCTGGCGACGACCATGCTATACGTTGGGTTCATTTACGGGAATTGGGAGATGAATGCGTTGAGGAATGTTCGGGAGGAGCTTGAACTCATCCGGGCTGGCTTCGAGGGTTAGGAACCTTCCTCTCCTACAGCCAGACTTTTTCACGACCGCCTGGAACGACGCGTTATGACGGACTCGTTTTAATTTCGAGGGTCTCCACTGTAAACCCGCTGCATACCTAGAATGTCTTGACCAGTTCCATTGTACAACACTCGCATGTATGTAACCATTATGTATACCGTGCTCGAGCGACATGTGTGCGGTATAGGCCTTGAAAGTACCCATGAGATCCTGACCACGATACAAATATACACCGATGTCATCCAAGCTTCAGATTGCCACCAGATTCAAGCAGCAAACTGATCTCACACCGTACGGCTGAGCGGCCCCGAGTTGAAGCTAGCCCCGACTTCGGCCGCGACGACGATGAGCGCGATACTATTCTCGACTATCGACGTCTCCCGCCAAGTCTTCTACCGATCATCATTGTCGTACGCCTGCGTTAATCTCAAGCCGATTGTCCCCGGTCGTACGAGGTCCCTCATTCACAAGTGAAGACTGTACCTCATACAAACATCGTGCTCCTACTATCTCCATGCGCTGCCGAACTCCACGATAGATGTCCTGGTCATCCCGAACAGGCCGGTCCCAAGGATAGCGGACCTGAATGCGTCCGAGCTGGCCTCGCTCATGATCTCCGTGCAGCGTGTCGGAAGCGTTCTCGAGCGCGCCTACGGCGCGCACGGCCTCACGGTTGCGTGCCAGGTGCGTTCCGTCCGCGTCCGCGCCCGCGGAGGGCCCACAGCGGGCCATCCCGGGTCGCGAGCAGGGCCGTTGTTCTAATCGTCGGCCTCGGTGGCTAATCCCTCTCGCAGGACGGCAAGGCCGCTGGGCAGTCCATCCCTCACGTTCATTTCCATCTTCTGCCCCGACGGCTCGCCGGCGATCGCTTCTCTGGGGATCGCAACGATGAAATCTACCCTGCCCTGGAGCACGCCGAGACCGAGCTCAGGGGCGCCGCCGAGGAGACGAACAAGGGGCGAGAGCGGTTGCGCGTGGATGCAGACGAAAATCGCAAGCCGCGCTCGAAGGAGGAGATGGAGGAAGAGGCGAAGTGGCTCATGGGATTCTTCGAGGACGAGTCGGAGGACTCGAAGGCATGTTGAAGGCATGATAGACTACTACCGTGATACGGGCCGACCCAGCGTTGCCCAGGCCGACCGCTTCAAATTTGCCCATGACGTTCTAGGGCTGTAGCATCTTGTACTAGCCTCTGGTAAAAGAGCACTCGGGCAGTCGGATCCATTCGGAAAGCATACGGTTCCCATTCTTCTCTCGTCTCGCCTCCTTTCGAAGCCTGAAACGCACCGACGGGCGACTTGGCCGTCGGCGGTCTCAAATTTTACCTACGCCTCGAGTTCGGGTTATCTTTCGGTGATTAAGGGTACCGTCGTACGTGCAGGTATAAGTACTGTAGTGAAGCTCGCGTCTAGCCAAAGGAGCTCCTAATCTCCAGAGTCATCACCGCGATACCGCGTTTCAGAGACCTCGACAGAAATGCTCTCCGCTTCCTACCTGCCCCCAGAGATCTGGTTACATGTTTTTGACTATGTCTCGTCTCTCCCGTCGAGCAGCGTCGCATACGAACCATTCACCTGCGTCTCCTTGCACGACTACGACGCCGCCTTGGATACGCGCAAGAACCTGGTCTTGGTCTGCAAGCAGTGGAGAAATCTCCTAGCCAGCGCCTTGTACGCTGACCTTCGGATCCGCGGTCGTCACGACATTGCCGACCAGCTCGTCAAATCGCTGCGTGGCGACCAAACTCCTGATGGTGTCTGCCCAGGACAGCGAGTCCGCCGAGCCGAGCTTCCGTACTCGCATTCGACCACAGAACGCTACAGTCATCCCACAGTCGAGGGCGCGATCGAGATTCTGCAGCAATGTCCCTGCCTCGAGACACTCGTCCGACCCGGCATTTACGAGCGCGGGGTCTGCTCAGCGGTCGAAGAGCTCCGATACGAGTTCCCCGCGCCTATCATCCCCCTCCCTTCCCTGCGCCGGCTGGAGTGGTGGCACAACGACGAGGCGTGCAGGACCGGCGGCATCAACTCCTTGACCGCGACCCTGCGCAGCGCGCCCAACCTCGAAGTACTCGCCATCGGCGGACAGATGCGGTACTACTGCCCGAACGCACGCGAAAGCGTGGAGCTTCCCAAGCTCACTACGATGTACCTCCGTAACCGCACGAACGCCATTTTCATCCGCGAGGTTTGCAGCTGGTCGCTCCCCGCGTTCTCAAGCCTCGTCGTCGAATCGTGCGCCAACGACCTGGGCCTGGAGCTCTTATGGGACCAGTTAGGCTCCTCTCTGAAGACGGTCGAGCTGGGCAGCAACATGTGTTTCTTCGTCGCGGACCGGATTACGCGGATGCTCGAATGTTGTGAAAGCCTGGTCGAGCTTAACTATTGTGCGTGCTTTACTGTTTCCCTTGACGTCTCGCATCTCATCTAAATTCGATTCGTAGACGTCTTCTTCACCGATCATTTCGTATTCGGGGGCTCTCACCCGAGCATCACCTGCATTCAGTTGCACGCGCAGAAGAACACCGTGCTCGACATTCCCGATGACATGTACTGGAACCATCTTGGGAAGCACGTCTCGCTATTGACGCGAGCGCGGTTCCCGGAGCTCCGGAGCGTCGTACTGCACGGCAGGGAATGGGACGCGATCTTGGCCGATGAGCGGTTCGTTCCCCTGCGCAACGCCTTGCTCAGCCAGGGCTACTCGGTGCAGCAAGAGAACGGGGTGTCGCTGGAGTGAACGCGCGGTCTGAGATCTATTTTAATTTATGGCGAGGATTACGTCATCGTTATCATATCGGCTGCCCTGCACTAATCGCGTGCTTGGAATGTCGCCTGCTTCGCTCCTCGACCGGTTGCCCTCCGAACTCTATTCCGCCATCTGCCAGCACCTCCCTCCCTCCTCCCGCCACGAATCCGTGCTTTCCCTCGTCCGAGCCATCCCTCGTTCGCCCGTACCCCGCCGCCACCTCTGGGAATGCCTTCGCCTCACCCGCGCGCGCCAAGTCTTCCCTCTCTACCGTCATCTGCGCAACGCTCGATCAGACGCCGCCCTGGTCTGGTGGATCTCCGTGGAAATATGGAATGTAGATGCAGACGTGCTTGTTAATTTTCTGCGTTTGTTGGTCCGGACCGTTAGGACGCTGTCCATGTTCATCGGGCCGACCTTCGCTCCGGAACATATGGAGGAACTGTTAGCGGAGCCCTTCCCAGAGTTGCGTCGATTTACGCTCCGCTTCAGACCATAGTGAGTGCATATCCATCAAGTTGCGCGGAGAGAAGTCTCATTCTCTCCTGCAGTGTTTCGAAGGCAACGTACGAGCCGTTCCTGAAAGGCGCATACTTCGATACCACTCTCCTCTCGCTGTCCCGATGGCCACCTCGTCACCTTCAGCATCTCTCTATCGTACAGGACCCTCTCGACCCTGCTGTCGCCTCGCAGCAAAGCTTTGCCCAGCCTATCGTGTTCTTCAGGCTAGATCCCATCTCCACCCTGCTGAAATCCGAGAGTATGAACTCGCTTGCAACTTTTCAGCTTCGGATCCCTATGCGCCAAGTCGGGAAATATCTCTATGACCTGCACGCCTTCGCCCATCAGGGTGTCCACGTCTTGGACCTGTCCACGTGCAACATCTACGAGGCCGACGTCGACGCCATTTTGCTACGTTTCACGGCTCTTCGCCACCTCATTCTTGATGGATGCGGACTCGTGCGCGGCGAGTTCTCCGAGAGCGATTGGGCAAACCTGGGTAGGATATGCGCTATGACAGGCATGAAACGGGCGCGCGTTAGGGAGAGGAAACTGAAGACATGGCTGGAGGCTCAGATCAAGGCCTACGAGGAGGCTGGTGACGATGAAAACACGCAGAGCGGGGCTCGGGGAGCTACTCGGACATCCATGCCTCAGCATCTCACGGATGCTATGGCTTCCCTCAGCGTTCGACACGACTCTCGCAGACCTCAACGCAGTCAGGTCGAGAAGCCCGAGATTCCCCGCGTTCGCATCATACCACCCGGACCCTCCTTGCTCTCGCTCGCGACGATACCATCCATGCTGGTCGAACCGGAAGAATATACTGCGGTGCGCGAGGCGTTCGGCCAGGGATGGCAGGCCGGCATACTCCAGGTCAATCGCCTTCGGAGCCAGCTACGCACGTCTTGGAGAAACGGTGTCCGAATTTTGCGCTTCGGGGATTCGTCTAGCGGCGAGGAGGAAGGGTTCTCAGGTTTGGTGGACCTGGATCACGACGAGGTAAACTGGTTCGAACCGGAGGAGGGCAGCTGTCCTGTTCTGTGTCTCGCCGGCTCAAACCACGCTAGCGTGGAGCATGTAGCGGGTTGTGGACATGACATCATTAGAACCGCGTTAGAGCAATAGAATATCTTTTCTCTGCTGTTGATTTTACGCTACTGGAGACTGCTAAATGGAAATTACCACATGATCGTTGAAGCTCGTTGTCTGCATCGCGAATGCGATTGGGAATAGAGTACGGTACTTATACTCAGGATTTTCTCGAATGCGCAGCCGGCGCTCGTACGCGTGTTAATGGCGTGTTCGATGCGATGTAGCTATGACGTTCATGGCTTCACAGTCGACCATGACCACAGATAACCCTCCGGAAACCTGGGCAAATGCCGCCTCTCGTCTCGTCAGGTCTCTTAGCAGTAGAGGTCGACCCAATACTGTTCCAACCTCTACGTCTGAACTCCCGGACCCGGATGTGGATGGCCCTGTGCCGAATGACCAGCCAAGCTTTACCCAAGGGAAACTGACTGCCATCCAATCGGTTCGCGATGTCCTGCAGAAGGAGAAAAGCAGCAGACAGGCGGCACCATTTCCTCCGCCGTCTTGGTACGATGAAGCGCGGGACGTCGAGGAAGCAGCATCTATACCCGTGCCCCAGACTTCCAATGCTCACGGAACGGATGTCGATGGTGTGAGTCCTGTCACAGACGAAGTTCAAGACACCGGGAGTCTTGCAGAGAAGATCAAGGCTATGATGTCCTCGTTACCGCCCTTTCCTACCCTTTCGAATTCGCCAACACCGAGAGCACTTTCCCCGCCCGGAACCCCCACTATAGATCCCGCCGGCCCACCTCCACCGCCGCCTCTGCCACCCATGCCTGACAATAGACTAGCAGCGATGCTTTCTTCACCCGCCATCATGAACGGCTCATTTGCGAAAGGGCGCGAATCGGTATGGGCACTACTGGACCGTCTGCGTGCACCTCACCGAAGTGCCGGTGCCCAAGATGACGCTCGGGAAAAGGTTGCGGAACCAGCGTCAACGTTGGCAGAATTGCCTGTTGTACAAGAAGAAGAAGAAGATGACGATGACAATTCATCTGTCATGTTCTATGCTCCGTTATCGCCCACTCCTGAGAGTGAACTGGAGCTTGCCCCGGTAGAGACCGTGGAGGTGGACGAGCGCGGGCGTATCGTGGAGGTGATTTCGACACATGATCACAAACATGACAGCGATGGGGCTACGGGGAACCAGCTACCCGGTGAACCTCAAGAGGCTCAGAAGAGCCGATTCTGGGATGGTTGGCCATTGCCGAGACGAAAGCCACCTGGGGAGACGGCTAATGGCAAGCTGCGCGAAGTGAATATATGGGTTCCTTCCACGAACAAGATCTCCTTGGAAGCACGCTGGTGGGGTTTCCGAATGTAGATCGTCATCTTCCCGACGATGACCGTATGACTTATACATCACCTTCATTCTGCAGATATCTACCTCCACCCGTCCTTGAAGTACTCAGCAACAAGCAACTCGAGGCAGGTAAACGCGCAGCCATGCTCACAACGGCGCTCCAGTGGATGGTCAGCCGGATACCGGTAAACCTGGTACCTGTGCAATTCCGTCCTGCAGCGATGATTTTGAAGCGCCTCATTCCTTACTTGGGTTCGTCCACCCTTCTCGAGAAGATTGCCTGACCGATTGATTGCGTTGCGAACAGGCTATCTTGGGGGGTTCATAGCGTGGTCGTGGGGTGGCATCAAAGCATTCGATAAAGGTTCAATCTTGCAATTCGACCAGGAGCTTGGCTTACTGACGGCGTTACCCTGCCACGTAGGACACGGCGTCATCCTTTCTGCAACATGGTTAATGCCGATTGCACTCATCCCAGGGTCATGGGAAGCAGACGAAATACCACACCTGTCTGATCCAGCCGCGTCCCGGCCAGAGGTCCCTCGCACGCCGGCGCCAGCATCGGCAACTGATCGCCCCCTGCCACCAACACCCTCACTACAGCATGCAACTCTCTCTCGATTCGGCTCAATCTTTGGAAAAAAGAAAGGATGAATACCGTGTTATATTGCATCCTGCATATTTGACATGAATAACGGTGGGGAGCACAAGATCGTATTGTCACAGACAGATGTACAGTGATGCCCTGGAGCCGATACCATTGATTTGTTTTGCAGTTGTAATATTACATAGTGCAGTGCAGTAATCCAAACTCTTCAAAATGGCGGAACGGAGGCGAGAGCAAGACAGTCGGACTAAGGCCGATAAGTGGGCAAAGATGTATCTCCAACTGCATCGTGTTCCTGTCTGTGAGAGAAACGTTCCAAGGCACTGCCAGCAACTTGGTCGACGTGGGAAGACGGCGGACTCGGATTTGGCCATAGAGGCGCACTAGCTTGCACCGCATTGTCCTCTGCGCCTGATAACGGCGGGGCGGAGGGCGCCAAGCCAGCATCGGCTGTCGAATCGTCGACAGGTGGGGCGCTCGGTAATATGATCTCTGGTATCTCTCCTAGGCCTGGAAGCGACGGACCGGTGGTATAGCCATCGTCCTCGAACGGTGATATGTAGCTCTCTAGCATCGATGCTGCGAGCGGACCTTTCTCAGGAAGGGCAGGCCACGCGGACGCGGGGGGCGGTGGAGGGGGGGTAGAAGGGGTATCTTGCTCGAGATCGTTGATGTCTTCATCATGCCATATAGGCACTGCTGCGACAACTGGATTGGATGATTGGCCTGCATCCTCCGGGGGTACACTTCGCATGCGAGAGAATTCCGCTAGACGCCTCTTATCGTCTATCGCAATGTGGGCTGTATCCCACCGATGAACTGGGGGCGATTCATCGCCGTGATGGGCGTTGAATGGATTCTCCTCCGTCTGAAGAGAGGGATGGCCTTCTCGGGATGACCACGTTGATAACGCATCCGCATTGAGATAAGCAGGCGGGTTCGATGAGCGTTGCGCAGTTCTGGATGCGGGAGTATCATCGAATGATCGAGACAGCGAAGAAGCCGATGCTGTTGCAGAGGGAGGATGACCGTAGAGCGGACTAGATGTCCGTGAGAGGTTCACGGACGATCGTCGGGATGAACGTGCATCGGAACTGTGCCTGTGTTGCTGCGAAATAGCAGGCGATGCTTGCTCGCCATCCTGTTCTTTGGCCGCGAAAGCAAGACGGCGAGCCCTACGTCGTCGTGCAGATGTACGCACGTTAGCCTTCCATCTTGCGGACGCACGCATCCATAACTTCTGCGTCGTCCTGGTATGATCTATGCCCACCATTTCCTCTGCTTCCCGCTCGTATTTGTCGCGGAGCTTCTGCATCCTGATACGCTCCAGGTCTGGGTCCTTCCTGCGTTTCCGGCGTCTTCTCCATAAGACACAAGTCACGATAACCGATACGATGACGCAGGTCAGGAGGAGCGATACACTAATGATGATGGCATTGCGTGGATCAGGCGCCTTCTTGGACGACTTGGGGGTCCACCCCTTGGGCAAAGAATCGAAATCCAGGATTTTGGTGGGGGTGGATGTTGGTAATACACTTGTCGCACTGACGGCGTCAGCGATGACCGAAATCGTGGCCGAACAGCTCTGCCACCACATGAGACTTGAATAGCAGCGTGAAAGTGCGTTGACACTCACTCCGCACTTCGAGGAACCGTAGAGTTCCCAATCATCCGTCCTGTGCCACAAGCCGTCGGTGTTCTTCTGCCAATGATCTGGAACGGCAAAGTCGCGCGGTGATACTGTAGTAGGCGTTTCTTCGTGGTGATAATGATGATGGATCCTGTGACCCTCAGACTGGAGCTGCTGACAACTGAATGACGGTGTCGGCTCTGGATAGGATGCCGTTTGTTCGGGGGCTGGTGTCGGCCCAGAGGGATCAAAGCTGATGGCTGATTCGATGAAGGGGCAGAGGAAAGGAGGTGGCGTAGGGAAGGATGACAGAGGGCGACCGTCGGCTGTGGTGGCGGATGTAGCTAGGGTCGCGAGGGCAGCAAGGGCGCTTGACGAAGGGGCGGGGCCGCTGGGACGACGTCGGTCAAGGCGGCGACGATGTCGCTTGAGTGGAGGAGTATCGACGGTGACTTTGGAGGAGGACGCGACGGCCAAGCCCAGCGGTGGTGGCTGGCGATTGGCCATGGTCAGGGCGCCAAGCGAAGGGCGCGCGATCACAACGTCACCACAACCAGTCGGGCTGCGCGTCGCTGTTGCGCACGGCGAGGGCGACGCGGGCGACGACGAGGAAGACAAACAAGGCCGGGGCGGGGTCGTTGAGCGGGAGGGCGTGGGCGAGCCACGCCGCATGGGGCCTCATATAAAGAAGGCATAAAAATAGGTTCGCTCCGAGTCCCCCCATATAGATTCGACGCATGCACAACTATCGACACAAAATCGCTGCCTCCAACAAATTACTGTACATCCGCAGCGGTCCAGCGCATTCGCCGATCGTGCTGCCGTCGGGCCCGGGCCTGCAGGCTCTCCATCTCTTCGGCGCAATACCGTCGCACCAGACAGTCTTCGCCCTGGTAGAAGAGCTTGTACGTCCCCATGCTGACCCGGACCGCGAGGGACGACCGTCCGGGCGATTGTAGTTCCTCTTCGTCCAGCGCCGGCAGATTTCTGCATATCGCCTCGTTTAGACACATCCTTATCCCGGCACCCGTCAGTCCGCTATGAACTCACCTCCGCAAAAATAGCGACTGTCGCCTGATTTTGTCGCCCTGGCCAGAGCCGACCCATTCCGTGGGGTGCCTCACCATTACGAACGAATCGACGTATTGCCGCCAGCGTCCCAAGGGCGTGTCATCTTCGCCTACGCTGGGATCACCGGGGCTCAAAAGACTAATGCTCATGACGTTCGATTCCCGTGCCTGTGGGCGGACAGTCCCAGAGATCTCTCAGAGGACTATACTGGGGCTGGGGCGGAGTATACATACCCATTCAATCCGATAGAGATGGTCGTCTGACCCGAGATGTAGCTCAGCTTCCCGGCGGTAGCGGATCACGTCCGAGGCGGTGACCTTTGGGTTTTCTCGCGCTGTCTGCAACAGCGACCACAGTTCCTGGCATTTGTTGTCTCCGATGATGGTCTGCACCTGGGATGGTCGCAAGCATGAGGTGATCCCGGCGCTTGTGGCTAAATATAGAACATCGCTTACTTGTTTGATCATCGCCATGATCATCTTGTCCACGGTGAAGAGTTGATATCCCTGGCCAGAACCGACATGAATCGACGCCCGCTGCGCATCTCTGAGATCGGACTCGACCGCACCTTGCCACCGAAGAACCACCGCATATGCTCTTCGAACGTCGGCTGGTCTAGCTCGTGCTCGAACACCTTCTCTATCGCCTCGAGTAGATACGGATAAACCACGTTCTGGTCCTCGCTCGCACCCTGGTCGCGCATCATCTGGTAGAACACCGCGGGGGGCCCGCTGGGGTCATCCAGCCCCAGCTCCGTCGCCACCGGGTTGGCCAACAGGTCGCGGTGTTTGTGCGCTGCTAGTTCGTCGCCGATTCGCTTACATAGCAGCAGTCGCGAATAGAGCATCTGACACATGCAGAAGATCAGAATTTCTCAATCGCCGCACCAAGAAGGCTTTACGCACATGTATTATCCGCACTAACGCGTAGAACGTCGTGTTCGCGAAAAACGGTCGACAGTGGACATGAGGATGAAAACCGGGGTCGTCTTCTGGCGGCGCGGCTTCATTAATCCACTGTTCGTCAGGCTCCTCCTCGATATCGGGTTCAGGGCTCGCTCTTCCCTTCCCCTTTGAGGGTGATTGCTTTGATGCCCGTGGAGAGCCATGCCTGGACGTACCCGTTGACGGCCCAGCGTGACTTTCCCCAAAGGACGTTCGTCTATCATTGCCATGGTCATAATAGTCCGCCGTGTCACCATTTGCGCCATCGAGCTGATTATGGGGATCGTCGAATGAATGGGGCGGCTGCATTGCCAGAAGTGTCACGAAATCTCGCAGAAAGCGCGCAATGTGCCGCCTCTCTGCGAGAGTATACGCTGCATGCGAGTGGTCCAAAAAGGAGTATCCGAGCTTCAGTGTGTCGTGAAGCACAGACATATCCGATAAGTCATAGGTAAGGTGAGGAGAGGCATCTCGTCCGCCGAACCGTCTGCTGTCCTCTTCGCGTGCCGTCTTCACGGTTTCAATCTCGATAACGAAGGCTTTCGCGGTGATGCTCTTCTTATCCACTTGCTTGGAATTGATTCCTTGGTGATCAATACTTTTGTAGAAGTTCTTGTGGTCCACTTCGCGCCAATTGCGATTCCACTCTCGCTGGACCCTCCTCCATTCCTCGTCTTTTTGCCTCAATCGGCGGAGCACAACGGGTACCGCGACCGCTGGAGCATCTTGGAGCGCCTGCAGGATCTCTTCCGCCGTTTCACGGGTGTAAACACGTTTGATCGTCCGTTCGTAAAGACAACGTCCCGAGCCACCCAAGTCAGGCTGGAGTCTGAATGATGCCCGCTCTTCCGCCGTCATGGTTTCAATCCGAGACGCAAGAGGCTCGAGAACCGCGATGGTCCGTTGCATCGCCTGCAAATGCACGCTGAACTCGTGCCGCTCCTCTTCACATCTGTGGATCAACTCCTCGAACGAGTTCTTCTTATGTGTCATGAAACCTTGTTCCTCCGACTGCCACGTTGGATGAGAGACCCAAACATCATTGAGCACCGACCGGGCGAGCTCGTCACGGGCTGAACAAGCCAAATAAATTTCCTAGACGAGAATTAGTTCAATATGCTGAGGTTTGGTAGAGAAACCCAACTCACGCTCTCGGGTAGGCGACGGTAGCTCGGTCCAAGGTCATCATCCGGAGGTTGTGCAACCAGCGGTTCCGGTTCTCGGGTTCTGATGCTCCCTGGGGGCCCATGCTCAGCTCTCGTCTTTGCATCCTCGTAGGCCATCAGCTCTTTGAATTCGACGAGCAGATCTCCGTCGCCTAGGAAGACTTCGGCCCTCTCCACGAGTGTACGAGCATCAATGATGTCTTTACTGAACAGACCAAGTAGTTTCAGGAATTCCTCGTAAGCTTCTCGCGTATCAAGAGCTTTCTTGGCGCGGTCAAAGAACATGAGTTCGTCAGGGGTGGTCATGCCATACCCGGCGCTGGAATGGACGAGCAGGTGTCCTGAAGGCATATGCTGCATGCCTGGAGCGCCTGGAAGCTGCGCATTGGCCATCTGTGGTGATGGGTGAGTCTGGAAGGGCGAGTAGTTGGGCGAGTCGGCTTCCGCACGATGAGCAAGCTTTGCCTTTTTGCTCTGAACGCGAAACGTCAGGGAGGAACCCGAGCCGTGAGAGGGATTCCTCGACACTTACCCGGTTGTTTGCCTGCCTGGCGGGGGGCACAGGCGTAGGTTCCTTCTCGGCAGCGCGCTTCCTCCGCTTCGCAGGTGCCCGAGCACTTGTGGAGGCCTTCTCGTTTGCTTGCACGGGAGCATCACCTGTCCACCCTGAGGCAGGACCGACGATGCTACCTCCCGGGGGATGCGGCAATATACCGACGAGCCCGCCGGCACCAGAAGCACCGTTTTCGGTGGGCAGGAAGTTCTTGAACTCTTCGAGGAGATCCGGCGCGTCCTTGAAGAGCATCTGAACTTGGGCGTAAACCTGTGACTATATGGTCGTTTAGCGAGTTACCTGCACAAGATAAGAACGACACGACGTACGTCCTGCAGATGTTTCTGCTCCTTCTGATACGTCTGAAGTATCTCCAAAAACTGTTTGTATGTGTTTGGGTCGTCAGAGAATCTCGTCTTGATTTTGTTCAAGTACGAGATCGCGTGGTTGAATTCGCCTTGGGAGGACGCCTTTTCCTGAGCTCCACCCGATCCTGCTGCGCCGCCTTTTGCTCCGGCATTGCCGTTGAGCCCCCCGAGGAATGACGCGGCAGCGCTGGTGCCGCCGGGGATCCCGGGTGAGAAGGGTCCAAGGTTGTGCGGGCTGAAGCCTGGCGGTTGCACCTGCAGCTGCGCAATATGGGGTGGGATAGGATGTGGTGTGATGGAGCGTGAGCCAGGGCCACTTCCTATAGGAGGCAGAGGGTGGCCCAAGCCGCTTCCGGGCCCGGTGGAGAAGGGCGGACCTCCGGGACCTGGAGTGGGCAGGGCTTGGGTAGGCAGAGCGCCAGTGCTGGGTAAGCTGAGTCCGCCGGGAGTTACGACGCCCGATGGCGCCGCAATTGCTAGAGGGGCGACGAGTGGAAGCGGAGTTGACGCGAGGGCGCGGGGAAGGAGACTATACGTGTTCCCGTTCTGGGTCATGATGCCCATGGGGGTGGTGACGGTGATGGTGTTCGGCTCGTTGGGATCGGAGGAGCAGTCGATACGATAACCGTGAGGAAGGAAAGTATTGAAACCTTGGATGAGGAGGGCGTTGCCTTGGAAAAGGCGGGATACGCGCTCGATGACTCCTGGGGTATCGATACTGGTGAATGCGCGTCAGAGCAGTGTAAATGGCTTGATCGGAGATGATATGGGACATCCAGGTGCTGATAGTAAAATGTACGCATATAATCAAGGATAAGGTCGAGGTGTGTGGAATCGGCAACGCAGCATGGGTCATGGATAGACGGACTCGGCCGATGACATCAACTGGTACGGAGAACTCACTTCTGGCTCTTAAAATCCTTCATGATGTCCAAGAATCTGTTATACACGTCTGGTCGGTCCTGAAACTCGTTCTTGACGGCGTCCAGATAGCCCAATGCGTCGGTGACGTTGAGCGGCCTATTGCCACCCGGGGACGTGTTTGCAGGGGCATCGCTCTGAGCGGGCGGCGGAGGTATCGGCGTCTTGGCCTTCGAGCCTGGGCTCGTTGGTCTCGATGGTCCGGCGACGTTCATGGTGGCGTCTTGGGGTTGTGTAGTCGGCGTCGGGGCGCGCACAGGGGACGAAGGGCGGGATGCGGCGGGCTGGAGAGGCGCGTGTGGGGCGGGTGCGGGCTGGGTTGCAGGAAGTGCTGTGGAGGGAGGTGCAGGCTGGTCTGCGGATGGCGGCTGGGCTGTGGACGGCGGTGGCGGGTCCATCATCCCTTCTGTGCGCCAATCGTGTCGTCGACGTCTGCTCGCTTTGTGCGCGGCCAGCCGACAGAAGTGGACCCGCGGTGCCCCCGATCAATGAACATCAGGTGCCTCTCAGTGGCTGTGCCCTGCAGCCGCCGGCAAAATCAAATCGTGACTCGTAGAGTCGTATGGCGACGCGATGCGCTGGCTTGTCGGTACCTGCGCGTACATGTACATATACTCTGGAACCACCCACGACGAGGCTTCTATTCCGGTGTATGTCCGCAAGCTTCTGTCCATTGCCTAATCATACATTCGCGAAATGCTCGGTCCGCCGTCGCATTCAGTTTCCACTATAGCCCTGCTGCTCTCCCTGGTCGTAACTGTTTTGCACACCCTGATCAAAGTTGCTGACATCCCGGCCCGCCTGGTTCGCGTCGCGGTCCACGTCGCCAACCTGCCGAGACGCCCAGAGTTGAAGATTCGTGAGCGAAGGCCAATCGCGAAGGCCCAACTCACCTGCTGCCCAGCCCAGTTGGCTGCATTGTCGGGCGCATTCTGGATATCTTGCCCTGTCTGGTTCCAGTCTTGGCGCACGTCCTGGCCGGCCTGGTTGAAGTCTTTATCACCACCGCCGATCTGCGCATAACCCACGTTCATGAGACACGAGACCAGCGTGCATGGTGCGCGAAGTACACACCGCTTGGCCGACATCACGAGCAGCTTCATCTAACCAGCCAGACATTTTATTCACTTTGAACGATGTACTGAGGTGTAGTTTGTAAGCAGTAGTTCGCCCCCTCCACGAACCCGAGTGCACCGTACTAAATGCCATCTCTTCAGGACTATGACGTAGCTCTCTGGTCTTTATTCTCCAAAGCATTGGATTGTATCAAAGCTCATGTGCTCCCAGAAGCTAAAAATAGGGACTTGGACGTCACTCCAGCTTGCATCCTTGGGTCTTCCGCGCACAGTCGCCATGTATATGTGGAGGATCCTGAAGTTCTTGGCACGATGTGATCAAAACGCTCACACGGCAAATTGGAGCATGACACGCAGGAAAGCCGTTCTCAAACTGTAAGTGCACAAACGCTAGCGTTCGGCGTCTGCCTCTGACATTGCTGCTGTCTCATGCCCCCAACTCTGGCTGTCAACACGTTGCAACAAAAACTTTGCTCATTTCACGGACTTCTGGACTTCTGGTACGATGCTGGCGAAACATCCGCACGCGGAAGGCCCGCATTCGACCGCATTCAACGACCTTGACGAGCGCCAGGACCTGCCAGGACACAACAACTGCGCCCCCGGCATGTGAAGCTACTTCATGCTATCTTCCTGCGCTGTATTTCTGACTTGCCCCGAGAACCGAACGATCATTTCGAAACCTCAACAGGTGGAGAACTACCGCATTGGACTCTGCAACCGCGCTTTATCGAAGCCTGCGAAGCACCATGTCTTCTCAACAATTTTCGCGATGGTGTGCGCCAGGGCCAACCTGCACATTGCTCAGCACAAATACGTCGACGTTGGGACGCGGAGCCGTCACCCGCCTACATCGGAGGCCTATGCTCCTCGTATCTCTCCCTCGAAGGTTCTCTGGGATATGAAAGTATTGGAACCACGTTGGCGCCGTCCTTAATCACCGCTATCGCTGATTCATTGACCTTACTACCTTTTTATGCCTCATGCCATCATACAGGGCAGTGCGATTCCTCGGTAATGACGGACCGCGGCTAAGTGCATATTTGCGCAGCTGTACCGCATTCATCAGGAACCGCTCTGGTGGAATTTTGCTAGCGATTCTCAGCGCGGTCTCTGCTATCACGTAATGACTCACAAGCTTAACGTAGTCGTATCTGAGATCTTCGTCTTAATATCGAGCTTATATCCGACACCTGCAGTGTCGCCCCGATGATCGTGGCGCATCATTGAGTCCATCTCCTCTAAGTAGAGTGTATTTGCAGCACGGGCAAAGGGGAGCGGGACGTTGACTTTGAATTGCATGTTTTGGCGGGGCTCCCCCTTGCCTACTGCGGAGAACTTTAGCACCTTGCAAATACACACTAGTATCTCAGGAATGCCAATTCGTGTACGCTGCACGCGATTAAATACGTACGCATTCACGTCTTGCGCCGTTGCCGAGGAGACGCGTGCTACCTCGCACACCGGGGCGTTTCCGAGACGGTGGTACGCACAACATATTTTCTCTGGCCGCGACGACCTGAAACGGTAGTTGTATCACTGTACTAGATTGTACTAGATGCTGGGACATGTGCAAAATATAATAGTATATGCTACAGGGAGCCGGGGACCCGCTTTCTGGGGATCCCATTGGACGACAAAGATGGGGGTGGGTGTTCAGTGTGCTGGATGATATCTACTTGCTCGGTATGAGGGGTAAAAGAGCGTGATGCCTCCGCTGAGGGAGCCGATGGGTGATATCGGTGATTATGATGTATAAGATAATGCGTCGCGACCGGTGAGGGTAGTATGCAAGGAAAGCTTATCCTTGCCCGTGTGGGGACGACTTGCCCAACAACTTAAAGAGCGGCCGCGAAGGCGACCGAGCGCCCATGGCCTCCTTCTCCTTCGCAGGCGGAGGTGACGCTTTCGTTATTTCCAGCACCCCGAGATCGTCCGTGGGGCCCCAACTGAACCTCCTCAGCGCGCTGCCCTTCCTCGGTAGACTCCGTGTACGCGCCATGCCCGGCGGCGCCTTCTCTGAAGGCGGCGTCACGGGCGGCTGCACGGGCGGAGTCAGGCTAGGACTCGCCGCCAGCACGGGCGGGGTGGACGACGCGGGCTCAGTCCGAGGTAGGGTGACGTCGATCGACGCGGCGCGTCGGGGGTACTGCCGCCGCTCCTCGCGTACACGACGCACGTAGTCTGTCGCCTCTGGCGAGCCAGGAGAAGGGAAAAAGTAGGGGGCTGCATAGGGTTGCGTGCGAGGCGTTGGTTTCGGACTGGACGATTTACGCTTCGTGATGGGACAGGGGACGCGACTGTCGGCGATTTCGGAGTCGCTAGGGAGGGGAGTCATCAGACCAGAAGCTTGTCGCTTTAGGCCGTGGTGGAAGTAGCAGTCCTCGGCGTAAGACGTCGAAGCCTGTTGATCCCGAGGTGAGGAGGACGGGCGCTTCTTGATCTTCGGCACGGGCGCCGTCGCCGACCGGAACACCTTCGCTCTCTTGCTCTTTTTCGTGCAAAGCTCCTTCAGCGAGGGCCGCGGCGAGACTTGGGGAGAGCGCGACTTTTCGGAGGGTGTACGCATCTTCACCTTGTCGAAGAGGCTGCCGCTAGACGGCGTGGGTAGATGAGCGGCGGGCGCAGTGGTCGGCAAGGATATTTCGAATGCGGGAGGGAGTGGGAGCGGAAGCGCACTCGGTCGCGGCTTCCTCTGAAACTTGGGGAACGACGATTTGGAGCCTTTCAGGTTGCCGCTGACGGGGACGTAGTGGGTCGGAGGTTGGATGGTGAAGGTGACGTGCTTGTCTGCCTCGTGCGACGGCGCGGACGAGTCAGGAGACTCCGTCCTCAGCGGGACGTAGGTGACGTTCGTGACCACGGACGTGCGCGTCTTCTCGCTGTGCACGCTTTCGAGCGACTCAAGGCCGGCAATCTTCTTGGAGGCGTCGAGGCGCTTGGCCAGCCGTCGTTCTGCGGGTTTTTCGCCGAGAGTAGGCACGAAGCGGATGAGGACAGGGGCAAACAGACTCTGTATGACGAGATGGGTGTTGGCTCAGACGGCGAGGTGCGCGGTACGCACCAGGAGGAAGCCGCCCGAGGCCAGCATGCCACCGAGGAGCATCTGGCCGGCGAACTGGCCGAGCTGCTTGAGAGTAGTCAGGAACGCGTCCATGTCGGAGCACGCGGCGGTTCAACAGAGCGGATAGGGCGCAGGGGGCATGGTCCTTGCTGTGTGGGCGGATGGAGTGTGTAACGGAGAGCAGGTTGATGATGGGCGGTCACGGACGTTTATAAAAGCGGGAAGGGACAGCGCAAGAAGGCGGTTACGTGAGTGGACGGCGTCAAGTCCGAGATCGGAGACATGGCAAATACCAACGCGGTCGGTGCGCCGGGAGGGAGACGAGTCCCTGCCCCCCGGCCTCTTGCACACGCTGACTACGCCCGATCGCGTAACCCACATCTGCACTCACCCGGCCTTCAGCCTGCCCACCTCCTCGAGCGCAATTTTTCTGCTCGGGATGGGCGATTGATGCACATCTGCGCGAACCGGGCAAACATAGAACTGCGTTTACGTGTGAGCGGGAGACTGCCCTGAACCGCATTCCTCACCGGGCGCGGTGGCTGTACCCCAGCGGTATCATTATAGCATGACACATGCAGCACCCCTATAATCATAATACGGCAGCAACGTCGAGCAGCGTCGAGATGACGGATAATCGGGCGATATACTTGATCCTCGGGTCGAATACCCGGGCCATCGTCAAAATGAGCTCGCTCGCTGATTTTCACGTGGGCTAATACTGGCCGCCACCCTCGCACGCTGCTCGCGCGGCGGAGCGCTTCCGCTCCCAAGGTACATGGCCAATGCGTCGGGCTGCAATGAGGTGTCTCATGGCAGCAGCATCATCATCATGTAGGCCGAACGAACGCTGAAGGTCAAATCGGGCGACTGACCGAGCTGACCAGTGAGATGCGCGCTATGAATGGGTCGCAGTCGCAAAGCACGTGACCCGTGCACTGTACACGTATCACGGTGCATACTTATTCTAGATCAGCATGCAGGAGGGCATACCTATGGCAGGTGGGTAAGTGGGAGGTGTCGGGCGAATGAACGATACTGAGAGGAAGACGTACTTGCGGGAGACGGCGTAGCGTTCGGCGACTGCGGATGGGACGAGCGCCCGTCGTTCCACCACGCGACTTTTCCGGACTTCGCAGCCACCTGCTCGCTCTCTGCTCGCCTTGACGGCCTCAAACAATGCCTCCTCGTGGAAATGAAGGTCTCGACTTCACGCCCGTACTGACCCACTATCTCTTCCTCTTCACCACCATCCTCGCCGTGGTGAGCACCCTTGAGCGTTCCGCCGTTGTCTTTCTGAGTGAAACAACCAGGTAGGATGGTTCATGGCCTTCATCTCCCAGGCGGTGGCCACAGCGCAATGTACGCCTGCACCCACTCGTACGATCCACTCGCCCCACTGACCACCAGTTGTTTAGTCGGAAATAGGGTCGTTGGCGTCCTGTGGTTCGCCATATTCCTCCAGCTGTTCCTTACCATCGGCGTCGTCTACACCCTCGCGACGGACGCGATAGCCATGCACCGCTTTCAAATATCGGTCTTCGGCGCCATAGCTGTTGTATTTGCCGTCACTGGCGTTGAGGAGGGCATATTCTCTTCCGCTGCCGCACTCGACGCGATGGGCGCTGGTTGGCTCATCCTCGCCATCGTCGACATCCTCTGGGTCCTCTACTTCACCTCGGAAGAGGACTCCCTCGCCCTCCACATCTTCAACTCGCTCGGTACTGGTGGTCTCACCCCGCCTGGCCGCCGCCGCCGCACACGCTCCATCTCCGCCTCCCAGACGATCAACAACGGCTACTCGAGCGGCTACTCCCAAGGCGGCGGCATGTACGACGCCAAGATGGGCACCATGGGCGCAGGCGTCCGCAGCCAGAATAGCTTCCACGGTGGCAATTCGCTCGAGGGTGGTCCCGTTGGCTCCGCCGCCGCCCGGAGCATCACCAATGGCACCCGCCCAAACAGCGCACACACCGGCCCCGCTACCTCCCCCATTGGCGGAAACGACAGCATGAACGTGGGTGCCAGTTCGCCCTTGATGGGCGGCGGCGCGGCTGGCATCGGAGCCGGTGGTGGGATGCTCACCCCGGACAACGAGGCCCCGCCTTCGGACGCGCCCAGCGCCGAACCCGTTTACAGGGCAAAAGCACTTTATGCATGTGCGTTACCCTTCCTTGTCGACGCTTGCTTGGTTGATTGCTGACTCTTCTCGCTAGATACCGCATCCCCTGACGACCCCAACGAGCTATCGTTCACGAAAGGAGAGATACTGGATATCATCGACAAGCAAGGCAAATGGTGGCAAGCGAAGAAGGCGGACGGCCGAGTTGGTAGTAAGTCTCCACGGCTTATTTAGCGCCGTTCTTCACTGACCAATGCATGTCATTAGTCGCACCGTCAAATTATCTCCAAATCATATAACATTTTTGTTTGTTTGTCATCCCTCACCAGATACCTTACGGAATCTGCGCCCCCTACATACCGACCACCATGCGCATTCTATGTACATAGTCCCCTTTATCCTACGTATCACCCGCCGGTCTTACGATCAACTTGGATTACGTGTCCCCTTGTTTCGAGCTCTTCCTTCATTAGTATCTATCCATCCCCGTGCGCGTTTTGTAATATCGGTCTGCAATGCATCTCGGACTCGCGGAACGGGAGCCCGGTCCTTCTAGGTCTTGAACAATGTTACAATGTCTGGTGTTGTTGACAATTAATACTGTTGCTACACGGAATTGGTTCTTGCGTTAGATGAACGGTGTGGTAAGGGGTCATGCCATGGAGAAATAATGTGGTTATCTTCGTCTCCCCCCAGCACCGCCGAGGATCACCATCTTGTTACCGCGCTTCTTCCTACCCCCGCTCGTCGCTATGCGCTGCTCTAGCTCCTGCCACGCGACGTCCACCTCCCAATCGTCCTCGTCGATTCGTCTAGCAGGACGCACGCCAGATGGACGCGCAGGAGCGTGCAGCGCCGACGCAAAGCTTCTCCCGCCCCACGCGCCCGAGGACGTCGGTCCGGCATGTGGTCGCGTCTCATCAGGAGAAGCACCCGATATCACGTCAGGCGCCGGAAACTCTTCGACATGCAGCAGAGGCCGTTCCAGAGGCGGGACGACGATGTCATGCGTTTCCGTCCAAGAGGGATGCGCCGTGGCCACCCTCAACTCTTGCTCGCGCTCCTTCTCTCTCTCCTCCGCCTTCGCCCGTGCTTTCTCGTCCTTCTTGCCCTTCTCCTTCCTCCGCGCGCGGCGCGCCTTCAGCAGGCCGTCGAAGCTGCGAAGGCCCTCGTGCCCCACGACGGACTCTAGGTCGGCCTCCACGAACACGACGTCCGCGCCTTCTGGCATGTGCGCGAGGTATTTGCACCGCTTGCGCAGATCGTCGTTCACCGTACCCTCGTTGAACGCCTCGACGCGCACAGTGATAGTGTCCGGGAAGGACGCGTAACCAGAGTAGTGCGACACGAGGATGCGTATGTCGAGCGGGTGGAGGAAGATCGGCATGCCGGAGGCCGACTGGTAGTAGTAGTAGGTTGACATCGAAGGAGGGGGAGGATTCAAGTTCCGGCGCTGCCTGCTGTTCCGGTTCGCGTTCGCTCCCGCAGCTGGCTTTGGAGACGCGACAGGGTGCGGCGTTGAAGGGCCGTTGTATACAGGCTGGGTTGCCAGGAACTCCGCCGGCGTCTCCGGAGAAGATTCTGCGGGAGCAGATGATGGCTGGCTGGAGGCAACACGAGCAGCAGCGCGAAACAAACGGTCTTGTAATTCTTGTAAATCGCGCAGCGCCCGATCTACGGCGTCCTGCAGAGCGGGTGTCTCCAGCGCCGCTGCTTTAGCCATCTGCATGCGTAACTTCTGCTCCGCAGCCTCTACGAAAACCAGTCCAAGTTCGTCACCGGCAAGAGCACGGCGCTCTGCAGCCAGTTGGTCCAGGTCCCTCGTAAGGTCCTCGATCAGATAAGCAGGTGTCGCGAGCATGAACTTAGAGAAGGCATAAACGTCGGGGAGGAAGTGAAAAGGGGCTTGATGAGGAGGGATGATGTCGGATGGCCAAGTCTTGGACCGAGGCAGAGCAAGAGTGGTAATTTGCGGGCGCTGCATTAACCGCATACGCAATGTAGACCCAGGAACGAGGGTAGCGGAGGAATCATTGTCGAGTGTTGATGAGGTCGAGGACGCCTCGGCATGGCCGTTATCGGTGTCCTCCTCCGGTTGTGAAGGTCCGTCGTAGAATTTAACCGCCTTGAGCTGCTTCTCATTGACGGAGTCGAAGCAAATCGGACATCTGATCCACTTCAAATCGTCAGAAGTGTTGATGAGATGCAGAATGCAGGGGAAGCAGAACACCTGCGGTCAAGTTAGGATTCGTGTTCTTTGGGCGGGTTGAATTGATTGAAGTGTGAAGACTCACATGTCCGCATTTCGTCATCCGGGGTGCAGCTGGGGGCGACAAGCAAATGGGACAAGTTGTATGACCCTCATCTTGCCCTGATGATTGTCCCGCGGCCGATGCTCGCGCGGATGAACGAGGGACGATAACCTGGAGGATATCTTGCCACTGGAAGAAACTACATGTATGGTGACCACTGGTTCTATAAGAGTAGGGGAAGTTCATACATGTCAGGATCGGCAAAGTGCACAGTGTAATCTCCGGTTGGGTTCATGACAAAGCGATATTGAGCGTTCACAAACCCTGCACCGGATGTCAGGATGATAACCAGCGAGCAAATGGTTGGAATCACTCACTCTCCTTGTTCCAGACGCCATGTTGCGTTCCATACTTCCTGCTCCGCCGAGGGACGGCCTGCTGTTGCCTCGGAGGAAGGGTGAAGTTAAGAAGATGGTTCAGGGACTGATTGGAAGCCATCTTCGCGGGGCGGTTGGGCGTCGTGGACCTCGGCGTGAAGATCGGAGTGGTCATTGAGCCGCCCCTCCTCCGTGCTATTGCGTGAGTCGGCGAGGTCGATGGAAGTATTGTGGACCGCGGTGGAAGCCTCCTTGAGGCTGACACCTAGGGAGAGTCGCAGCGGGCGATGACTCCATATAACCAGAGCACGTGCGTCACTCTCAGCGCTGCCGACACCTGCCTTCGCACCACTACTTATATCTATCAAAGCCGAGATACATAATAGTCTGGCAGGCGGCACCATCTTAACGCAATACGCGCTATAACACGCAAGTTGTTGAAATATGGCGAAAGGCAAAACTGCCAATCCAGCGGACGCGTTCAGTGCGTTGGACAAGCAACGAAGAGGAATATAGTGCTCCTGACCGGCTACTGACTACAGGGAAGGCTCAGAGGAAGAAGGAACTGAAGAAGGTGAATATCTGCTGAATCTTCCATTTAAGGCTAACAGCCTCGGCAGAACAAAGCAGAGAGGCAGAAAACTCGCGACTTTGCCCTCGTCAAGAAGGACACAAGCGGTATGTTATCTTTGCATGTTCGCTCAGGTTGCGTGGCACTGATGAATCCCTGTAGAACTTGAAGAAGAAATAGCAAGACTAGAAGCAGATCCCAATTCCGATAAACAACGTCTCAACGAGGCCAAGAACGAGCTCGAGAAGATCAATAAGAAAAAGGAAGAATATGTTGCTGAACATCCCGAACAACGCAAACTGGTGTACAGGCCTAAGAGAACACAGCAGAATCAAGAGGAGTCTCGACCCGCGAAGAAGTCCCGGAATCTGTTCGATAAGAATGGTCTTCCTCGACACCCGGAAAGGAGTATATATTATGAACCTGTCATGAACCCATTCGGAGTTGCACCTCCGGGTATGCCCTACATGGAGAGACGTATGTGCAACTGATACGGTGTTGCATGACGCTGACTCTTTTCTCAAGCTCTATTGCCGGGCGAGAAGGATAGTGATGTGGAGGATATGTCGGATGGTGCGAAAGTCAGATGGCCGATAATGCGGCCCGCGTCTGACGCTTCAACAGAGGACAAAGATGACGATGATATACCCATGCCGGAGCAACCGCCTCCATTACCAGAAGAAACCGGTGAAGACAGTGACGACGACATACCTATGCCTGAAGGCCCTCCTCCCGGCAGCTTTAGTGCGGGTGAGTGTGTCTTTCACATCATCAGCAATATTGATGAGAACGTTCTATGTAGACCCGCCGCCGCTGCCATCAGGACCGCCGCCGATTCCGATGGTTCTATCGCTACCGCAACTTCCGTTTTCTCCGCCTGGCAGCCTAACCCTCCCTCCTCCTCCTCCCACGGCTCCCTTTGGAGCCATCCTCCCGCCGCCTCCTCCTGCTGGACCTCCAGCTCCTGGGCCTCCATATGGCGTACCAATGCAGAAAATTCCCTTGCCACCGGGAATACCGCTATTCCCGCCTCAAAACTACGTGTCAATGCCTCCGCCTCCGCCCGGCTTCTTTCCTCGGCGCAACCAGTCTGAAGGTGTCATACAAGATCCTTTATCCGCTGTACCTCACCAGACGTACCAGGCGTACAGAGCGGGTCAGCTGCAAGGGCATCCATCCTTGCCGCCAAAACCCGCTGCTTCTACCGTCACTTCACCCGCGACTACAGTCAGCGCGTCTGCAACAGTGTCGGCGGAGCCGGAGCTCCGTGACTTCAAAAAGGAAGCCACCGCGTTCGTGCCCACGACGCTCAAGCGGAAGGCAAAGGAGAAAGCCGCTTCTTCCGCCGGAAAAATAAACGCCGCGCCATCCCTAGCACCCACTGGAACTGATATGGATGTCGCCGCGCCGCGACCTGACTTGCTCAGCACGCTGAAGGATCACCTTCCTGTGCCTGCCACTGTGCAAGGACAGTCCACTGCAGGAGCCTCAAAGCCAAGCGTTGCCAAAGGGAAAGACGATTACGAGAAGTTCGTGGAGGAGATGGGGGATCTTTTGGGCGGGTAATCGCGTCGTACTCGAATGTCAACCATTGTTGTCTCTGCGGTTCGGGGGAGATCAGGCAAGTAACCTCCGCCATATCTTCACAATCTGCACCCCATCGAGGTAATTTTATTGCAACGAAACCTGCAGGCTGGAAGTAACCTCAATTAAGAGCGGAGTTCCCACAACGTCAACGATCTTGTGTTATCTCCTCAAAATCCCTGAACAGCAACATGACCTGACATGATATGCCGGGCATCGTCCTCGTGTATCAAACAGTCTATACACCATCTCCAATTGGTCAATATCTGGTACCTGTCGCGGAAGGCAAGTTCGACTCTTGCAAGCCTGCTTATTCTTGCGAAGAATCCATGACAATCCATCCAAACCGGTTCGAATCCGCGACGGCCTTGAAATTTCCGCTACGCTCAGAGATCGGTTTACGTTGACTCGACATACTTCGTAATAGATGCCGGGAATGAGTCATATTTACTCAGTACAAGTGGGAGTCACGATAGGCTTCCCGCAGCAGACCCCCCTCCCCCGCTTCACGATGGCGTCCTACGAGTATTTGCTCGTGAACGCCTTCACCGCGGATCCATTCCGGGGCAACCCTGCGCTCACTGTATTCCTTAACGACAATGCCACCTTGTCGACGGACGACTTGCAGGGCATCGCTCGCAATTGGCAACAACCCATAGTCTCCTTTCTATTTCCCGTCGCACCAAATCAACTTGACCTACCGTCGAACACAGTCGAGTACGGTGTGCGCTGGTTCAGTACGCGGCGCGAGGTCATACTTTGCGGACATGGGACACTAGCCGCATGTCATGCGCTCCTAGCCAGTGGGCGCGTACCATCCAACGTGGATGTCATCTCGTTCAGACCGTCATTATTGGAGGGTCAGGTGGTCACTGCAGCGAAAATAGAGGTCGACGGGAAGACTACCTTCGAAATCGAGCTGCCGTCGACCATTCTCATCCCTCTGTTGGAGGACGAGTGCATGAAAATGACTGGCATCGTCCAACAAGCACTGGGCAAATCCGATGTTCAGCTTCGTTTCGCTGCCCGCGGCGTGAAGGAATTCGAGCAATATCTTCTGCTCGTGTTGGATAATCCCGAGGTGCTTAAGGGATGTGCTGTGGACACGGACCGTTTCGTGAGTCCGGAGTATGGTGTCACTCGTTCATGCATATTGCTGACTGGTGGAGACAGAAAAATACAGGATATAAAGTAAACGTCCTGACCTCGGAGGCCCCCGCCGATCTTCGCGACGAAGCGCTCTTCGTTTCGCGTATGTTCGCCCCAGTGTCTGGCATAGCTGAGGATCATGTTTGCGGCTCTGCACATTGCCTACTCGGGCCCTACTGGTCGGCAGCGAAGAACGTGAAGCACACACGCATAGCGGCGATTCAGGTCAGTGAGCGAGGTGGCAAGCTGGATTTAGTAGTCGACGAGGCAACAGTAAAACTTCGCGGCGAAGGCGTACTCTTCGCTCGAGGCCAGATGTTCTTGTAATCGATTGAATACTCGTGTGAGACAACAGTAGACCAGGCTTACTGAAGAAAGCGCAATACTGGTCGATAGAGATCGGCGACGTTCCCGGTGGAAACGCGTATAGAGCAGAGGCGACAATATGTCGGCGCAGTATGTACATCCAAGCGATGCATTGCACAGTCACGTGAGAATACAACAACAGAGATAATCGTGATAGACAGACAAGCTGGACGAACGGCGGCTCTAGTACACAATGATTCGATGGAGATACATGCGCTGTGCTTTAGAGCTTGTCGTAATAAGTGTCGAGGGGAGGGATATCGGGCTGGAATGGACGAGTGAGTTCAACGATATAACAGCGAAATACGATTTCCTCACCTTGAGACCCTTGCGTGTACGGATGCTCTTGACGAGCTCCTCCAGTTTGCTACCCTTCTCAAGAGGAGCTATTCGCAAAGGATTAGTAAGTTAACATCATGAGCGCGACCTTACTCACAGCCGTTCATCAACTGCCAGTGATCGAAGACACTCTGGGGGAATGCCTGTCCACCAGTTTGCGACCGCAACTCGCCGTTGAATCCGAAGGACTCCATGACAGGGAGGTAAGCCTTCACAGTGAACATGGGAGTGCCTGGCCTCTGCTCCTCGCTGAAGACCTGACCACGACGCTTGTTGAGCACGGAGTAAATACCGCCGATAGCGTTCTCCGGGCACTGGATCTCGACTGTACAAATGAATCAGCATTGGGTCCTTGTGAGTTGCGAATATATGGGACGGACCGAGGTAGACTGGCTCTTGAAGACCAGGCGTAGCAAGCAAGCAAGCCGCATAGCAAACGCGGCGAGTCGTCGGAATGATCTGTCCACCACCACGGTGAATGGCATCGGTGTGTAGCTGAAACGCGGATCCTCAGGACGACCGTACGCCCCGCAAGTACGACCCTCTTACCGTAACATCGAGGATGTTGAAGCGAATACCGCGCATGTTCTCCTCCGCGCATACACCCTCCTTTGTCGCCCACTGGAAACCAGCAATACAAGAATCCTTGATCTCGTTGAGGTATTGAACACCCTTGGTAACGTCAACGAGAAGGTTAGGGCCAGTGGTGTCTGGACCGAAACACCAGATTTTGCGAGCATCGGTGACGTCCCATCCGTACTCATCAGCCATGATACGTGCACGGGCCTTGAAATCATCCCTGGCGTTGATCTTGCCGGACTCGATCGCAATGGTGAGCTCCTCCTCAAGCGGTAGTGCCTTCACGTAGAGACGATTGTGCTTGTTCTGAGATTTTGACAGGGCGACCATGGACGATTCGGCCTTGACGGTTTCACAGTATCCGACGACGGGAGGCGAGACCTTTAGGGGGACACCGGCGTGATCCTCCTCGAGATCCTGGAAGGCGTGGTCAACGAACGAACGCGACCGCCGAGACCATGCTTACCTTCAAGCAGATCTCCAAGTGAAGCTCACCGGCACCGGCGACGATGTGCTCACCCTGAGGTGAAATCCAAGCCTGCACGCACGGGTCGGACTTGGACAAACGCTTGAGACCTTCGACGAGCTTAGGCAGATCGGCGGCATTCTTGACCTCGACAGCGACCTGGACGACGGGAGACACGGAGAACTTCATGACCTTCATGTTGTGCGCCGTCTCAGAGGTGGTGAGAGTACCGCTCTTGAGAAGGAACTGGTCGATGCCAACGAGGCCGACGATGTTGCCAGCCGGGCAATCCTCCAGAGGCTCGACGTAGCGACCCATCATCAGCATCGTACGCTGTATCGACTTAATGAATAAGTCGTCCTTCTTGCCCGGAACGTAGTTCGGGCCCTGGATACGAATCTTCGGACCAGCACGGACGGTACCAGAGAAGACGCGACCGAAGGCATAGAAGCGACCACGATCGGAAGTAGGTACCATCTTCGAGATGTAAACGCAAAGAGGGGCCTTAGGATCGCAGTCACGAATGCCAATAGCGGTTTCGTCGTCCATGGGGCCCTCGTAGAGGGTGTCCACACGGTACCTTTGCGCGGTGGCGGGGGAAGGAAGGTTGATGACAATCATCTCCAGGAGAGCTTCTCCGGCGGGGAGGAAGCGACGCATGATCGCCTTCAAAAGAGCCTTGCCTTCCAGGTCCTTCTCCTCAGGAGCGAGCTTGATCTCGAGCTTCTCAAGCATGGGCTCGATTTTGTCCTTCTTAAAGTTCATAACGGCATCGAAAATCTTGAAGATGGGGTCGAGGACGAACATGTTGAAAGCACGTTCAAGCGAGGTACCATCGGAGTCGATGCCCTTAGTCGTCCACTTGCGGGTCTTAGGGTTGAAGAAGTTGTCGCCCCAAAGCTTGACCATCATCTTCTCCTTGTCGACACCAAACTTCTTCGAATAACGGTTGGCGAATTGGCGCAAGGTGAAGGCCCAGCCATGCAGACCGGAGCCGAAGGCGACAGTGCCCTTCTCAGGGTAAACCTGGACATCGCCAAGGACTTCGTCGTGGTAAGTGGAGATAATGACGTTGACGCTCTCAACGGTGCGACGGAAGGACTGGAATAGATCCTCCTTGTCTACCTGAAGTTCGAGGAGAGCACGGTCGACCTTGTTGATGACGCAAACGGGTTTGATCCGTTCCGAAAGCGCTTGACGCAACACAGTCTCGGTCTGAACGCACACACCGTCGATGCAATCTACGACAACGAGGGCGCCATCGGTGACACGGAGGGCAGCGGTGACTTCGGACGAGAAGTCAACGTGTCCGGGCGAATCGATCAGGTTGATCAAAAACTCGTTGCCTAGCAGGTCATGTCAGGGGTTGTATGCGAGATTGACTGTGGGGCTATACTTTCGGTTTTTTGCTTGATCGAAGGAAGGTCCTCCTTGTCGATTTCAAAATACATGGAGATGGCCGTGGATTTGATGGTAATTCCTCGTTCTTTCTCATCCTCTCGAGTATCGGTGAACCTTACTTCGCCAGCGTTCTTCGCGGCGATGATACCGGCCTTGGAAACGAGGGAGTCCGTGAGGGTAGACTTTCCGTGGTCGACTGTGCATGCATGTCAACGATATAGAGAAAGGTTCGGTAGAGGCGGCGCACCATGCGCAATAACACTCATGTTACGGATGTTCGTGGGCTTGTCCATGAGGGCCCGAATCTGGTCTGTGTATTAACGCTGTCAGTCGAGTGCTTGTGCGGGATGTTCGGCGCAGATACGAGCCTACTGTGAAGTTGCTAGCATGATACGGGTTCAGCGAGATAGCAATCTGAATTAGTGTGAAAGACGTACACCATGGCGACGAAACTTTATGGAGAACGGGTTCAAACGTAACGTGAGCTGATCCCTGGGACCAGCAGATATACAATGGGGAATGAGTCGAGCAAGCACCGGGGCCGTCGCTCGTTGGGAGGAGGAGGAGAGGAGGAAAGATTTCTGAAGCTTATCGATCATGCAGCCGTGGGAATACGCTTTTTAATCCATTACAGTACCCACGTCCTTGGTTGCAGTTGGAACAGACACCGCTCTGATCGCGTACGCGTTTGGCCAGTAATTGACAAGGGACCGTGCATATTCACCGATATTGCAAAGTCAGAGATGACTCCAATGGTTGATCGTGACTCGGTGACATCCACTTAAACCTGCGATGTCGACGGATTGACTCCTGCAGGTCATGTCTGCCCAAATCGCGGAGCAACAGTCACTCACATTGCAGCTGCGCCCACTGCAATTGAATCCAGATTCAAACGAGCCATTCCTCCGCCTACCTGATCCACATGATTATATTATCCTCACTCCTCCGCGAATGCATGATGCGCAAGACATTGTCAACTCCTTGAATGATGACCGCGTGTATCCATGGTTAGCAAGGTATGTGACCGCAAAACCGGTTCCACAGGCAAAGGGCGCTGATTCTCTCTCAGCGTCCCTCATCCATATCATCTCGAGGATGCGGTGGCGTCTCTCGATCGCATGATGGGCACCACGACGCCTATCCTGAACGAGTTATATAGTGCTGCTGCCGCTGGTGTATCCTCACCCGCCATAGTGAGCGGATGTCCTGTGAACACTATTAGAGAACTGCGCCCGGGCGGATCCGACGCGTTTATCGGATCGTGCCTATTGGTGCGCTCCAGATTCCAGGAAATCTTGGACCCAGATGAACGGCGAAGGGTCACAGAAGATAACAATGCTCGATCGCCTGGTGATCCTGACATCATATGGAGTTTTGGTTGTGCGCGTATATCTGCATTGTTCCGGACGTATACACTCAAACATTCTACCAGATTTCATGGCACCGTCACATCAAGGTAAAGGCGTGATGTCGGCCGCCGTCAGTGCCATCATACATGAATGGGCCGTACCGCGGATGGGCGTGCGGCGCATACGTGCAGGGGCGTTCACTGTGAGTAGGGACTCGGAGGAGGTCAAAGTTGTTCACGAACGGACTCGCACGTACAGGGAAATTATGGATCAATCAAGGTCTTTGAGAAGAACGGTTTCAGGATGATGGGGACGATCGAGGAATGTATTGAGGTGACTGCCCGCAGACGCGCCGGGGGACCTAAGCGTTCTCTTCACCTCCTTGAGTGGACTACTACATAGAGGACTTGAGTATCATAGCTAGTAGATGACTATCAGACTAATGTGGTCCATCTCCTAGCCATCCACATTCGACTGGATCGCGCGAGCTGGCATCCAAGTACAACATTAATGTAACCTGCAGGGAATACGAATTCAGATCGAGTCAACCGCGAACATCACATATATCCAGGCTCAAACTCGCGCTCAGCGCACAGTACTGTGTTCGCTCGGCTTAGCTTGGTACCCTCAACTGCTATGACTAACAACACTCACCGCCAACTCCACCCTCTACAAGTTAATCGGGTTACAGGAGAACCATTCCTCCGACTGCCACCCCCTCACTCACACATCATCTTTACTCCCCCGCGTGTGTCAGATGTGCCATCTGTGGTCGTCAACATGAACGACCCAAAAGTTTACGAGATGTTGAATGGACCACCGTATCCATACAAGGACGAACATGCTGTATGGTGGATCGGCACGATCAAAGCAAAAGCAGACGAAGTTCTCGAGGAACTCAGGGAGGTGGATTCCAGGGATCCCGAGGCACCCCTACGCATCGTCGGCCATTGCCCCGTAAGGATTCTGCGGGAGGTGAAAGAAGACGGGAGCGACGAGTTTTTAGGGGACTGCGCCTTGACGCGCTTGCGTTATCCAACTATTTTAGACTCAAAGGAACGCGAACGTTTGATAAAAGCAAACGAAGATAGGCCGGTGGGGGATCCTGAAATCATATGGGATGTGGGAGGTCAGAGCTTGCGGACGATCGAGCTGGGCCAGGCTGACGGCATTTCAGACTATATCTGCGCTAGTCATCAAGGCAAAGGCATTATGTCTAACGCATTCGCCACTCTGATGCGCGAATGGGGCATTCCGAGAATGGGCATTCGACGGATGCGAGTCAGTGCTTTCATCGGAAACTATGGAAGCATCCGGTGAGCCTATAGCACCCACGGCAACGTCAGGATGCTTAAGGGGAATACCAGCGTATTTGAGAAGAACGGCTTCACGTTTGTGGAGCAGGTAGAGGACTGTATTGATTTAGAAAGCATCGGGAGAGAAGGGAAACGGGGACTGTATTGTCTTGAGCGAACCTTCTCAGGCGCTGCAGGGGAAATCTAACGAGCCACGCTATGATATACATTAAATCGGGCAAAGTGGTTTGGGTCGCCTTCAAGTTGTTATCCAGAGATACTCACTGCCAGTGAGTACTAAGTGAGACGCGTACAACGGTTGCGGCCAAGGGGGTTTGGTCAGGCTTGGTCAGTCACTGGGTACAAATCTAGATTTCTCATGAGTGCAAATTCAAGAAAGATCCTATAAAATGTGAAATGTTTATTACATATTTGGAAGTGACAAATCATGGGCAAAATTATCATTTTCTTGATTTCATTCATGCTTTTCTGCGTTTTTCTGCGTTTTTCAACATTTTATCAAAGATTTTTGATCTGAAGCATGCTCTGATAAATCTCAAATGTTTACAGGATATTTTTGGGATGCAACAATTTGGCCCCTGTGAGTGGCGCTGCCCCCTCGCTTCACCGGCGGCGCCAGCTTGAGGCCTTGCTCAATGGCAGACACCACCGTTGACACATACGGCTTCCCCGCTGGATATTTCTTAATCCGTTCTTTGGCTTCTAACCGACTTGTTGATGTCGATACCGACGCAGTATGTCGAATGATGACTCGAGCTGCCCATAACCAGCTGAGGAGCCATGCGCCTTCCTCAGATTGAGGATGGTACCGAGGTTATTCTTTGGCCGGGCAAAGAGAATTCCCTTGTCGAATGTAAGACTCCAAGCTTGCTTGAATCCCGATGTGTACTCTGGGTGTAAGAGAGTTTTGCCGAGATCATTGACGATATCGGTAGATTTGAGAAATCCAGAAGCCAACAACCAAGTGTTCTTCATTGACACATCCGGAGCGTTGTGCTCACGTTCTTCTGGCCACGCCATCGGCAAGTATATTTGAGAGCATCCCTATATTTCCACCTGTCTGACCTCCTACGCCTAGACATCGAAGGTTCGCCCTTCGGTTCGTACTGAATTTCTTACAGAGCTAACTCACGCTTACTGCAAGATGATCGCCTGGTCCTGCGCCACCGCAGGCCGATATCATACCCGTACCCTAACTCCTACTCACACCCAGTAGTACGGTTTTCGTTCGATGGCAAGACGAAAGAAATCTCAGTGACTTTTCCTGTGGATCCCGTTCACTATTCCACCGGCGATCCAAGAAGCGTCGTGTTCGAGCCACAATCTCGAGTTGTCTTAGCTTCCATCCCAAAACGCAAACCGCCCTCGTTCGTGGACAATGCAGGGCGTTTCTTTCAATCGAATCTTGTTACACCCTTCCAGTCCAATGTGGTCAACCCGTTGACCCACGTGCTACCGAATCTCTCTCCGATGGGGTCACCTTCCACAACTTCAGCCAACCCTGAACAGGTCTTTGATGGACGCATCGAACTTGGGGACGACGATACGCTTGAATCTGAACGCGGTGAAGAAGGTGAAGTGGACGATTCCCCGGACAAAAATCGACGGTTGCGGTTGGTGAAGATCGAAGAAGGGCGGCCTGCATCCGATGCAGCGATACAACGGCGACAATGGGAGATCATACCCTTGAGAAGGGCAAAAGCCCACACGGGAGCTTTATGATGATCGGAACGAGGCATTGCGCCGGCCTTGAGTAACACATAAGTAGGTGTCGTTCAGGGTGCGGGTGCACAATCGGGTCTCCATGGTCGTGTTGGTATATGGTCGTATGATAGGTGTACAACCCGATCCTGTTTCTCTTGTATTGCTCTCAGTGATGTCTGGGTATACTGTGATAGCGTTCCATCGATAACATAATTCAGGTTATTATATGGTCGCAAAAAATACAAGAGCACGCCGCAATAGTGTCCGAACGAGATATCACATAGTCGTCGCAGGTCGTGTCATGTCCGAGTTCCGTGCCCTTCACCGTTTCTCGTTGGAGTTCCAACCGCCAGGAGGGTGCAAAGGGCCCCCATTGCCGCTGCTCCCGCTCGCCTCCTGATACTGAGGAGGTTCATCGTCATATTGTGTCGGGCTCGCTACCGTGTTGCGCGGCGGCGGGCTGCGTGGACCGCGAACGGGACTCGTCGGCGACATTGTTCGCGCGGCATCATTCGTGTACGCGGCATCATATGCAGGGGATGGCATGGGAACCTCGGGTTGGGGTTGCGCGTAGGCCGTGGCCTCGTAAGCAGCGTGGACGGGAACACTGCTGGCGCCGTAGCCACCACCGCCAAGCGTGTATGAGCGGTCATGCGCGGAGGGCATGGGCGGGGATGGGGAGTGGTATTGCCCGTAAGCTCCATGTTGAGTGGGTTGTGCTGGTGAATAGGATTGACTATGCGACGCGCCAGGCATCACCATGGCACCGTAAGCTTCGGCATTGAAGGACGGGTCCTGCCAATGTCCCTGATCGGTCTGGGCGTCGTAGTACTGTTGCGATGGATATTGCGAATGGGCTGAGTGATCTGAAGTGAATAATGGTGAGCGGATGAAGAGGCGGATCGAGGAAGTATACCTACACGATGTCATATCTTGCCCATGTCCAAACGTGCCGCCGGTCGCGTACTGTTGATGCCCATAACCGGACGGCGCCAGGTACTGGCCTGCAGCTGCGGTACCTGCTACAGCCGCTGCAGCGCCCACGGGAGAGACCGATGGCATCGGGGGGACTGCCGCAGGAGAGGAAGTAGGATACCCAGTGTTATATGCGGATGAGGCATAGCCGGAGTGACCGCTGCCTTGCCTCCGCGCGGAGGACTGCATCTGGGACGGTGTCTGCGCCTGTGGCGGATACGTTGAGTGGCTGGAGGGTTGCCTCTGCGGAGAAGCGGAATGGTATTCGTCTACTGCACGGGTACCGGGAGCTGCTTGGGCATAACCTGGATGCTGGGTGCTGCTAGGTTGATCACGGTAGGACTGCGCGTGGTGTTCGTCTTCGGCCACGACGCGGTCGCCGTCGATGACAGCATATGTCACCTTCGATGGGTTTAAGGGCTGGGCGGCGTCATATTCATCAAACGCGGGGAGCCCTACCTCGCCTCGTTTCTGTGCGGCCTTCCGGTCCGCCTCTGCTTTGACGGCGTCAAGGCGCATCTGGTCCGCGTAACGGTTGTTGCCTTGTTCTGCAGATGATGGCGCATTCCACTTGCTATCCCCGCGCGGCGCCCTCGGCCTGTTCCTGATGCAACATCTACCGATGCCATAAAAGCACCCGCTGAAGAAGAGGAGAACCCATGCCGCGAGTGTGAGCCATATCGCATTGCCCATCTGGGCGGAGCCACCGCTGACGGAGTTGATGCGGGACTTGGCGATGAAGAAGAATGCGAGGTCGAAGATGAACGCGAGGAGGGCGATTGCAGCTGCAAATCCGGAGATGCAGGTTGAACAGCAGGCCATGGACATTTCGCGCACGTGGGCGAGAAGGCCGAAGACGGCAGAGATGGCAGAGAGGATGAGGGCCACGACGTGGAGGAAGAGTGCGTATGTGAGCCATTTGACAACCACGTTCGGGATCTTGATTGGTAGATCGTTTCCAACCAGGGAGTTTATGTCTAGCATTACGCATGTTGAGAGATCGGTGACAAGGCTTCCTGGCGGTAGACTTACCCAGTTCATATCCGATGTGTGGGGACGTGCAATTGGTGCTCTGCCCTGATATCTCCAAACAGTATCCGAGAGTACCAAACGTGACAGAGCCGTTAATGCTTTCGACCGACAACGAGGCTTTCAAGAAGAAGACAGATTTGAAGTAGGGCACGGAGAAGGAGACGATTGCGAGTAGGATGGTTGCCACCAGGGTGACCAAGAAACCGGGCGTCGCTGGTCGAATCAAACCCATGGCCGCCGCGCAGTGTGGTAGAGAGGGTCGATATAGAAGAAAGTGGGCAAGAGCGCGCTGCGTTTCGTGCGCAGCTGGTCGCTCCGTACGACGTCGACCGGACAAGGCGGTGCGAAGGCCAAGCTATACCGCGCACGTGAGCCTGCGCCACAGTCGTTCACAGCTGCGAAGAGTGCGCTCCGGTTCAACTTGCTTCAAGAGCAGCGCCTCCGGAATGGTCCCGCGCAGAGCCAACCGAGAGCAACGGCCCGGTTTGCACCCTGGACGTTGAACGTTGAATGGTCAACCATCTCTACGTTCGATGCCTTCGAGCTCTCTGCAGTCGCCTGTGCTATTCTGATCCCCGTGCGTCTTCGGGGTGATCATCACTCGTGACAGCTTTCCTGGAAACGCCTCCGGGTATACTCCATCACGACGCCTGCGATTGGCCCTCATACGACGCCACGAATTGGACATATATTATCGGGAGCCTTTGCGTGATGCAATCCTACACTCTCCCCTGCTTTGTCCGGTACCCACACCATTCCAACTCCTGTCGCTGTGCGTAATCCAGAGTTGCGAACGCTAGTTGAATACGACAACTCAGCCACGTCCAGCCTTCCGTTATGGGCTGCACGTCCAGCAAGCAATTATCGCCTGAGGACCTCGAGGGAACTCCCGTGAAGTCTAGTCGGTGGCGGGCCGTCAAGAAACACAAGGGCAGGCGATCTGTTCCTAGTCCCGAATTGGATGCCACCGCGGCGGAGGCACCATGGAACCAGGAGAGGAGGATATACGTCCACTCCAAGGATGGAGCAGGCGGATGGATTGTCGAACCGCTCCCACCGGCTCCGGAGGCACCTCCAGCCTACGTCGGTAGTGAGCCAGACGCTCCCGGCGGCCAACGTTAGGTGAGCGAATTGCATGCGCTTCTTCTGCTCGAGTTCAGCTAGCAACCAGGAAGACCGCCGCCATCACGCTATTCTCCTCCTAGCATCGTCATGCTCTATCCCTTTCGCACAGTCGGCCCATTGTTCAAGTTGTTGACCCTCCCTGCCTTTGCCTTTGCCTGTGTATACGTATATACCGCATCCAATCCAGTATTTCTCGAGTCTTGCGGGGCAAGTCGTGGGCGCGCGACGATCACGTAATGAGCCGGTGGCAGACGCGGGCGGAGAGCACGTGTAGCGCGGACCCGCGAAGGTTCGATTTGCTCATGAGCTCATGGCCAGGCAACGGCTTCCACTCTCATGCAGCGAACACGACCACGGACCTTGTACTAGCGATCTCGCCGCACAAGCAACTCAGGCGCTGGCACGTATACCCTAGATGACCCTCACGCCCACTCCAACCCCAACGACGACCCAACTACGACATCGCCAACGACACGATACGGCTGCTCACAATAACAACTTCTGGCAGACAACCGTTGATGGCTCAACGGTCTTTACGAGCGGAGGAACCACTTTTATGACTTCTGCGGGCTCCACGTTCTTCATTAGCGGCGGCGTCACGGCGCCAACGAGCTTCACTTCCGTCGAAGGTTCTCAATTTACGTCCTCGAACGACCCTTTTCCGACGACAAGCGCGTTATCGGGCTCTCAGACGACGACATCGGCTCCGGGAGACTCTACCGGAGCACCCATCACAAGCGATCCTACCTCCTTTCATTCCTCAACATCTCATGTCGGTGCAACCTCTTCACTACCACCCGCCACACCGACCGTGGTGCAAAACGCGGCGAAAGGCGATCCTGTATGCATAGGAGACGGGTTGGACGCACAGGCAGGAGGTCTTGTAGCTACCCTCATTCTCCCGACCGTCATCGGAATACTCCTCTGGGTAAGTCGAGACACACTTTGTTGTCCATTCCCGATCCTCGCGGCTTATGCATGGCTGCAGTTGCTGTTCGCGTTTCTTCGACCCCGGTTCCGTCAGCTATACGCGTTGCGCGAATGGTTTGTGGAGTCCGGGTGAGTAGCATGCGTTGCATGTCGGCGTAATTTCGCTAATTCGTCGTCTTCGCGGCGTCAGGCTTCGTCCACGGCCACTCGGTGATAAACTATGGGCCTTTCTCTTCCCCCCTGTTCCATTAGTCCCCGAAATTGAACCAGACGTATCCGACGCTGGCAGATCGGTTGCAAGAGATGCCGCGCTTTTCCCATCGGACGAGCAACTCACTCAACGATCGCTCTGGGTCGCATTCCTCATCGTGTTGGGCTGGTCGATTCTTGCACTAGCAGGCGCGCTGCCCTTGTATCTCGTGAATACCAATTGTTTGGCACATACGGCCCCTCGCAAGGCCGGCACCGGTGTCTACTCGACCCTTCAGGATCTGTCGCTCGTCCGACTCCTCCAACTATATGCTGAGGAACATAACGACAATCATTCTGGGTTACTTCGACGTGCATCCAGCAGCAGTGGCCTTTCCAATGCCCGAATCCGTATCATTGTTCTTACTGTGCTGGTCATCGTCCTCGGAGTTCTTCCTGCTCTGTGGAAAATCCTTCGCGAGTATACGAAGCTTGTCGCCTATCGTAATGCCTGGTTAGAAACGCGATGTGGCGGGCAGGATATGGCGTGGCTGAGCGCCCAACAAGCACCGGGGTTCTTGGGCTGGGGTGAGAAACGGCTTAAGGACTTTATCACAAAGGCCGGTCTAAGCTCGGGCATGGAGGGCAGCCGCGACAGTTCAAGGGATGGTAGAAGAACAGTCGACGGTAGCAGGAATGGGCCCAGGAGGCCAACCGAGGAGGAGCCGCTGACGGGACCTGAAGGTCATGAAGCACCAGACGATAATGGTCCCGAAATCGACATTCAGAGCCTCTTCACCATCAGGTAGGGGGCAGAGTTACGATGAACACTCAGAGGGCTGATGAAACATTCTTCAGCGAGACCGCACGCCTTGCGACGTTGATCGAACAGCGAGACGAAATATTGGAAAACCTAGAAATCGCGGAGACCAGATATATACAATCGTTCCGGGTGTCGACGCCAGATCCTAGCATCGCTGATTACCTGTCAACTGTCGGGGAGGGAGATGAGGGAGGCGAAGGCCGGCCATATATCAGCAGACCGAAGCCTCTGGGGGTCAGCACATCCGCTGCAAGGCGACGACCTCCTGGTGCACGCGCGAGAGCCCGCAACCCGGCCTACGGCTCATCGTCACTCACACCAACCTCCTACCTCTTGCCTTCCCAGTATTACAAACTTCGTCGCGTGGAAGGCGTCAGTGGCGGCACATTCACTGGCAGCGACCGTCATCTTGAGCCCAGCCTCTCTGATTCGTGGAATCAGCGCGTCGTCGGTAGTCGGTTCCAAGAAATCTCGAGAGCCTCTTCCATATTTGGTCGCCTTCAGCTTGGTCAGCGACTCGGCTTGGATAAGGAGGGCACATTGAGTCCCACCGTACCTCTTAGCGAGTTCAGCATACCAGACCCATCTCGATATGGACCCAACCATCCCGTCGAAAGTTCCGGACCATCGGAGGCCCCTAATGACAGGGAGAAAACGCTCGCCGATATACCGGAGGGCAGTCAATCCGCTCAAAGGACGACACGTACGGATGATGAGGAATGGGTAGATCTCATGACGGAATACCCGCAAAACGCCATGCCGGATCCCAACGCATCGCAAGGGGAAGAACCTCAGGGGGAGGTGGATGAGATGGGCGCTGTCCGTCGTCGCCCCCTCATTTGGGACTATCCTCCCTCGGAACGACGAGATACCTTTCCTATGCGGGCGAACGTTGATTCTACGACCGGCGATCCTCGCATCCCTCCGCCTCACTTGCGACTGCAGGCTCAAGGGCCTTTTGTGCGTCCGTTGACCGGCCTTGACCACGAAGACCTGGGGCATGTGTATGCCGACATAAGCCTATGGCGATCCAAGCTAAAGGCGATCAATGCCGATATTCAGGTTGCTCAAAGCGACGGGTACGCGGACATCGCGGAAGGCGCGAGGATCAAGGGCTGGCTGATCGTCGGACGCGGGTTGCACTTCATTCCTGGTATACAGATGATCGAAGGCCGGGCGAAGGAGGACGTGCGTTGGGATAAACTGCAGTACGAGACTGGTATGATCGAGAAGGTGGTAATGTGGTCGGCGAATGCGATGATGGCCATACTACTCGCCGCTGCCCGTAAGTCATTGTTCCGACCCAATCGGCACGCCCGCTGACAGGCGTTCCAGTCATGTGTGTCGCCGGCCTCGCGCTGGGCACGGCCCCAAACGTCGGAGATGTTCTGCCGTTCTTGAACGGTCTGACAACGCGCAATGATTGGATAGCTGGCCTTGCGACTGGCCTGGCTCCAGCAGTCGCCGGGTCTCTCTTTATTGCGGTTGCCCTGCTCATGGTGAACAGTGAGTCATCGTACGGAGAAGTCATGTTGATTGTCTCACCTCCTCCCCTTGGTTAGCGTGTGGCCATCTTGGTGGGGATGTGTCTATTTCTGGACTAGAATTGACCCTCTTCAAAACGACATTCTACATCTTAGCCGTCGTCTGCGCTATTTGGCTCATGGCTATCGGTGCAGTGCTTTTTGCCTTCGATGCGCTCCGATCCGGTAGCGGCTCCACGGCTACTATGGGACTGGCTAACGGCTCGATCTATATGAGCGCTCTCGCTCTCGATCTCGTTGTCAGCGTGGCGATCATATCACCCGCCCTCCTTCTCCTGCAACCCTGGAGGTTATACAAACTTCTCCAAGCAGAAAGGGCCTCTATCACTCCCCGCCAGCGTTTCCGCGCTATTTATCCTAGATCATACAATCCGTCATTTGCTACCGCGTGTTGCGTGCTTGCTATCATCTTTGCTTCAACCTTTGCGCTCCTTTTCCCTCTGATTGGACCTGCTGTTGTACTGCTACTGATTCTTACGCTGATCGGTGAGTACTTGTTGAGTATACTCAGATGATCAACTCATCTTCAGCTCTCATGTAGCTCATCGATATCTCATTGGCTACGTATACGCACGTACCCATTCGCAAACTGGGGGACTTCTTCAGATCTGGCTTCTTCGGCGCTTCGGAACGCTCGTCGCGTTTCAACCCCTTCTGCTCGGCTTCATCCTCCTCACGAGAAGGTTATGGGAGGAAGGCGGCGTCCTCATCGGCACGGGCCTCCTAGTTGTTATCGCCGTCGAGGCATACACGACATCGAAATCGCGTCGGCGTGGCGTCAACTCACTCAGTCCCGTCACGCGCAATTCGCTCGATACGTTTGTAAAGAGTGCCCGTCCCACGAAGCGACGGAACGTGGATGACGAGAGCACGGATCTCGTTAGCTCTCTGGAGCCGGGACCCAGGATGAGGGGAAGCATGGCCAGTGTGCTGGAAATGATGTCCGTGACGCTGGCGGTGATGCCGAGCACGGCTCGCAGGCAAGGGCCTGTGCCGCTACGTGAGTGGTTACGTTAAACGTGGCAGTTCTTTGCGCGGTTGTTGACGGTATGCGGCCGATTAGCGACCGAAACGCTGGACGACCTGACCGCCACGGAAAGGGCGGCGCGTACGCACCCTGAAGCGCCTCCACATCTTCCTCCGCTGCCGTTCGCGGACCACGCGCAGGAGATGTCCGGTATCCTCTACGCGCCTGAGCTCGTTGCGCCGACGCCAATCATATGGCTCCCTAATGATTCCGGGGGCGTGGCGCACTCGGAAGCATACGATTTACAACGTTATCACGGCCTTCAGGTTACACTGGCCGTCATCTCCGAGAGAGATGCGAGGCGAGACATCTCGCGCTCGGCTAGCAGAGCGTCGCGGCGGTAGAAATCTTGCGTAAATTCTCTGTGGACTTCTTTGTGCGTGGGCGGTCGCCGCGGACTACCCTGACTACTTATCTCATACCCTCCATCTATTGGCCTGCATACTAGACGTTCGTGTCTCAACTACTAATGGCTATATACCCCCCTTCCCCCGGTTGTGGCGGTATTGGAGACCGCGTGACGCATGTGATCAGCTTTTGAAATTGTGGAGCCGCTGTCTTGCTCCGGATCCGACCCCAAAGAGGACCCCCGTTAATACGGTTTAATGTTAGAATATTCCGACGACATTTTGGGCCCTGAAAAGGGCCGTACGTCGGAATAATTGCCGACAAAAGCGCGTTTGAGGGCGCCGCAGGCCGGAATAATTTTGACGACATCCGTTCGGAGCGACAAACCAAGGTCGGAATATTTGTCGACAAAAGGATCGAACCATCGAGGGCCCGGAGAGGAACAGCCCAGATATAGCCATTAATTTCCACGATGCCGGAATAGAGCGCGGACGAAATGGGCGCCGCAGGCCCGATGTCGGAATATTTGCCGACAAAAACGTGCCGATGGAAGCAGAAAATTGCCGACAATACGACTCATTTTGGGTCAGCGAATATTCCGACCTTTAACTGTATTAACGGGGGTCCTCCCCAAAGGCTGAGTGTGGTTTGCTTCTCGTGGGGCGTCTGTATGTGTTGCTACTACTAAGTTACTCGACCCGATTTCGTCTGCAGGGTGCTTAGCAAGGTCCTATGGCTGTGCACGCGGTGGCACTGTGCAGCGGACTTCGGAGCGGTCACGGCGGTCCGGCGTGGCCAATTCGTGTGCTCTTGTGTCAGGGCTCGGGTGGTGCATGGCCCTGCCAGCAGTGGGCTCAGCCATCGGGATATGAACGAGGTTGATGAACCTTGCGGCGTAGTCGGATGGCCTTTGGGGGGTGGAGATCGCCATGCAACCCTTCTTGCGCGGGTGTTGCGATATGACATCGGCACGCTTCTTCCGGCGCACACCTCCGCACCCCGAAAATAATGATAAAAACACAGACAGCCAACCTTGGGGTGGCCATACAAGCATCGACCACGACGTCCCCTCCTCGACATCGTCCTTAACACTGTCGTCGTCGTCGTCGTTCGTCTCACCCCGGCGCAGGGCTTGTGTACTGTCCATCGCTTGCACGCGGTCCCGTTTCGTGCTACCACCCACCATGCTCTGTTCACCCCCGACGATGCTCTCTGATGAAGCGTACGAAGAGCTCGCGCGTTATTCTCGCTCGCTGCACGAGTACACCCTGAAGCTGTGGACGGAGTCGAGGAGACAGGCGGAGGAACGGGCCCGCCAGCGCCCGACGACGGCGTCACCGCCCCGCGGACGCTCAACGAAGAGGGATGTGCCGTTACCGCGCAGCTCCTACGATGCGGACGCATAGACGCATGGAGCCCGATGATGCCGCGCAGTCGTCGCGCACTTTGCGTCACTACGCGCTCCCTCCGGTGGCTGCGCCACCCCCGCACGCTTCCGCGGACTTCAGCGCTGCTAGCGCTCAACGCCGTGATCACAAAACAACACCCTTCCTCCCTTCCTCGAGGTCTCCTATACTCCACAGCGCTAGCCTTCGTGCTGTGTATTCCGGCCCTTCTACCCCCATTGTTATTTTTCCCCTACCATTTTATAGTGCGAGTGCTGCTATCATACGTCCGCTGTACCCCTGCACCCATTCTTTCTTATAGCAGACTTTGCCTGCTTTCGCCCACCATAATTGACTGCATGGTTGTCATCTTCCACACCGCACGAGCAAAAATGTATCTTATAGGTTTTTTGGGATTTCGGTCATGATCGGATGTCATTCATATGTATATCGATAGGATTGCATGAAAGGGCCAGTAGCTTCCATTTCAACGTGCCGGTTGAACACAGGCAATTGTACAACAGCGTGAGAGATGAAGCGAGATGTCCGTTTGGAAATTTGGCACGAGCGTAGCGAGAAGCAGACATGTTGGGGAACCCGGAGGGATACGAAGCTCGTCCCCCCCCAGCGGGACCTTCTCATAATTGCATTCGCATCAACCACCTTGCACAGAACCAAATCCAGTGGCACAGTTCTGCCTCGCTATGCTGGCAGAGCCGCTGCGCATGTAACAGACTTTTGCCGTCACGCACTCGTCCGTGCATGGTTGCGTCCGCACTGATTCCTTGCCCTGGAAACGCGTGAAAGTCTGCGGATCATCATGTCAAATTCGTGTCGCTTGATATATTGGAGCGATGCACTCGCACCTCCATCAACGAAGGATCGCTCTCCATCTCTGGGACAGAACGGGACGTCAGCCAGGTTCATTCGGTTGGCACAGATGCGGCGGGATACGCACGCTCCGTGACGAGATGCCACCAGGTTGCATTCAGCGGGGCATCAGCATGCCAGGTGATGTTACCACCGTACGTTTGTCTTGTGGAGTACTCGAACCCGTAGGACGGCTGCGATATTCACACCGGTTCAGATATCACACTTGCTTCTTGGGAAGAGGGAGAAATCGCATACCCCAAATTCCAGCTGGTGATCCAGTTGGGAGAACGTATCCACATCCGCCTTCCAGCTGTAACGGCGGGGTTATGACACGGGCCGGATTTGACCATGGCAAATGCTCACGTGTACGCGTCGATAATATCGAATGTCTGTTATGGCAAGCCATGAGACTCGGCCGTTTGCTCGGTCACGATATTGGTACTCACAGCTGAATCAACAACATACACGCGGAACCCCGAGTTTAGATTGGTCAACGGTGTGAGGGAGCTGAGAATAGATCAGACACGGCGTCGAATAGTCAAACTTTTGGTAGGACATACGGGCCGACCTATTGTGAATCAGAGCGTTAGCTCATTCATTTGTTAAATGCGAGAGCCGTAGCGTACCCATGACACTGTTTGAGCCGTTTGCGCGTTCTGGATGGTTCCATTGTTGGCGTAGAAAATCTGCAAAGCGAGGTCAGATTTATGGAAAGCACACCGTACAACCCCGTCGTACGGAGAGCTGATCTTCATGAGTATGACCCCAGAATATGTCTACAGAAATCGATCAGCTATCGGCATAGGAAGAGATTTCGACGCTACGAACTGGCGATAACGTGAGGCGAAAAGCGGTCAACGCTGTCAATTTGTCAATGTCAGTCGAAGCCCTTCTGAGTTCCCACAGAAATCATACATTTGATAAACTAGAAGACCAATGAGCAATAGATAGCGTAAAGGCAGCCTACCACTCACAGAGATTAGTCGGGTTGGCCAGCGGGTTTGTCCCATCCCAACCGGACAGGACGTGTCCTAGGATCCACACTGTCGGACGTTGCCCAGGGCTTTAGTACGGCCACGTATGCATACGATTTGCCGCCCCTGACCTCGATCTCCAGCGTCTTCCGCATCTTGGAGTTCATCCGTGAGGAACCGAAGCATTCCAGAGTTATCTGAGGTGGACATGTTGATGTAGTTGAAATAGTTGGAGCTGAATGCAAGGAACGGTAATTGAGCGCAGGTGAAAAGCAGCTGGAGGGTTTTACCAACCGGTACCACATGTCGGTGTTGAGCGTGATTATGCGAAGGCCATCGGACCTCTTGACCATATAGGCGGCATAATGGGCCCGAGCGAGTTGCACGGCGGCCTCGGGAAGCCAATTCTCGTGGCTCCATAGGGAGGAAACATGGTCGTAGTTCCTAAGGAAGGGCCTAAAGTTAGCAATGGGACCACGATGGGCGCGCAAGGCGCGCAAGATCAATCACCAGTTAAACTGTTCCGCCAAGCTACCCGAAATAGCGTGCGGAGCATCCTGCGCTCTATATTGGTTCGCTTGAGAACCTATCGCACAGAACTCGATCGGACTTCTGAGACTCACTGATTGTAAGTATCGTGATTTCCAAGGACGGCGTACACGGGACCATTCCCTAGGAACCGCTTCAGTAGGTCATAAAGCACCGTCTAGTGAGATCAATGAGGAAACGTGGTGACATCTAGCAGTACTAGAAGCACGTACCTCAGTGTATTCAACGTAGCTCCGTGACAGCTGATTTTCTGGATCGTGTGACACCAAATCACCGGTGAAAACGCTATATGCAAACCCTATCTCCTCGGTGCCAGCCAGTTTAGGGATGGCTTGCAGAGCCGAGAGCAAGAGGGAATATGGAGTATCACTAATAACTGTTATGACGACCTTTCGATGGTTACGCAGAGCCATGGTACTTACCAGAGGTAGGAGCCAAAACGCGGCGCTGGTAGGAGCGTAACATTCGGGCTCGAAGTCGCTACATTGTTCGTCCTGCAGCACAAACCGCTCGTACAATTCGCCTCCGCTCCAGTGGCATATCCTAGTTCAACGTTCAGAATGGTAATTTGGATAATTGAGTCCATAAACATACGAGGATCGAGATGTATGTCCGATATGTGTAAAACCTTTAGAAGCTTTCCGCTGGGTTTTTTAGGAGGGGGAAGTGGACTCGGCTTCGGCTTAGCGAACCAATTGGTCAGATTCACTGGCGAAGCGGGTGGCAGTGGGCATAAGCCTAAGAAATTTTGGCAAAGAAGCTGTCCATCCAGACCGGCGACGTCGGCATTGGCGACGACCTGGGTGATAACGCTTCCCAACGCCAGAACACTGAACTGATTTCCGCAAGTGTTGCTGAACTCAAACTCGTCACAGAGCGTGACCGCGAGCTCCGGACCCATCTCAGGCGCGGCGAGTGCCACGAACTTGGCGACCTCGAGGCCGGCCTGGCATTTAGCACAGGTGCTTTCGAGGTTAGCATTGCTGGCGATCGAACGAATCTGTTCCAAGGCATGCTGGAGGATCAACGAGTCTGATGCGCGAGGCGGGAGAGGGTGAGGATCGGTCGTGTCATTCTAACAATTATGAGCAAAGGAACATCAATAGAAGGTCCGTGACGCGTTACCTTTGGGATGTGGTCTGGGTCAGTAAGGGCCAAAGGATACGTGACATGCTGGTTAGCATGGATGAGCTTAGCCTGGGCAAGAATCGTGCTGTCTGTGGAACGTACGGAGACAGGATCAGTGACCACTGGTTGAACCTGAGCAGATGTCTGCGTAGGATTATTATAGTATTTGTGGTAGGCCGTCGTAGGAAACGCGCCAGGGGCGGTGAAGGTCGAAGGCTTGACGAAGCTGCCGGCGCCGTTCGACGCAGCGGAGGCGACCAAGCCGCCAGACAAGACGTGCTGGACGAGCATCACAGACAAGAGGGAGAGCGAACGTGGCATGGTGCGCCTGCCTCGCTCTGGTGGTGCTATGGTGGGATAGCCTGGAGGGAGCTGCGAGGAGTGGATGACGGGCCAGATAGCATTTAATATCTGGCTGCGCATAGATCACGACGGGCACAGAAGAGATGCAAGGCAGAGAATATTCCCAATACGCGGACGACTCTCTCGCATGCTCGCCGTCAGCAGCTTCTTGCTTCGAACGTGCGTCGCGAGTGGATGGCATTTCCGGAGCAAGACCAGGTATGCATGTAGGTGACGATAGCGCTAAGACCACATGAGCCACATAGGTTACGTTGTGGAATCGCGATGTATACATAGCTGACGATACGAGGGACAGATGATCTAGTGGAAAGAATAATAGCGCTCCGGCTCTGAAGAAGTCGGATGGTCCATGCTCTGAGCCCGTTTTGGTCCCGCCAACGGCCATGTGACGGGTAAATCTATATATAGCTCAGACAACTCAGAGTCATAAGTTGACTTAAACAGTTCGTGTCCTGTTCTATGTTCTGGAGAGCGCCTATTCACGACACTCATCAGGAGATGCCACAGGCTCTCCGTATAGGCCGGACATGGAACGTTTACAAGTAGATAACGGAGTCATAACGTCGCACGCAATCATTATCTCGCAGCGAATGTCAACGCAAGCAGTCATACCGGAACCGACGAAGTACAAAACTCTTCGGTTCCAATTTATGACTGACCATGAAAGAAGGAACTATGCCTACGGACGAGGCATACGATCTCAGCACAGCTGATGGTGTCTTGCGCTACCTCCGCGGCACGCCTTTCTCGAGCAGCCGCGTAACGCCTCTGACTGGCGGATTCGGCAACTTCACCTTTCGTCTCTCGCTCGACGTACCTTTCCATGGGTCCTGCACGGTGATCCTGAAGCATGCGAAACCATACGTGGCATTGAATCCGAGCATACCCTTCAATCCTGAAAGACAGGTGAGCCGCACGTTCGAAATGCGATCGCATTCGCGAATCTAATTCAGCTGCTCGTCCTGCGTTCATAGGTGTTCGAAGCGGAATGCCTCAAGAAGGTCCGAGGGCTCCTTGTCGAGGACTCGTTGATCACCGCCCCAGTTCTCCGTCATTTCGACCAAGATGCGAACGTCATCATCATGGATGACTGTGGGGAGGCGGCTAGCACTTTGAAGGAGCTGGTGCTGAGCAATGCTCTGACACCTAGCACGGGGTCCCAGATCGGGCGGGAGATAGGCAAATTCCTCGCCCGCATCCACAGCCAGAATGCCAATACCAAGGATCTCTGCAACACCTTGGATGCAAACGAGCAAGGGCGTAAAATGAGCGCCTGGGTGACGTACGGCAGGCTAATCGACACTCTGTCTGGAAATTCGAAGCTTCCCCTGCTCCCTGCGCCTGCGGAGGTCGCCGCTTCCGACCTTGAATTCATCCGCGGGCTCGCAGGGCGCACAATTGAAAGGATCAACACAGCGCACGGCACAGTGACCCATGGGGATTTCTGGCCAGGAAACATTCTTGTCAAGCTCGGCACATCTGAATCTGGAGAGCAAGTCGTCGAAGGGATATTTGTCGTTGACTGGGAGATGGCCAAGCCTGGTATTCCAGGCTTAGACCTAGGTCAGGCATTTGCCGGTTCCCGAGTGTTCGGTTCGCTGACCAACACACCTAGGGCAAGTCTGCGCAGAGGTGCACCTCTTGCAACGCTTCCACCCCCAGGTCAAGGATGTTGCCGCTTCTTTGCTGTCCGGCATAACAGAGACATACAGTAGCCTAATCCCCGTAAACGAGCAGCTGGTTCGCGATGCTGCCACTCATGTAGGTGCGCACCTGGTTGCGGTTACGCCAAGAGTGCCATGGGGCACGGCGGAGAAAACCGGAGAGGTCGTGGAAGAGGGCACCCAGTGGCTGTTGAAAAGCAATCGTCCGGGGGCAACTGCGTGGTTCAAGGGGTGCATTATCTCTGGGCTTGTATAGATAGCTCGCGATCGCGTAAAGATCTTGGTGGCGAAGCAGGCCCTGGGGTGATCAGTCCGGATCCCAGCACGTATATTCCGCTATCTTGAGAAGTGTTGTCTATACTAGTGGTGACCACGCGATCTATCCAGTCGGCGAAGTTCCAGCCAGATATTGGCCTGCATAGCGTTGACATTGGCGGACAACAGAGCAAAGGCCATGTCCGGAACAAGGCAGACCGCTGTCATGCAAGTTGTGTCTCGGACCAAGGTCGCAACTGGGCCGCGCGCGCGGCGCGCTCACCTGCTCCTCAGCTGCACCGGCCCTCACGCACCGAACCCATGAGCTATGGCCACAGAGCTCTATCTCCCCCAGACTCTACCGTTTCCGATCAAGATTGTCTCTCTGGATGTCTCAAATAGCGCCTCAGTTGACCGGGGCACCCGTCTGCTCAGCTATTCGTTCGAATACACCGGATCAGGCCCCGACCCCAAACGGGAAACGCGATATGGAACCTGGGACTCCACCATCGAAGGCACCCTCGAAGGCTGGAAGGTTCGCAGAGGCGAAGTTGTAACCAAAGAACGAGCGCGGGGCAAACCCGTCGTTGCTATCGTCGAACCATGCACGCACGGTGTTCAAATTCATGGCATGTGCGGATTATGCGGGAAGGATATGACAGAGTGCGTCCGAAGTACAACTTTTTGGACACAACCATCTTCTGATCGTCAAGCTAGCCATGATTACACCGGCTTCTCCGATGCCGCTCGAGCTCATATTCAGATGACACACTTGGCGAATGGACCTACCGTTTCGCTGCAGGAAGCGCAGCGGCTGGAGAGAGAGACAGCGGACCACCTCCTCAAATCCCGCAAACTATCATTGATCGTAGATTTGGATCAGACCATCGTTCACGCTACGGTCGACCCTACCGTCGGAGAATGGATCGCAGAAGGTGAGGCATGGGAAGCCCGCCAAGCGCAGAAGGCAGCGTCGGGAAAGGAGAAGGGCTCAGACGGCTCCGACTCCGATAGCGACGAAGAGGATGAGGTTAATCCGAACTGGGAAGCCCTTAAGGATGTGAAGAAGTTCCGTCTAGCACCAGAAATCCTCGGGACCCCTCGGTTCAAGGGCCCCAAGTCGAAAACGAAAGTCATCGAAGACGAAGGTTGCTTATACTACATCAAACCCAGGTACGCATACCCTTGTTGCCCACAAGGCCGCGTATATTCGCTGAGATAGACTAGGCCAGGATGGCACGAATTCCTCCATACACTATCCGAGAAATACGAGATGCACGTGTATACGATGGGTACTAGAGCCTACGCCGAGGAGGTGTGTAAGGCCATAGACCCTGAGGGCCAGATCTTCGGCAATCGTATTCTGAGTCGAGATGAGAGCGGCAGTCAGTTCGCATAAAGCGTTATACTGCTATCTGAACTCAATCATCGTTCTAGGTCTCACTCAGAAAAGCTTGCAGAGGTTGTTTCCGTGCGATACGTCGATGGTTGTTATTATCGACGACCGAGCAGACGTTTGGGAATGGAGTCCGAACCTCATCAAGGTTATTCCCTGTGCGTAGTACCTTGTTCGCGGTCAACCGTGTGCCGACGTTAGTCTAGACGATTTCTTTGTGGGGATCGGCGACATCAACTCCGCATTCCTACCAAAGCTTGATCCTGTCGCTGCCGTGCCCGTGAGCGAGACAGCCACGGCGGCGAAAGCGGAACCTGCTGTTGCCGACTCGGGTGCGGTCATTGACGATTCAACGACCCAGGAGACTGCAGAGGCGGATGGTGATGCCACGACGAAGGACGAAATGCTCACGCAAAACACGCTCGCTTTGGAAGCCCAAGTTGAAGAGCGACCACTTGCGAAGAAACAGGAAGAGCTGCAGAGCGATGAAACGATAGAATCGGGCGTCCCTCTTTCGACAATCAATTTTGCGACAGCCGATGAGGGTCAGCCGCAAGGACAGAGCAGTGCTAAGGAAGACGGGGATGTAAGAGTGAAGAAGGAGAAGCATGTGCGAAAAGCACTTCTCAGGAATGATGACGTTGAGCTCCAGCGAGTCCGCCGGGTACGTAACTGCTCGCATTCAACTGTTCTTTGCGTACGGATTATTTTCCACAGCTTCTGGAGCAGGTTCACAGTACGTTCTACGCTGATTACGACGCATCGAAGAAAAAGACGGATAACCTCAGCGTACCCAAACGTAAGCAAAGAACGCAGGAAACACTGCCTTACGATGTGAAGGTTAGCTGTCCTTCACGTTAGCATAGACGGCTTCGACTCACTGATGTCTGGCAGCTTATCATCCCTCGATTACGTTCTAACGTCTTCGATGGTGTTCATTTGGTATTCTCTGGCGTGATACCGCTTGAAAGCAACAATATGCCCATCGATCCCGAGGCGACCGAAATTTGGCGGACAGCGATCAGATTCGGTGCGCGATGTTATAAGGAGATGAACGAGGCGGTGACGCACGTTGTCGCGACACCTGAGGGGGTCGAGGTACGGTTTTTTTTTTGTTTTACAATATTTGGAACCTATGTCATTGACACATGCCTTCTGCAGCGTCGCACCTCGAAAATCAACACCGCGCGGGCGCGCGGCATTCCTGTGGTGTCGATTAGCTGGTTTCATGACTCAGTTGCGCTGTGGCAACGTCTTGACGAGCGACCGTATTCATTCGACCTGAGATCGGTTGCAGAGCAAAACGGACCTGCGAGTGCCAGCAGTCCTTTCGTGGATCAGCAGTCGTCGTCTGATATCGAACCGGACACAGATGATTGGGACAGCGACGTTGAACGCACCGCGCCACAGTCAGCCGAAGCAGCTCAAGGGGAGCCATTGCTGCTGGATGCCGTCGCGTGGGATGACATCAACGACGAAGTTGAGGCGGCCATGATGGAGAGTGACGATGAGGACATTCGGACCGAAGGAGGTGTCAAGAACGCGGATGCTTCAGAGGACGAAGGGAGTGAGAGTAACAGCACAACAAGGTAGGAGGATCCCCTTCTTGCGTCGAGCAGTGACTTACTGTCACAGCAGTAGCGCAACATCTACCCCGCGACGCAAACGCAAACGTTTACGCAGTCTTACGCCGTCTGAATTGGGCATGAATGGGAACAATGCCCATGATCTGCTCAGATCACCGTTGTCGAAGCGGAAGAAGCTGGCTGCGGATCGCGAATCGAAACTGAAGGAAGAAGTCTCGGTGGAGGAGTTAGAAAACGGCAACGGTGATCAGCGATCCACAGACGGTGTTTCCGATGCCTCGCGGCTCGGCGATGATGACCAATCAGACGACGATGCAGAGGGTGACGATGAAGCGGATCAGGAAATAGACGAAGACCTTCTCAGGGAACTGGGCGAGGACTGGGGGTAGCACTTGCGGCACTCTGACTGTTTGTCCCTTCGAGATGCTTACATATCTAGCTTCTGTATTTTTAGCCGTGCACGATCTATTTGTAAACGGGATATTCAGCGGATGTGATCACGTCTATTACACAAGTTTACTAGTTCGACTTGACGCGCTTGCCATCCCGGCCGCACCGGCACACCATACCCCAATCCATATCCCACACGATGGCTGAACATGCAGACTTGACGGACACCGATAGACATTAGATGCTACCTAGAACGCAGATTCGAACGACACCCTATAAGTTATATGCCCTGGCGCGCAGCTCGCCTTTGGCATTTAATAGATATCACACACACACACACACACGCCATCCCGGCCGCCGTTCCTGGCTGAACCAGCACCGATCGCTTTCCTCGTTGGTAACTGACGTTCAGTGCATAAAACACTGATCATGACTGGGATATCCGATAGTCCTCCCATAGCTGCTCCAGGGCACACCCAGTGACGTCAATGAAGATATCACTGGTGTACTCCTTGTCCCTCAAGGCGTGGTTCAGCGCCCTCACAGTTCCTTCCCCTGAGCGCGCTTCTATCCAGTCGAGAAAGTACGCTGTTTTCTCGTATCCCGAGTCCCATTTATCGTTCTCGCCCACTTTCTTCGACCAATGCGGAGGTGCGAGACCAGCATGCAACCGCACATAATCTATAGGCATGGCGCATACGGCGTCGTAAGCACATGTATTCGTCCCTTCATGGATGAATACGGACCCGCGATGCCTTCGATCAAACCTCCCGGACACTTGTCCTTGCCGTTGTACTGGAAGCAATGGACCATCTCGTGCGTGAGTACGCCTAGAATCTCGGCCCGGGCGCGCGAGGCGGATTTGTCGATGTGCTCCAGTGAGACGTGAATCTCTTTATGGGTACTGCTGCCGGTTGTATAGGCGACACCTGGCATGGACCGGAAGGACACGGTGACCATTTCAGCACTGGATAACGAAACCGCGAGTGTGCAATCAAAGACGCTATATCCGGGCTGGTCGCTCACGTCGTCGGAACAGTCTGAGGTGTATATAGATGTGCGTAAACTGCGATCTTCAACGCAAGACCATAGCATCAGGAGTAAAGGTAGAGATGTACCGGATATAACTGCTTCACGGAGGGCGGTCGGCGCGAGTATATGCTCAAATACTAGGAGAGCTCCTCGGTGCTCAACATCTTCGACATGAAAGGTGAATTTGGGTATTGGCCAGGTGGGCGGGATCGGCGGGGGCGGCGGCATAGAAGATAGTATACAGGCACGGGAAGAGGCGAGAAACAACGTGTGAATAACGTTTTCGACCGGAATCGCAATCATAATACATCGACACACCGCACGGTGCGAACTTTTTATGATACAACATGATCATCTATAATAATGATATATATATAGTAACGGAGGCTTCTACGGCATTGTCAGTCATTCTGCTCGCAAAGGAATGGATGTGATCACTCACAGCAACCTAACAAGGCGCGGGAAGCATCCGCATCAGTCATGCCTTATGCCGGCTGCGGCTTCTACTCTCAATACTTCTGCCTTCAGAGCATCTCGTCCCTCCTCGAGCCACTTGCAATACTCCACCGCCCGGAACAGCACGCCGCTCTTTCCCTGTCCGCGTCCTTTGCTCCTGCTCCCACTGCCTTTTGGCCTGCCGCGTGTTGGTAGCATAATCTCGCCTTGAGCACCAGCTGGGGTCAGGAGCGAGATGAGCTGGGCATAGCCATCCCGGATAGCGTTCCGACGTTTCTGCTCGGACATGATGTGATTCAAGCGCTTCTGCGGCGTGGAGAGGAGAGGCTTTTGGCGGGCGATAGCAGCGGCGGTGCCAGGTCTTGGTTGGGGTGGTTGTTCCGGAATGTCGGAAAGCGAGGGCGGAGAACGGAATGGCGCAGCGGGACTTGCAGCGACCGGGGATACAGCTTTCACGTCATCGGAAGATCCGCGCACGCCCCTCGAAGATGAGGGCCGCGTAGATGTCCGCTTCGACGCGGCAGACGGTTCTGGCGCTGTATTCGTATGGGGGTTCGAGTAGGGTGCGGCATGACGCGGTGGGTTCAAAGCGGGATCATCCTGGAACAGATTTTGTTCGGGGTCGAGCTCGAAGTTGAGCGTGTCGAGGAAGCCGAAAAAGTCCGTCGCCTCGGAAGGGGTGAAAAGATCAGCGGAGGCCGGAAGAGGAGGAGGAGGCGGAAACAGGGCGGGGTCGAACTGGGTGGGGTCGAACGTGAAATCAATCTCGGGGAAGGCGAGGACGGATAGCTGGTCGTTTGCGGGGTCGTGCGGGGACTGCATCATCGAGGATTTGGGCAGAGAGCCATACTCTGTTCATCCTGCGGGGGACGGCAGACGACGGGCCCGGACCGGCAAGACTATAGCCGGAGTTCGCACGGGTGCATCTCGGGTAGATCATTCGCACGCCACTTGATCCGGCGTAGCGACGGCGGCTGAGTCCGTGACGCCCCCGTCTCCCGCCGCCATCGCCGTCCGTGGGCTCCATATGTCGGCCGTCGAGGAACCGCTCGGTTCACCGCAACCGCAGCCCGATCAGCCGGCGCTTGTCCCTCAACAGCTTCAAGCCCAGCCCGGCGATCCCCCCAACGGCGCCCCCAACGCTGCCGGCGCACCCGGTGACGGCTCTGTTCTTCGAAAACGTCTGCTCGTCGCGCTCGCGTGCTCGTATTGACATCTCATGTAAATATCGCAGCAAAAGCCCCGTCCGTGAGACGCGCATGTTTGGCATGCCATACTGGCAAAACACGATGCAGTGATGTATTACCTTGCCAGGTAACGTTTCAAAAACTGTGCGCGTGTATCGTCGATCTCCGGCTCAACATTTTCATCTAGAGCTGCCTGAAAAGAGGGTTGGGCGCAACATGCGCGTACCCAGAACTAGATAATCAGGAGCAGGCAGCTACCGTGGGGCAGCCGGGCGGTGAGCTATGACCATGATGCGTCTGTATGGTAACGCGTCTCACTCCGGTCGTGGCAGCTTTCTCCGCAGCTGCTGCTCCCTATGGGCCTCCGCTGCAGTACCCGTCGGCGCCGCCGCCACCGCCTATGCAACCCCTCACACCTCAAGGCCAATACTACGAATACTCCACAAACACTTTCAATGCCGCCCCCTCCTCCTCAAACAGCACTCCCTACCGGCCTACCAAACGGCCCCGGCCGCTGACGGAGGAGGAGGCTGCTGCCATCACGCGCAATTTCACCCGTGGCGACTTTTTCGTCGGGAACAGCGCGCCGGTACGGATCGACCCTCGCCTCCCAGTGCGTCTCACACTGGGCGAAGGCGACAGCGTCCACTTCACCATAGGCGAGCCGTTCTACTCGCAACCATCATCCTGACCGTTGCAGCTGCGTCATGCCCATTTGGTTTATCGGGTTCGTGAAGAATAGGGTTATTGGTGTAATTATCGTGATCATACTGAGCATGTACAATAGCGCTTAGACTGTGTATCCTAGATTGTGTCACGAGGATTTGATAGCACAAATGCGTCAGCATACCGGGTTCAAGAGGCCAGAAGTGCAGGCCATTTCGGACATTCATGGTCGGATGTAGGGTTCTCATCTCCGATACCCACACTCGCGCTGGCAAGGGTGTGGTCATGATCTAAGTATGAACGCGACTGGGTTGACACCTGAGCTCGCTGCGGCCTGCCAGTGATTTCTACGAAGTTCCGGAGGTGTCAGTATGTGAGCGTGGGAAGCGACCGGGGTATGCCGGCCGAGGCATTGCATCACCCCCTCTTCCGATTCAATAAGCTCGCTCGCCTGACGCTACTTGCCTGACGGACTCCTGCCCTATCGACATCCCCTTCGACTAGACGATGCTCAAGACAGCGTTTGCGTCTCTCAGCCGGCCTATCTCCACATCCAGTCGCTGTTTACACAACGCAGGTGTTTCCCGCGCCTTCTCCCAGTCCTCTCGTATCTTCAGTCATGCGCGACCCACCGTCAACGTTCTGTTATTCGCCAACGCAGCCAAACAGCAGACAGGACAGAGCCTACCTTCAACCTTCTCGAAGAATGCCCGCACGATCATGACAGACTCGACGCCGGTTGTTTCGCGGCCATCGCAGCAGGAGGCCTGGCGCAAGTTCTTCATCACGGCGGTGCGTATACCTGGCCGCACGCGACCATCCTGTTACTGACCAGTCCACAGGGTACTGTAGCCGGTGCAACTGTCGGGATCAACTGGTTTCTCAATCGCGAGACTCATGACGGCCTTTCGCTTGCGGAACAGTCTTACCTGCACGAGAGCTTCATGTACACCGGCGGCGGACTCGGGCTGACCGCGCTTGTCGCCCGTGGCCTCTTCCGCAATGGCTTCGCCGTAAGGATGATGGCGGCCAACCCCTGGGTTGTCCTTGGCGTCAGCCTTGTGGGCAGCATCGGGACCATGATGGGTGTCATGTATACCCCTCCTGAAAGCACGGTTCTCAAACATGCCTTTTGGCTTGTGCGTATCATCTCCATACCGACCCACCAGTCTATTGTTACTAAACAGTAGGTTGGCATACAGGGATTCAACGCCTGTCAGGCAGCGACGCTCAGCCCACTCTTCTTCTTCAGTCCGGCGATCCTGTCCCGAGCTGCACTATACACGTGTGGCGTCGTCGGTTCGCTCTCTTATGTCGGTGCCACCGCTAAGAACAACACCTACCTTTACATGGGCGGCCCGCTCCTTGCTGGCGTAACCGTCGTTGCGCTCAGTTCCCTTGCGCCTATGGCCCTGCCCCTTGGTCTGCGCGGTCTGGCTATCGCTGAGTCTATTTCGCTCTATGGCGGGCTCGCCGTCTTCAGCGGATTCGTACTTTACGAGTACGTGAAAATTAGCTCAACTATATGATATGCCACTTACTCGTTGCCTCTAGTACGCAAAAGATATTGCAGCATGCTCGTATGGCTGAGACTGGTGCCATTCCTCGGGACCCACTACGGGAATCTATCAGCCTGGAGCTTGACATGATCAATATTTTGTGAGTATCAGCACTATTACCATAATCTTCCTTTGCTCCGCTGACAGATTCATTACAGCATCCGTCTGGTGCAGATCCTCGCAATGGGAGGTGGAAGCCGGAAAAAGTAATCTTACCACTCGCTCATACCATCTTTTAATAGCAATTGCTTTCGCTCTCCGCTCTATCCTTCCAGTCATGTAGAATAATACGAAAGCGTGTAGCCAATGCCCAGTAATTGTATGCCTAGGGCGCGTTGCCCAGCTCCGTCAAGATGGACAAGAATCCCCCCGGGTCCAAGATCTCCGTGCCACCGTAGGTGACGCGCTTACCGGTTCGCTTGGCCCACTCTTCCACATTGCCGTATTCGACGTAGCCTGCGCCACCCACGACAAACACGATGCCCTCCCCAAACGCCATGCGCCTCGGCCTCGCGGCGGGCCCGCCGGGCATCCCGACATTCGCGCTTCGTGGAGCGCGAGGATCAAGGAGGATGTAGTCGTCGGTCTCCTGCAACGACTGGTTGGAGGCTGCCGACGAGTCCATGAGCGCTTCCGTGAGCCTCGTCACCGGGCATAACTTGTTGACAGGCAGGAAGTTCTTGACGCCGGATATAAGGTTATTGAGTCCACCAACGTTACCGAGTCGGTTCGTAACCTGGACAGATTTGAGCATACCAACATGAAGGGGGACAAGGGACGCATACCTGATTTCCCAAGGCACTGAAACCCCTGAAGAACTCGCCACCTTGTGGACCAGAGCCAAGCATTGGGGTAGAAGAACCTCCCGCCGCAGGGACGGACATCGTTATGCGAGAGATCTCACGAGTCTTCCGCACGTACTCGAAAGCTGCAACGTCCGCGCCTGCATTCTTCAACTCCTTCTCGAGCTCAGCGACGTCCTCTTTAGAGATTGCGCCGTCTGGTAAGGAGAGGTAAAAGACGAGAACGAGGCGCAGTTTGTCGGCGGGTGTGGGATGGGCATCGCCTTCAGGGGCCCGCAAGTGTTGTAGTATAGTAGCGACAGTCTGGGCTCGTTGGTCAGTGATGTTATTCGTGCCTACAGCGCGGGTGCATAGATGAGGGGGGGAGCCGACAGGTCTGCAATCCCTCCTCCTCGATCTCCCTTGTATTATCCGTCATTGGATTGTCCTCACCTGTTTTGTAACAGCCTCCTCCTTGGAAAATAACTCGTCCAGGCCACGAGTTTTTATTTGCTCTAATAACGCGGTCGCGATGTTCATATGCGTATCCAGAGTGGCCTTCCGTGCTGTTAGCTCTGGGAGCGCCGTGATCGCGGTCTTCAAGTGTGCGGCGTTGGAAGAAAGGTCCCTAGATAGACATAAGCATATGGCGTCCATGTCACCCACGCATGTGTGCGTACATCTGTGCAATATCACCCATATCACTGACACCCGTGCTACGGGTGATCTCTGCTGCGTCCATCTTATACCGGTTCAGTTCCGTGTCGATGTCTTCCGCAACCTGGGGGAACGGATTCGCCGCATTCTTTGACCAGAAGAAGTCCTTCGAGTCCAAATCGTAGGATTTCTTGCCTTTCGCTTGTCCTTCGGGATTCGGCACCGTGACACGGTTTAGTTTGATTTCCAAGCAATCAGAAACGAGAGCTTGGTAAGTCCACCCGTGTGAAAGCATTGTCACCAAGTCAACATTGCGGTCTAAGATTAGGAGAACTAATAAAACTCGCATCAGCACGATGGGTCAGTCGGTACAAGAAAGTAACTGACGTGGTCGTTGCAGATTGGAAAGGCCCGTGGCATCCTGAGAGAATAAAGTGGTTGTTCCTGGCGGTGCGCGAGCTGCAGAGAGTATGGCGTCGCGGATTTTCTGCTCTAGACGTTTCGCGACGGTCTCGGCAGCGTTTCCTTTCGGTGCGCGGATAACAGGAACGTGACCTAGGTCCCAAGCGATGAACATTAACGTGTATACTCGACGTTAAGCTACATGCCTGTTGTCGCAACCACGCTGAATAGCCCAGTAGCTATTCGTTCAATTTCGGCTTCTATTTCTTGTTCAGTTGACCGTGGTGAGTTGAGGATGTGATAGCTGGTGGATTGTGCGGGGGGAAAAGGCGCGGCGGATTGCGAATGCTCAGGTTTCGGAGGAGGAAGAAGGGAGAAGAGAGAAGATGAAGGGCAAATGAATGATAGATACTGGTCCAGCACCTGCCACACGCGAGTCAATATATTCACTTTGCTACCAGTACGGCATATCGCTCACTTGTTTAATCAGTTCCCCTGTGCCGTCCCTTGCGACCATAGCAGCAAGCTCTTCCAGTAGAGCTCGTGATACAGGCTCCACAAAGTTGAGGTGGAACGTCTCGTAAAGACCCTTGTCCAGGTCCTCCGCTATACGCTTGATGTTAGCGAGCGTGGGCGAAACGAAGTACACGGCGGGAACATCGGGAAGCGCGGGACGAGCAGAATGAAGCTGCCTGTAACACAATCAGACACATCCAAACACGTTCAGGTTGGGGAAAGAAACGTACACGTGTAGTGTTACACCGACATCTCGCAAGTCCTGGACGCGTAGCACAGTAGCAAGGACGTCCTGTGTCTGCTGGTCTAGTACGAGGACCTTCCAGACCGGCGGACCAGTTGCAGCTGGTATCTGTATTGCAGAGCCGCCAGACGTTTTCCCCGAGGATCCGGACGCGAGAGGATTGAAGTCTGGCTCTGGAGGATTATTGAGGTTCAGGAGAGTGAGGAGCGCCGTTGTCTGCTCCTGCTGCAGCCCGTTCGCGGCCGCTATTGCCTACACCGCCCGCAATGTGATCAGCACCGCGTATCGAGCTGTATACTCGACAACATACCGGCTTCGCGACACTGGTCATCGCGGGCAATGGTCAGGCGCGCTTGTGAGCGAGGACCTGAATGATGTGGCTCTACGTGTACGCGTGCACGCCGATCGTGTACCGCCCGTCGGCCCGCGTTCACACCGCTCAGGCTCTTCAAGCCGCTCTTGGAGTTGGACACGTGCATACGCATGTGCATATGTGCTTGTAGCAGTTCTGCAAATCGCTTTCAATCGCTCTGTCTTAGGGGAATCGCGGGGTATATTCATGGACGCAGTTCGCGGGTAAACCAAACGTACACCAAACCGTGCCGAAGGCAATAGGTACCTACCAAGGACGCCCGGGCCTGGGTGTCTTCCTTCCCAGTCACCTATAAGATAAGCAATTCCTGGGGATCGCCTCACACACCTGCTCCTTCATCACCACCAACATGAAGTACTTCGAGCTCCTGTCCTTGACTTTCCCTCTCTTCGTGGCGGCACACAACGCCCAGCATCACTTCGGCGGGCATGGCGAACACCATCATGTAGAGCCGTCCTGGGTCAACACGAAAGAACAAACTTGGCTGGATAAATATGGCCCTCAGGTCGACAATGCGTTCTCCGGGCCGTTGTCCTTCTCACACATACCATACGCAAAATGCCTCGAGGACGTCTCGCAAACGTTCGATATCGCGATCTTGGGCATGCCGGTAGAGCTGTCACCTGGTTTCCGTGTTCTCTGGCTGAGAAGAACCATGCCGCGTTTACCGACAGTTCGACACCGCCGTCAGTTACCGCCCTGGAGCCCGGTTCGGGCCCTACGCAATTCGCAGTGGAAGCAGGAGGCAGCGCACAACCCGCGGATATACTCTTTCTTGGAGCAACAACCCTTACGAGGACGGCGCGCGAATTCTCGATTGTGGTGACGTGCCTGTTAGTACACTACGACGCTGCTTGGTCTGAACTCGTTTGAGACATACCTTCATCTTCCCAGATTAGTCCATTCGACAATGCTCTCGCCGTGGACCAGATGGAAACTGCTTACACGACACTATTGTCGAGATCTATTGGCACTGTGCATTCTGATGGGACTGTTATGTCTCGCGCAATGAACATCACTCGCTCATTGTCTTTGGATCACACACCTCATCCGCGCATCATTACGCTCGGCGGCGATCACACTATCGTTCTCGGTATCCTCCGGTCACTGTACAAAAAATATGGGCCGATTTCGGTTATCCACTTTGATGCCCACCTAGACACATGGTCCAGTCAGTGTATAATATTATCAACGACCTTTGGTTGACAATTGACTACAGTTATACCCGGAAGTGAGGCCAGCTATAGCCAAGCCCGTTGCTCTTGTTCACCTCTTCATGTCCTGTTTTAGACTATCCAGGTTCCGATACGGCACAATCACGCATCACACATGGATCGTTCTTCCACATCGCTCGAGAAGAGGGGCTCCTCAGTAATCATAGTATTCACGGCGGTATTCGTTGCAAGTTCGCGGTGAGTTAGCAAGATTGGCGATCTATGCGTGCCTTTCAACTTCCCCATTTTTATCTCCTCTCAGGGCCCTGGTGACTTTGAGCATGACAAGAATACCGGTTTTCAGGTCAGCACTTACCCGCGGACGGACGAGCATGTTGAAGAGCTCACAGTACATTAGATCATCTCTACGGACGACATTGACGACTACGGTATTCCGGCAATAATTTCGCGTATACGTGAGCGTGTTGGCGATACACCTGTGTACCTGAGGTTAGTTGCCTGACATAGGATCGCTTGGCTGAGGACCGACTCTTGAACCATTTAAAGTCTGGATATTGATGTTGTAGATCCCGGTCTGGCACCAGCAAGTGAGTTATGGTATAAAGACGTAAGTGACGGAAGTTGAATTTTAACGCCTCTAGCCGGCACACCCGAAGCTGGTGGATGGACCATGCGGGAGGTGAAGCGCATCGTTCGAGGACTTGCTGGGCTCAACTTTGTGTACGCATTCGCTCATGATTGCTACGTAAAAACTGACGGCCCTTGTCTAGAGGGGCGGACATCGTGGAAGTTGCGCCCGCTTACGATCACGGTGAGCAGACCGACGTGGATGCAGCTTTGCTCCGAAACTAAGATCCACTTTTCTTGGGTTTGAACAGCTGAGATAACCGGCATTGCAGCTGCTGATCTTGTGCATGACTTTCTGTCAATGTTTGTCGCAGATCAACCGCCGAAAACTGTGGACCTCTGGTCTTCATAGTGTCTGTACATTGCTGGCGTACACTGCAACTGCCAGGCCTTCATTGTACCCTTCATGAGACTAGTCCCAACGGTACGCCGCCTAAATCGGTAGTGATACATGCAATGCAATACACAACGAATAAAGATATCCTTCGAACCGAACATATTCAAAGACCAAGGCACAGCAGATGCTACGGTGCTTGCAATGCACCGACTCGATTGAGATCAACAAGGCCGACTTCACGCGATTCCAGAGCCACTGCGATCCGGTTCACGCCATCACCTTGTTGCCAGCTAATTTCAAACACGCCACGCTTGCGCTCGAAAGGGCGCTGCCACACCCATTTACGCTCAGCAATCTTCTTCCTGTTCTATAAACTTGGGTGAGCAAAGGAAGGCGGGAATACCGATCAAAACCAACCTCAAGGCTATAAAAACATAATCGACAGTCGCCCCCGCCTGTGGACATCCATCGTCCGTCTGGGCTGACTTCCAATGCATATATAGGTTTCTGATGTTCCGAGAATGTCCGCAAACAGACGCCGGAAGTTGAATCCCATATGCGTGCGGTACCGTCGAATCCGGATCTGCAGACTATGAAGCAACCAGCTGAGAGATCCGAGCGAGGACCTACGTCACGACGAGCTCTGATTCTCCAGGCGTGTGTCTGGGACACCATCGGATGATACTAACTTTGTTTTTGTGTCCACGCAGGGTGATGAACGAGTCCGTCTTTGTTCCAGTGCTGGTATTGATCTCGTTACTCTCAGACGAAGAATGGATTATCGATTCCACGTTCCATATGCGCGCTGTTCGGTCATCCGAGCATGATGCAAGTCGTGTTCCACTCTCGTTAACCCTGACTTGATTGATCTCGTCTGTATGGCCTCTGCACGGAAAATAAGCCCCCACCAATACATACAAAGATCTGTGAACGTCTTACGTAAGTGTCTTGATTGGTCGCTGTTCGTTCAAGCGCATAATATGAATTAGCTTGTCGGCGCCACAGGTTGCAAACATATCCAGATCTTGATCCAACCATTCAACGTCCAGACAGCAATCTGAGGATATTCATGAGACAAAGGAAGCGTGATTCGGGATCGGATTAAGACTTGCCTACATGGCATCTAAACTGTCGATGAAGTTTCTTCTGTTGTACGTCCCAAACGCAAGCTGTGCCGTCCAAGCTCGATGTTAGCAGCCACTTGCCAGACTTGGAAAATCGCGTAGCGAAAACGGGCCCCTTCTCACCACGAAAATCAGGCTCGAGTGCAGTAGCATGTTGCCCAAAACGACTACTGTAATACTCACCTGGTGCTGTGCGTGCGAAAAGTATATTTCGCCCGTAACTGTTACGATGCGAAGTACCCTATCCAAGGAGCCTACGGCCAATAGTTGTCCATCTGGACTCCAATCCAAAGCTGTCAAGTCGCGACCAGACATCGGTCCGGTACCTCGGATAGGTTCTTCACTGTTATAACACTGCACACGCAGCGGTTCCTGATCCGCCGGCACAGATCCCGTGACTGGATCAGGACCTGGAGCTCGCCAAAGGTAGATCATGCCGTCTCTCGAGCTGCGTGTCGAGCTATTTGTTTTGCACAGTCGCCGGAAAATCGAAGTTCACTTACCCCGAAGCAACTATATCCTTCTGTACCGGATTCCACGCGCACACAAAGACCTATAATTCGTTTTCAGCGGGAACCCAGGAATAGAAGGAATCGCCGTACCTCGCTAGTATGACCGGATAACAAACGCACGGAACCAGGCTGATCAGGGGGTGGTTCAAGCTTCTGAGTGGAAACCAGACCCCCGCCATTACCGTTAAGCGACGACCCTGACGCAGGTGGTATCTGAGCAGACGGAGCCTGACGGGATGCGGACTGGGCTGCACTACTGATTAAACGTTATCGTGCCGACTGGCGAGGAGCACGCACTCTCCATAGCCTTCGAGTCCGGTTGCATGTCCACTTTCGCTCTTTTGTCTGTCCTTGCCTCGTCAGAGATAGATTCTGGCGCCTTTCTCTTCTCAGATACTCCGTTTGTGGTCCGAAATATAGAATCCTTCTCGGGATGCGGGGGAACAGAGTCCGCTTTAGACGGCACTGGGGGAAGGCGAGTAGGTTTCGATGATAGCGCCGAATCTAAGGAGCAGGTGTGATGATCAAGTATGGAAAATGGCGCGACGCAGTTGCTCGTCAGAGTATCCCCTCGCCAATGTGCTTGGACTTCGGTATAGAGAAGTGCTTTGCTAAGTAAGTCCACAAGCTCCCCTCTTGGGATGTGTTTGCGGTACAATGGCGTCTGATCTAGCCTGCCTTCTGTTCGCAAGCAGAATGCACTATGGATGAACCCTGGAATAGTGGAGATCAACACGAGCGGCCGGGGCGGGTGGGTAGCGTTGAAGAGTCACCCGAGTCCTCCAAGTAAGCGTGAATGAGGCAGTTGACCTCGTCAGCAGTGATCGAAATCACAGGTGTCGCGATGGTCATCCAGAACAGTACCCTGACAAGCAGCGATAAAAAAGCACTGGTGCACTTAAGAGGTGAACCGGGACAGCAAGCTCGAGAGCCGTGTGCCACAATTGCCACAATCCAAACAACTCGCGCGCTCCCGCCACCGTCAGGCACGTGACCCTCATTCCTAGTCCGGGACTCGTCATGCCGCAGGTATCTCCGCCGTGGTGCCGTGAGCTCACTCAGCAATCCCAAGTATTCTAAGCTATCAGCCATATCTCGTCGCTACCAGGACATGGCAGACGATGACCTCTACGAGATCACATTTGAGGACGAAGGCGAGGATGGAGACGACGACGACATCGTTGTTGACGATGAGGAACTCGCCGGACTGTTCGAGGAGGCAGAAACTCATCGCCAGGCCGGCTCTCAGCCTACTCACTCGGTAGTCGACGCGGAGGACCACACAACGCGGGTCCAGGTGCCTCTCAGCACATTGGCTCGTCTATTTGGCATCACCAGTTCGACATTGAATGAAGAAGACGAGGACGAGGACGATGATGAGTACTATGCCCAACCCACTACGCCACCACAGCCGTCCTGGACACAACCACACCGCGAACCACAGGAGGCCGGTGTGCGTCTTCTTGGCAGCGGTGACTTTGGACGGGTCGGCCCTAAGTTGAGGTCAAGGCAGCGCAATCAACGCAACGTGTCCCGAGAACTCGAAGATAGGCGAGTGAGGCTGCGACCTTCACCCAGGGAAGTGTATGCGCAAGAGCTTGTGCCAAACTCCAATGGCGTGGCCGTAGCTTCCTATGAAGCTAACATATACTGCGGCCAGTACTCTGCAGACTCCTCGTTCTACTATACGTGTTGCCAAGGTGCTTGCATATCGCAGGTCTTCTCCTGAAAACCACTGATTTGCTTGCAGATTTTCGTCTTCATGTGTATGACACTGCATCAATATTATCACAGCACCTTCCGAACCATGGGCCGCAATTCCGACGTCGAGGTAGTGAATATGAGTTGGACCCCGGACATCAGACCCGTATGAAAGTTATCAAAACGATTCAGGGGCATGCCGGTCGGTGGACCATCACGGACTCTCATCTCAGCCCTGATAATGAACGGTAAGTCTATTTAGTACCGGAGATCTACCTGCATTGATATTTGCTCAAGCATGATCTACTCGTCGATCACGCCTGTCGTATACATGGTCAACACGCGTGACTCCTCTCCCATCCAGACTCCTATCAATTTCGCCGACAGTAGGAGTAGAGCCGTTGATTGGACTTGGGAGGATCGTGTCGCGATTTGGAGCTGCAGGTTTTCCGCAGACGGAAATGAGATCGTGGCGGGGGGCACAGGAAAGATCTTTGGTATGCGCGTAGCCTGTCCATCGGAAATCGCACAGCTCACGTCCCTCGAGTATATGATTTACTCGCTGATCGACGATCCGTGAAAATCAACGCGCACGACGACGACGTGAACAGTTGTTGTTGGGCGGATACGGCTTCTGGCAATGTTCTCATCAGTGCGTCGGACGACACATTTCTGAAAGTTTGGTCGGTGGTGATTTCTTACATACTTGAACGGTACTTATTCTCAAGAGCAGGGATCGTCGGTCTCTTGGGTCATCCCAAAGGCCCGCTGGCGTGCTCGTGGGTCACACAGAAGGCATAACAAACGTCGCACCAAAGGGCGACGGTCGGTATATCATATCCAATGGGAAGGATCAAGGTAGATATACCTGGCCATTGATGGATACGTTTCCTCAATCACTTCGCAGCTTTGAGACTATGGGATTTGCGCAAGATGCGCAGCAGTGCCGAATTTGACCGCATGCCTCAGAAGAGTTATGGATGTAAGAACTATGACTACCGGTTAGTTTCGCGTTCCTGTGCTACCAATGCCATATCTCAACCGTTTCCAGGTATGGCTACTACCCGAATCCACGCTTCCCGGCGCACCCGAACGATTGCAGCGTCATGACCTACCGCGGCCACGCTGTTCTTCGAACTCTGATTCGATGTCATTTCAGCCCCGCTGAAACTACCGGATCACAATATATCTATTCCGGTTCAAGTGATGGATTGGTGCATGTGCGACATATCTTCCCTTGTTTCCGGCCATGTCCATGCTGATTTCTTATTCCAGATATGGAGCCTTGACGGACGTATCGTGCAGATCTTGGACCGCTCTAAGACGATGCCCATGTCATTCGATCCCTCAGGACCAGAGTACCCGATGGGTGGACGACGAAATCAAGCAACATGCGTTCGTGACGTTAGCTGGCACACGCGGGAGCCAATCATTCTCAGTGCGGGATGGGAAGGACGCATGGGCGGTAGCATCGTGGCTCAGCATGAATGGAAAGGCATGTCGAAGACACAACTCATGTCTCGGAATGGTCTGGAGGACTGGGTTACCAGGACAAGGGACGAGGCAGCTGAGAGACAGGCAAGGAGACGCATGCCCGGGGGACGATTGCTCGACTCGGACGAGGAATCGGAATGAGTGAGAATCACGGCTGAGCTCAGGTCCCTGTATAACCAGCACCTGTAAATTAATGCAATTGTTGTAGTATTATGTCAAGTGGGTGGAGTGGGTTGGCCTATCAATGAAGCACTTGGCCGACGAGATCTAGCCATGGGACGTATATCAATGCGATCCGTATGTGCAGAACTTCGTCAGGAGTGAGGTCATGATCGAGTCTACAGCAGCAAACTCGGGGGTTCGGCAGGAGCGCGATGCAAGGACAGGCGTGATCCCTTGCAGCGTCAAACCAGATCTCTCCATTTTAGGACCGTTAAGCTGGCCTGCCGGGAGCTAGGAGCATGAGCGACCCAAATTGGTTTAATTTCAGCGTGATTGCTGACTTGCTCATACATAATACCGGAAACCGGGATGCCTGCCAAGCGTAAGGGCGTGAGCGGATCATCCCAAAGGCGAACTACTCCGGGCTTACCGATCGCCCAAATCCCCTAGATCCTCCCCGAGCATGTCGCTTTTGCGAGATATCCGCTCTCCTGCTTCACGGTCTCGCCGAGCATTATCATGCTTGTAGCTTATCCACAGTAAGGTGACGGCGACGAGTGCCCCGCAGTAGCAGCCGAGGTTGATAGCATGCCCCTTCACATAGCGTGGAGCCCATTCGGCTCGGTATATTTGACCTGAAATGGCCCCTCCAATGTTTCCCATGCTGAAAACTACAGCTGTTGCTGCCGCCCTCTTATTTGTGCTAGCCACATTGTTCGCCAGCCACGACCAGCTGATGGAGATCGGCACAAACATGAACATCATCTTTTGAAAGGCTCAATTAGCTCGACCATTCGCGGAGACAATCCATGTAATACTCACAAGGAAGAACATCCCGTAGCGCACCTTGTCCGACTTGACGGTCATGAGGACGATCAATGCAATCATTGCGACCAGGCATCCGAGGATAAAATGGTAATAACGATCCCTTGTGCGATCCGAACTGTACCCGGCCAATAGAACGATGACGAAACCGAATGCGTAAGGCGGGCAAGCCATCAGAGTAGCCGTCGTCCCCTGGTATCCGAGGCCGACGACCACGCTCGGTAGACTGAGAACGACCGAATAGACTGGTATATATGTTAAGAAGTAGATGAAGCCCCAGAGATATGTTCGGTAATCGGTGAAGGCAGTGATGATCTGGCGTTTGTTGAAGGATTCCATTGCATGTAGCGCGCGATCTGCTTCGTTGGCACGGATGACAATTTCCCGCTCTGTCGTACAATTAGTACTGGCTCATTCCTTACTCGTCTTAGCACGTACCCTCGTCGGTAAGCCAAGATACTGTCTCCGGGTAATCTGACATGAAAAGCCACGACAGTAATCCGAAACCAATCGTGATGGTGCCCTCCACGATGAAGATCCACCTGGTACATCATTAGCGTCTGTTGCATACGGGAGATGTATATGGCTCACTTCCACCCGGCTAACCCAAACGACCCACCGGCGGAGTTGATACCTGTAGCCAACAAGCCGCCGAATGCCCCTGTCAGACTAACAGACGAGTACAGGACCGCGAAGCGGGTGCCTTGCATCGGCCGCGGATACCAGCAACCGACTAAAAAGATCCTTGTCAGTCATCGGAGGCATATATAGGTATTTAATTGTTAGACTGGCTATACGCACTCCAATATATCAGACCGGGTAGAAAGCCAGCTTCAGCGAGTCCCAAGAAGAATCTGACGGCTAACAATCCAGAGGCACTTTTGACAGTCGATACAAGGCAGCAAACGACACCCCATATGATAACAAGATTTGGGATGTATATTCGCGGGCGTAGACGTTTCAGAATGATGTTGGAAGGGGTCTCAAAAACAACATATCCAATGAAGAATATGGACAGCGCCCAGTTATATTCGTCGGCTGAGAGATTGAGATCTTTTGCCATTCCAAGGACCTTGACTACTGTTAGCAAGGAGCTTCACAGTCTTCTCGGGAGTAATCTCACCTTCGCATTCCCTATATTGGCACTGACAACGCGTTGAGATGAATGCACGAGGCCTCTGATGCGATTGACGACTTACCGGTCGATGTAGGAAGCTAGGTACAAGAGTACAGATACGGACATGACACGCAAGTCCACCTTTTTCCATGCCCGAGCCGCAACCTCGGCGTTGGTCTCGGGCTCGATGTTCAAATGCTTTTCGGCGAGATCCAGGGACTTCTCGCTGGGCGGGGCAGCCCATGACGTGGCTGAGGTCGCTTGCTGGGACATCGGGGCGGTCAAAGAGTATCTGAGACCGCGATGAGCGCGCGCGTAGCTGACTGTGGGGCGTCGATAGCAGCATAGAAGTTTTATGCAAAGCTCGCTCTTGCGCAACAGTTACAGAGGATGGTGTCATTCGACTGGAGTCTCGCGAAGTTGGTCGATCTTCCTCGGCACCGGGGCAAGACAAGGCACGGAGCCCAATTTCAAATTACTACATCGTTATCGTCTCGACCTGCTTATCCGTGGGCGCCACCCACCCGCGTGGGTTGTGCGTGCACAGCTCGCACTGACGGTATGCCTACCTGAATCTGCTTGCGTACAGTACGCTTGGATACTTGGTAATCCTCGTAGGACACTTATGCGTGCTATTGGCACAAATGCATACATATATCCCTTAGAATCATGGCATGGTCCACTGTCTCGATATTGCTCTAGCGAATACGTCCGCACCGCGCCAAACAAGCTGGCCATCAATCGCCGAAAATTATCTTGAAGTTTTCAAGGCTCTCCGGATCAGCATCTTGGCCTTGACCCTTGAAGGCTGCTTTGACGATGGCGTTCTTGCGTTTCTGTATCTGTAATATGCGTCCCTCTATGGTGTCCTCGACCTTGTACAAGACGTCCATTTAGTCACATCAATCCATGCGTTCGCAATGTCATATTGTCTTACTATGAAATGCTTTACGTAGACGGTTTTATCTTGGCCGATCCTATGAACGCGGTCGATAGCTGTTGTTGGGATACGATCAAAGTGACATCCGCGGGCGTACAAGGGGAGGACTACCGTACCCTGATTCTCAATGGCAGCATTCCACCAGCAATCCATCTGTAAAAGCGCGCTGAATTACACAGGTAAGTCGCAACTCAAGCACCGTACCATATAAACGTGATTGGCCATTGTTAACTGCGGCATGTGAATCAGTCGGCACTCACGCGCGTTTATCAGCACGCACGTTCAACCCCACGCCCCCGGCCTTAAGCGACACAACCAAAATCTTCGGACTCGTGCTCGGTGCCTTGAAATCAGCAATAGCGGCAGTTCGCTTCTTCACGTCCATGGATCCGTCAAAGCGCCAAGAGGGGAGTCCTTCCCGTTGCAGCACGACTTCAATGAGATCCAGAAAGCTGGTAAACTGGGAAAAAATGACGCAGCGGAAACATGGGTCTTGATCCCTGAGGCGGCCTAATATAGTGATCAGCAAATTGGAGAGGTCTCACAAACGCGGCGCAAGGCGTACGCAAGTTCTGGATCAAAGCATCCAGTTTGGTAGAAGACACGAAGTCATTCCGACGAAGCGACACTCGCATAAGCTCGCTATTGGATTCGCCCGTGTGCCTTAGGTCATTGGACGTTTTCGCAGGGATGAGAACCTCCAAAAGCTCGCTTTCCTAGGGATTGTTGAATTTCGCAATGCTCCACGCTTCCTTGCTCGGCATCTACTCACCTTGATTGGACCCATAGAGCAAATAGGGCAACGACCTTCCTCGCCTTTCGCACGGCACCCGTCGATGAAAGATACGATGCAGTCCTTGCAACTAATGGGGAATGATATGACTCTCAATAAATTAGCACAGACTAAATCACACACCACCGGTGCATGCAACTGGGAATCAGCATGGGCGCCTCAACAAAATCCAGGCAGATAGGACATTCCGTCTCCCCTTTGATATCGTCGAGTACGCTTTCTGCATACGTAGTGTCGTTATTTTCCGCAAACTGCCTGATCATACTGTCCGCATCGATGAGGTCTTGATCCCGCGTCTGATTGTCGTTCTCTTGTGATAGGACAAGCGAAGGGTGCAAGACAGCACGCCGAAGCCTGCAGAGATGCATCAGATTATCCGCTATATGAGACACTCGTACGCGACAACCGACCGCATGAGCATAGCTAGAATGTGCGTGTAGTTCTTCATCGCAAGCCCTGTAACGAAGAGCGAGGTCAGTTGTCACTTTGAATTTAGAGCTGATGTCACCAACCCTGAGCATTCAGCCGCTCGAAGTTACGTTTGGCGCTGAGGTAAATCGAATTGTATATCTTGCGCTCCGCGGAAGAAAAACGCAGCTTCTCTATCGAAACTTCCTTTGGAGGTAGCTGAACGATTCGGTTACCGTCTGAGTCCAGGGCGTCCTTTTCCCTTCGGAGAAGAACACTCTCCAGGATGACCTGTACAATCTCGACAGCCTTGGGGTCTCTTGCAAGAAACGGAAGTGTGATAAAGCTATCCTAGCATCAGTAGCGATGCATGCTCAACACATCAACCGTACACACGAGCGGAAGAACGGGTAGCTTGACCAGGGCGTAAAACCCAGGAATTTGCTGTGGCATATCAAGGAGTTCAGCTGTGGCATTCGGCAAGGTATGGTCACCTTACAGAAGCGAGTACAAGTCTTCAAGCCTGCGCAGCATCAATCATTGTTAGTTGGTGAGGGAGGGTTGCATAGACACGAGGCAGCTCGCCTGTTTACTATCGGCGTTCCTTGGAACAGACTAAATGGAAATCGTAACGTGATAGCTTGCGTACGCACCTGTGACAGCCCAACGACGCCTTGCTCGAAGTGCAAAAACTGCTTTCGCAGTCTGGCTCTGCCTCGACTTGATGTTGTGAGCTTCGTCGAGAATGACGCGTAACCAGTCGACTGTGCACCGGCCCCGTCATAGTCAGCGACACGGATCGCGATTGCAATTCTCGAGCATGCGTACCTTCGAACACTGGGGAGCCCGGTTTCGCGTGTTCAGATGCCAAGGTACCATAGGATGTGATCACGACTAGCGGGACGTCTTGCTCATCATCGTCAAGAACAGCTCCGAATTCCTGCCGGTTCTGACCATGCCATACTGTCACCCTAAGTGTGCCCGGTAGGCTAGATCGGCGCAGCTCATCAGACCATTGCCCGAGCAACGACGTGGGCGCAACGACTAATGTCGCTCTGGGACCTTTCGGCTCTTTTCCGGAGACGCCGGTACTAGATGTTCCTTTCACTCGCAAGGCGTCGTTTAACCTCATTTGCCGTGATCTTGACTGCCCTCCAGATCTATCCGCCTCCGCCAGTTCACCTGGGTCGGGACCACGAAGGGTTTGTATTAACTTCAGAGCCGGTTAGCAACTGGATTTGTCCGCCATCCGAAGCTGGAGAAGAAACATACGGCTGACAGCATTATAGTCTTGCCCATTCCCACTGAGCAGGAAGGAATACTGAGTCAAACGTTATGTGATAAGGCTTTGTGAGCAACATACTCTCTGATAAGCGCAAGGAGGATAATGTCAGATTGTAAGTGCTGTCGTGGTCTCTGCAGTACAACAAGTCTTACCGTCACTAAAAATGCGTCAGATGATTGAATCGTACCGTCAAAGTTTGGGTGCTTACGCCAATATGCCTCCTTTGCAATTCTTCTCCGCCTTCGGAAATTTGAGTGAGAGCTCCCCGGAATACGGGTTGAAGTAGAAGGGGCGTTCTTCGGCAGTCAAGTCGATGATTCCCTCGACCAGTTCACCTGGAAAGCGGTATCTAGCGGAAACGTGAGTAGAATGCAAAAACTCGATGTGTCCGGGTGCTTACTCGCTCCATAACGGATGAAGAGAATCGGCGTCTCTGGCTGACATGTTCCCGGTTTCCAAAGAATGCATCCAGCTGACCCAAAATCAGCCAAAACCAGACGAAACTATCATAGATAGGTCGCTTACTATAAGGCCTGCTTCTGGTAGTTCCGTAATTTGAGGGCAAATGTCGCCGATGCGTCCATCTCTTCCATACTGCGATCGTTTGCTTGCGCCCTATTCGTCCTTGTCAGCTACAACATCGTGTTGCAAGCATTCACGTGTACCTTTTGTATATCGCACTCAATTCGTTCTCAGATAGCACTTCGTCCTCTTCGACTTGAACCTGAATCACTTCACCGTCACCGACAACTTCCTTCTTCACAGGGGAACTCCCTCGTTTTGGTCTTGAAGCAAGATCCTCAAGCTGTTTGTCGGAAGGTTTTTTGGGCTGCATCGTGCCTGCGCCTCGCAACGGTTTGAGCCCAACTGCGTCAAACAGCTTCAGTAGAGCCAGTTTTCGCTCTCGAAGTGTCTGTTCTTCGACCGTTTCGTGCCCCTCATTGATGACGGACTTCAGGGACGACTTTGATTGCTTAGAATCAAGCGGCTGAGTGAATGCTGACGCTCGCATGTAGCAAGAAAGAGATATGACAAGATCAACCCCTGACCTCAGTGTTTCTGGAGCATCCACCAAGGTACTGTCATGAAACTCCACAAGACCTGGACATGCGTTGAGCGACGACAAAAGTTGCGGCAGTATGCGTGCCATACCCAAGTCCATGAGGCTACAGACCCAACTTGAAACATCCCCCGGCAAACGACCAAATTCGAAGCCTGAGCGATTCGTGACGCGTACGATGGTGTCTTTCTTCTTCGCCTTGGAGGACGAAGCCTTGGGTTGCGACTTCAGCATGGTCGCGATGTTGAGTTGTTTGCCTTTGCCTTTGCCGGACGATTTAGCCTCATCTTTACTCTTCTTGCCCTTTGCTCGTGATTTTCCTGTAGCAGCATCGGGGTCATAACGTTCCAACAAGACGATGTCGCCAGGTTTGATGTACCCCTTTCCCTTCACGGTGCTCCAAGCGTTTGGGACAAGAAAGGAGCCAATATAGGCGCTCTCGAACTGCCATGGTGCAACATCCGCTGCAGCGTTGTCTCTGGCCGAGGAAGCAGCCTGGTTCGTCTGGGCAGGTGAAGAGAGCCGTCGTCTCTTCGCAGGAGGCAAAGGTTCATCGGGAGAAAGAGGCCGAGAAGTCGATCCATGACTAGCTTCTGTACCTGCGATACCAGGGCTGGAATCTCGAGATGCCTGGGGAGACGCCATTCTGAACTCATCCGAGCCGTTTTTTGGGGGTGGGGAGTGATCATCGACGGATATGGCTCGCGTCGGGGGTGTGCTGAACCGTTCCACGGAGAAAGCATCCTCTTCGTCATCGCTACCTGCAATGAAAAGCGGCTCTGCGCCTTCGCTACCGTCTCGAGGCTTCTGTTCGCCGGTTTCACTGGGGCTCTGAGGAGACATCACGACGTCGTTTCCGCCTTCATCGGAGCTAGCAAAGAAAGCGTTGTTCATAGGAGTCAGATCCAGTGCGATGTTACCCCGCGCTCCAAGTCGTGCCTAAGTGCAGGATATATCTTCTAAGGTCAGAGGAGCGCCGGCGCCAGTGCGAACCAGAGGTGAGTCGACGCGTCGTGACTGCACTGAGTTTCAACGCGTATGTGGCCTGAGAACTTTTTGACGACTGCCTCTTGCTTGTCCCCATACCTTGTCGAAAATGCAGCGCGGCCTGCCTATGGTACGCCGTTGGATCACAAGATCGGGATGAGATAGCGATATAACTAAAACGATCTTGGCGAACTCCAGCAACCGACGGTGGTCCTCCTGAAGGAGGGCACCGATACCTCGCAAGGGACCCCGCAGTTACTATCGAACATATCTGCATGCCTTGCCATCGCTGAAACTCTCGCAAGCACGCTTGGTCCAAGGGGAATGGATAAACTCATTGTGAACGAGCGTGGAGATGCACAAATCACTAATGACGGCGCGACGATCCTCAAGCTTCTCGATATTGTGCATCCTGCTGCCAAGACTCTGGTGGATATCGCGAGAGCGCAAGATGCAGAAGTTGGCGATGGAACAACGAGCGTGACACTTCTGGCAGCTCAGCTGTTGAAGGAGGTTCGGGGTTACATTGAGGAAGGTGTGAGCCCTCACATCATCATGAAGGGTTTCCGCAAGGCCGCCCAACTCGTGCGTGGTTCTCAACTCAACACGCGTTGCACCGCGGACTTACGATGATTATAGGCCGTGGACAGGATCAAGGAGATTCAAGTCTCCGTGGATAAGTCAGACCCGGAGTATGTTCTTACACCTCATGCAAGAACCAAAGCTAATCGAGTTACTAGGCGCTTCCGATCCCTTCTATTGAAGTGCGCTTCGACCTCAATGTCATCCAAGCTCATCCACTCGGAGAAACCATTCTTCTCCAACATGGTCGTCGATGCGGTCCTGTGCCTTGATCAGAACGACCTGGACGAATCGCTCATCGGTGTCAAGAAGATTCCCGGTGGCGGGACTCAGGACTCGCAGCTGATCCGCGGCGTCGCCTTCAAGAAGACATTCACCTATGCTGGTGCCGAACAGCAACCGAAAACGTTCAAAAACCCTCTGATCCTCTGTCTCAACGTCGAGCTCGAGCTAAAAGCAGAAAAAGACAATGCCGAGGTCCGCGTGGAACACGTAGCCGACTACCAGGCTATTGTGGATGCCGAATGGGAAATCATCTACCGTAAACTCGCAGAGATCGAAAAGACTGGCGCCAAGGTAGTCCTCAGCAAGCTGCCGATCGGTGATCTTGCGACGCAATGGTTTGCCGACCGCGATATATTCTGCGCGGGCCGTGTAACTGCGCAGGATCTTCGGCGAGTCGTACAGGCCGTTGGTGGTTCGGTTCAGTCAACATGCTCTGACATCGCTCGGGAACACCTTGGCACTTGTGGAAGTTTCGAGGAGAGACAAATAGGCGGGGAGCGTTACAACGTCTTCGAGGAATGCCCGAAAGCGAAGACCTGCACACTCCTACTTCGGGGCGGCGCGGAGCAATTCATCGAAGAGGTCGAACGCAGTTTACACGATGCGATAATGGTTGTCAAGCGTGCAGTCAAGAACGGAGAGGTCGTTGCTGGTGGCGGAGCCATCGAGGTCGTTCTCTCTCCGTGTGCTTGTGGATATCTACTGACGGTCTTTCAGATGGAACTTTCGGCCTACACCCGAAAGCACGCGCTCGGCATTCCCGGAAAACTGCAGCTAATCATGATCGCGTTCGCCAAGGCTCTAGAAATAATCCCGCGCCAAATCTGCGACAACGCCGGACTGGATTCCACGGATATTTTGAACAAGCTGCGGATGCGTCACGCGAACGCAGAGCGATCTGGCGCAAGTGCGGACAGATGGGCCGGTGTCGATGTCGATGGAGCTGAGGGAGTTCGCGACAACTTGGAGGCGTTCGTGTGGGAGCCGGCGCTGGTGAAGCTGAATGCGATCAGCAGTGCGACGGAGGCGGCTTGCTTGATCCTGAGCGTGGACGAGACCGTCAGGAACCCTCAGAGTGAACAGGTACGTGTCCCTGAGAGCTTTAGGGCCTGTATGCGTTATCGATTGTTCTATCTCATTAGCCCAATCCGGGACCGAAAGCGCCTCCGGGAGCTGCAGCACGGGCGCTACGGGGACGAGGGCGCGGGATGCCTCGGCGGTAGGGTAGACTTGAAGTGTACGAGCATGCGTAATGGTTCCTGTCTGGCGACGGATGATAATTCAACGACCGGCTGGGCGTGTAACAGCACTGCAGCAGCGACATGCGAGGCGGGCTGGGTGCGCTGGTGGGCCGCTTCGGCGTGTGGGCGACTTGCGCCATCCCGTGACCTGGACGCGCCATCGCTGGGCTCACGTTCGCGCCACCACCGCTTGAGGCGTCGCGCGATGGAAGAGCGCAACGCAGAGGAGAGCACGTCAACGGGTCGTTCGTGCCATATCCGGCGTGGGTCTCCGTGCGTCGGCCCCACCGTCTGACATGTCGCCATCCCGGAGGATTCCACGCCATAGATTGCAGCCGCAGACGTGCTTCTGAGATATCTGTCCACGCCTCTTAAAATCCAGCGCGGCATGAGTGACATATCCTCTGTCCGGCATTGGAACGCCCTCTCGACACGGCCCGACATCCAACATGACCACACAGCTCCCGCAAAACCTCGTCCTCAAGCGGAGAGATTCCTTCGATGACACGACCAAGGCCGCGGACATCGTCTCGACCGATTCCGAGTCCGTCAAGGACATCCCACCCCTCGGGACGCCTCCGCCGACTGGAACCAGGAACTTCTGGAGACGCTGGAAGCGTCAGGACATCGATCTGGACGCCGTTGCGACCCAGCCCTCTGTCTTCGACGACCCCCAAACGCTCGAGGCGTACAGACCCCCTGCCGTGTATGAAAATGCCCACCGCTTCGATCCATCGGCGCGGTGGACATGGAGGGAAGAGCGGGTGAGCTGACTGGACTACCCGCAAGGGAAAATACCCATGTTACAATCCGCAGAAACTCGTTAGGAAGATTGACTGGCGCATCATGGTTTGGACTTTCATCATGTTCTTCTCTCTCGGTGGGTAGCTTGTGTTAACGTTTGTGATGGATTGCTGACGGCGGCACTCAGAGTTTGACCGTAGCAATATCTCGCAAGCCAACTCGGACAATTTGCTGAATGACTTAAACATCAACACCGACGACTATAATCTCGGTGATTTGTCCTTCCTTTCCTGAAGCGAAAAACGTGATTGACTGTTTATCTCAGGCTTCACTTTGTTCCGCCTTTGTTTCTTGATTGCAGAACTCCCATCGCAACTCGTCTCCAAGCGGGTGGGTCCCGATGTTTGGATTCCGTCACAGGTGAGTCGAACCGGACTTTGTGGCGACCCCACTTTTCAAATGGAATTGTTAGATGACCCTTTGGAGTCTCGTTGCCATGAGTCAATTTTGGCTCACTGGCCGTGGATCCTTTTTAGCGACTAGGTAAGGCGCAAGCCTTCCGACCCATTCTTTGTGTTCATCATCCGGCAGAGCTTTGCTGGGCTTCTTGCAGGGTGGATTTATCCCAGATGGTGAGCATGGTCTTACAGGCATACCAGCGACGAAGCTCACGCTTGACACGACAGTCATCCTCTACTTGTCATATTTCTATACGAAAACGGAGCGTACGTATCGCAGCCCTTGTCAAGCTTCTGGCTCTCAAATAAGAACACAGTCCCCATTCGACTCGGTTGGTTCTGGGTATCCAACTACGCAGCCCATATTGTCGGTGCCTTCCTGGCGACCGGGCTTCTGCGACTACGTGGTGTAAATGGCCACGCTGGATGGAGGTACTTATTCCTTATCGAAGGAGGAGGCACTCTCCTCGTCGGGATCATCTCCTTCTTCATGATGCCTCCTGGTCCTACCCAAACGAAGGCTTGGTTCCGACCGAAGGGGTGGTTTACGGAGCGGTAAGAAAACCAAAACATCTTGGAATCCTGTAGATACTTAGAAGTCGTGTGATCAGGGAGGAAATCATCATGGTCAATAGGTGCGCCGTTATCCGCCTGAAGTAGAACCGGGAACTCACATGAAACCTTCAGAGTGCTCCGTGATGATCCATCCAAGTCAGACATGCATAACCGCCAAGGACTGCATGTTAAACAAATTTGGGAAGCCATCTGCGATTGGCGCATGTGGCCCTTGTACATGCTGGGACTGACCTTCTTGGGTGAATATGCTATCCTTACCGAGTGATTGCCTTCTAACCACCTGAGACTACGCAGTTCCCCCTGGCCCGCCGCAAAATTATTTGACACTGTCAGTATTGAATCTGTACACTGAAGTCATATCGTTTATCAAGCGACTTCTTCAGGACCCTTCGCCACCTTGGCTTCAACACGACGCAGACGAATCTCCTCACTATTCCGTCCACAGTACTTGGCATTTTGGGTCTTTTATTCACCGGTACGTGCTTGGATAGTATATTGCATCGAAGGATAATGTCTAATCGAGTCTCTTAGCCTGGGTCAGCGAAATCATCGATAGCCGCATTATTCCGACTGTCTTCATGCAAATATACGTATTACCGCTGCTTATAGCGCTATATACGTTTACCTCATCCACCAATCTGTGGGTCTACTACACCGTCGTCTCACTGATTACCGGTTATCCCTACGTACATCCCATTCAAGTGTGTACCTGCCGTTCATCCTTCCTGCATGCCCGCTGAACATATTTTAAGGTCGCATGGGCGTCAAGAAACTCATACAGCGTTCGAACGAGGACCGTATCAGCCAGTGTGTATAACATGTTCGTGCAGGCTGGTTCGATTACAGCCGCAAACATCTACCGCGACGATGATAAACCTCTCTGTAAGCACATCAGCATGCTCACGCCGCTCGAGATTCCTAACTACCTACCCAGATAAACGTGGTAATCGCGACTTGATTGGTATCACCGTCATGAACATATTTCTCTACGCGTTCACGTGGCTCTTTTACCGCGCGATTAATAAGCGCCGGGACCGTATCTGGAACTCTTGGACGGCCGAGGTTAGTTTCATTGCATGGTCACATGGAACGAAAACACTGACATCACCACAGCAACAACGCGAATATCTAGAAACGACCAAAGACAAGGGCAATCAAAGACTTGATTTCCGCTTCGCGTATTAGCGACTTATTCGCTGTGTACAGTATCCAACGTCGTGTACGAATGCTCGACGGGAATATCATATACAATGTATTTACGATACGTACAACTTGTTACAAGGGATGAACCGCTGATAACAAAACTATGAACCTTCTTGGATCTGAATCATATTACAATGTCTTGCAGTATTCGTCCGCTCCCTTTTGCAGGCACCTTTCTATGTCTTCCGCAAGTGATTCCAAGTCATCAATTGCATGTCGGCCGGCAACTTCCGGTGGGACCGCGGCTCGGAATTGTGCAACAATGGCTTCGGCGAGGATTCGTCCCCCCGACGAGCCCGGTGGTGGACCAGTGGCGTCGAGTTCGATAGAAGACATTGGCTGTGAGGGAGAAATCTCATCATCGCAGTGTGCTCTCTCCGCGCCCTGCGTGTCCTCATTCGTAGTCCTCAAAGTGTGCGTTGCGGCTGAATTGAGGTTGGGGAAAAACTTCGGCTTGCGAGCATTGCAAAGGGCCAGTAGTCGGGCCTGAAGGGGGGCCAGATGCTGGCTCGGCTCGAGGCTGAGATGCACGTCATCTCCGGTCAGCGCAGTTGCTTTGCGAAGTCCTGAGGATGGACCTTAGGATCGACGCATAGCCGGATCCCACGATGTAGCTTACCTTGGAGTTGCGACGTAAAGTATGCGGCATCAACCTCAAATGAAAATATCGGAACAAACCAATCCCTGCGTGGAAATGTGTGATTGATTGCAACATGTTACGCGAGCGGATCCTGGTACTCACAAAGCCTCCGTGAATGGCAGGAGTACGCCTGAGACTGCAGTCCTCGTCATCGCTTTTTTGCGCGTGCGAGCCAGCTGACTCTCCAGGTCCGTCAAGGCATGGGGAGATATCGGTGAGCGATCTGTGGCTCCGGTTGGCATGAAGACGATGGCCTGATGCGCCGCCCCACAACGTCAAAATGCATGATGATTGGTTGAGCGCGTTCTTACCTCGTGCATCTTCTTCTTGGGCGGGATCCGAGAGAGGGCTTCGATGTTGCTATCCGGAAGCCACTGGATAAGCTGAGCGGCATGCTACAACACCCGATCAGCCTCAACTCAAGTCCAGCGTGAAAACACATACCCGTGCAAGCGAGCCCTTGGTGCGCTGCCAGCGACTGGCGTCGGGCAGCACTCCATCATGAATCTTCTCTCCTTGTACGACTTCCTCTTGCCATCCACGTTCAACACGCTTGATTAGCTTCTCTTTTCCGGCTTTGCCATCTGGTCCCGGGGAAGGTTTGCGATACGCCGCGCGAGGGGGCGCATAGAGCAGAAAACTCGGCCGGTTTTCAATGTCCTTTGCGTGAGTGGCTGGAGGGAAGGGAATGGCAAACAGGACGCCTGGAATGGACACGTTCTGAGGAGTGGCTGCCGTAGTGTTTAGATCTAGCCCTGCGTTGGCTGGCTGACGCAGATATGTGGTCGGAGATGGACCGGTTGAAACATTTCTGTCTGTAAGATGCGAGGATTCGTTAGCCATCGTTGGAGTTGCGTGCGGAGAGGATGCTTATATGGCTTACATGGTTCATAGTCCACGGCCAAATACCCGTGAGCTACTAATCGTCATTGGCTCACCTTGTCCACCGCACAGCCACCACAACTACCTTGCCTTTATTACCGTATGTATACGTACGTACTCTACTCCAGTCACTAGCTTGTGATTTCGATAGTTGATGACACTCTCATAGAGGAATTTCTGAGAGAGAATATAATAGGGCACCACATGAGGGTGGACATCTTATAAGTCGCTGCCAATTCCGATTCATGTGCGGTGTTTGGCTGTAATTCGAAACAGTCTCACGTCGTCCAAAATACTACTCGAAATATCATGGCGTAGCGGCATACAGTTCGCTACCGACCTGTTCCGTAGTTCGTCCGTGATATCATATACCGTCAGCAGTTTTTCTATTTGCTCGTGAGGAACGATATGGCCAATTACTCTGGCAAAAGCTTACCAGCGGATGCACAAAACTCCGCCATGGTGGATCTGTTTCTCAGCGTGAGTGCAATGAGAGCTCCCTTTGAAGAAATACGTTGTTGATTTTCCAGTGCAATCTTGAGCGTTGCGAGTAACGGATCAATCAAGGAGGGATCATACACCTAGGTCCTTTTCAATAATAGACACTTGGTTGAGATTACGGCTATCTCACCAGATCCGCTCCTATAACAATATCGGTGCTCTGAGTAACATTATGAAATGACGTTGCCCATTCCTTGAAATCTCCTGCTAATGTGTCGGACCAGTCAAACTTGCGACAGGTTAGTTCGGGATGAGACTGCAGATTATTGCAGGGAAGCTGGACATTTGTTTGGCATCGTTCCAAGACCGTATCATTCACATCCGTAAGGCACAGAGCTGAAGATAATTCAACGCCGTCGCCGAGCATCCCTGAAACTGACTCACAGCATTGTTTCTCGACATTTGTAATGGAACGCGAAGTTTGTATGCTGCCAACAATACAGCCGAGGAATCCGACACCCGATCCTAATTCAAGAACCCGTTGTGCATGGACAAGCTCTGATATCATGGATTAGGCTGTCAAGCAGTATTGAAGGTTCATGGATTGACGCACCAGGATTCCCTAAAAGATATCGTGCAAGAGCAATGCTCGCCGGCCAGGTCCTAAGCCCGGTGGTACCAGCTTCGATCATGCTTTGCGACTCCAGAATTGTCACAATGCGCAGCGTGTCCAGGTTAACGTAGGATGGATTGTGATCCTGCGAGTCCACGTCCTGGCCCACAGATCGGTAGAAATAAGACACAAAGCATGGTTCAGGGGGGCCCTTGGCGAACGTGGTCGAGGTCCTATCAGTGGTACCTATGAGTGCCTATAGTTCGTATGGAAGAAGGGATGGGACTTGTTGGAAAGCAATATCTCTGAATATTTGAGGTAAATGTGTTCGTCTATTTCATCGTCTGCTGTTGTCTATGTCTATGCGTAAATTCCTCAGGCACAGTGTTGACTGAATAAAACCCGCTTACGTTGATATTTTCATGGAGCATATTCTCGAGAACCGATACTGACCACTTCCAAAACGAAGCCTGGTACATCTTGGACGGCGGATATGAAGAAGCGTGCTTGCTCCAAAGTATGTGGTCCAGGAGGAAGTTTTGTAAGCATGTGAATGAGACATTGACAGAAGCAGGTAGGTAATTGGATGGCAGGAGGGCGTAATAGATCTGCAGGATATCGAACAGCTCAGCATGAAGCAGCATGGCAGCGAACTCTTCACGAAGGCAAGTTGGCAACGCGGCGGCGCAGGGAAAGATAACTTGAACTGAGCCTGCCCTGATGTTTCCCCCACGTGAACCGAAGTGTTCGTTCTCTCATTTTTTGCCAGTCCGCATGTCGCTCTTTCGCCACGTACATCCAACTCCTGCCGCTCTTCCAGGCGTCTGCCGCAATGCGTCTCTGCGTTTGATACTATCTCGGCAGCTCTCAGGGAGCCGTTTATCGGCCTCGGAACTCGCGCGGACTCAGGTCTCCGAGGAAGAGGAGGAAGACATCGACCTTCTCGACGACGCTGCCGTAGATGAAGAGGCGCAAGCCCCATCGCGTCCTGACGGCCCTTCTGTGCGCCGGGATCCGGGCTTCAAGGCGTGGCTTGGTACCGTAGGACAGCAGTGGAAGGATGCGTCCACGCCCAGAAATTGGATGGGCAAGGACGGAGCAGTACGCGCGAGGAACGTCTTGACGTATGAAATACTCAACAGCCATTCACGACAGCCATTTCCCCTCAATCCGACCTTCAAGCCACCCATTCCGATCTCCAACGCCATCCGTAATACAATATACGAGGAATTCATGTGCGCCACTGACCCTAAGGTTGCGTTTCGCGAGGTAACGAATGCTGAGCACTCGACTGCGGCACGTCTAATGCTTTGCGTCGGCAGATCGCTTCTAAGTATCATCTCAGCTTGGCCCGTCTTGATGCGATACTTCGTCTCAAGGGTTTGGAAAAGCACATGCCCAAGGTGAGACTCTGAGTTGCAGATTCGCTCATTTGGACCTTGTCGTATATCATGATGAGTACACAACGATTAGTCTTGAAGACTCCTACATGGTTAAACCTATAAACATGCATGGCTTTCTGATTACACGACATGGTCTCCCTCCGATATCGTAGCACCACTGACCGCATTTCTTCCCTGTAGGTGAATCTTCTGACAATCAAACGACAGTAGGCACTGACCATCATTAACATTGTCGTGGACCGTATTGTAGGTGAGTCACGGTCGCCTCATTAATCTTATTTAAGATGATATCATATATATCATTCGCGAATTGAAAGACCTCTGGGTGCCTTACACGCTCGGCGCTGGTTATACTCCGTTTCAACCCCATCTGATACGAAATCACCCGTTATGCACTGTCGCGATCGAGGAGTAAAATGCTGACAGTAATTTGTACGATAGGAACAACTTCAAACCGGGTTTCTTGCTGGTATGGAGAGGATTTTGGGTGTACCTCACGATGCGTCCTCGCGAACGCGCTACCCATTTGAGGGCTACCCAGAGATACGAGACGAAGAACACGCAGGTATGAGCACACGATCACAGCAATGATACATGTACAACTGAAGCTCGGGTTAGATATGCTCGCAGCAGATGCCCAGGATGAGGCCGAAACGGATGATATGAAACGTGCGCGTCTTCGCTACCAGCGACAGTTCTGGGAAGCAGTACCTGAAGACCAGGTAGCTCGAACGCTTCTAGGGAGGGTGGTCTTTTCTTAATGTTTCTCATAGCTCGAACCTCAAATGCCTGTCGCTCTTGAGAAAGCTCGAAGTGACGCTGCTAGGTGGGAGCTGCGTCGCGAATCGCAGCGAGATGAGATTGCGCACACTGCATCCCAAGCGCGCGAAAAGCGCAAGGTCTGCATTGTGTATTTCCGCCGAAGATTATAGGCTCACATAGAGATCGTTTTCAGGACCTGGTCATTCGTTCTGGCAAGGCTGCGAACCGGCCGCTTATCCGCTTCAAGGACGTCGGTAGCAAGCTACTTGACGTCAAAGAAGAGGAAAAACGCCAGCGGCAGATCGAGCGCAGGAGCAAAATACACGCGCGGTCGCGTGAGGATCAAGAACGTCGGAGAGCAACGAAGCACAACTTGGCGTCTGGTTCAGGGCATGCCTCGTACTCCATATAGTCATCAATACCCTTCTTTCCTTCCTAATTGGATATCGGTACTCGCTGCTTGACCTCCCTTAGTATCCGCGACGCACGCACTGCGGTAAGGTATGGCTCACTCGTCATGGTGCAAACGGCTTAATCACCGCCACATTTGTACAAAATGCATACTCGCCAGTGCAGCACCTTCAACCTCGAGTACTTAGTTATATTGTCGCTATCCATTTAACTCGCGATGTTTTCTATACATATTGAACTCTGAGTTCATGGGCACAGAACAGATCGGTGAAATCCTTGTTGTACCGTGTGCAAGGGGTCCGTTCTTGAATTTCGACAAGCCCGGAGCTAACTCAATCCGTCCTACGGTCAGCAGGGCGTCAGCAACTACAAAGTGCTTAGTGCGGCAATGCTACGTTTCTTCGATGAATGTATTGTGAATTGAAGGTACTTGACAAAGTGACCCAATGGTTGCCCTTTGCAGGAAGACGTATAAGATTAATTGACAGAAAGTTGTTCGAGGCGAAAGGATTACCTGAAACGGGGAATTGAACGCCCGAAAATTTGGTGGTGCTGTGCGGGGATGGTTTTCGATAATCGGATGCAGCATTACTGCACGACAATAGTTCATTCAATATTCACCGCGATTACTCTACTATGCACGTATTCCACAATTCCTGCACAATCACGTCTTCGCACTCCACCCTCCTCCGATGGTGGCCACCGCAAGGACGAGCGCGACAACGCCGAGAGCCCTTCCCAGAGGGGATATGTGCTGGATGCGCTGCTCCTCGCTGAATGGGTTATTCTTACCTGTTGCCTTGCGCACATTAGCACTCGACCAAGGCGTCCTCAAGGGATGATCTCCCTGTGAATTTGTTTGGCTGAAGTGCGTGTTCGCCCTCGCTCTGTGCCCTTGTGGATGTGGCGAGAAGGGATCGAACTCGGAGGGATCGTAATGCATCCCCGGCGGAGGTCGACCGTACCACGATCTGGATTGATGTCGCGCTTTCTCCCAGGCATACGACGCTCCTCTACGGCGTGTCTCAAACGCCCAAGCGCCTGGATCATAGTCGTGTGACGCGGCAGGGTGTCGGTGATAGTGTTGCTGGTGAGAGTGAGATGGGCCAACGCTGAGCGTTCTATCATAAGCTCGCCTGGCGCGTTAAGCGGAAGGGGATCCTGTGAGTGTATGCATGTACTAGCATAGGGGAAAACGCACCTTTGCCGTTCATCTCCGAGCACCGAGTACGCTTCGCTCGCGGCTTGAAACTTTGCTTTAGCCTCGGCGGAACTGTTAACATCCGGATGATACACTTTGCTGATCTATCGAGGGGCGCTCTGAGGGCTCGTTCGTCTTTGAGCTTGGTTCGCGGCATAGGTTGCGCACCTTGTAGAAGCTGGTCTATCGCGCGAACATGAATGACCTGATTAGCAACGCGAACATTGGGTTTGAGCGTAGCATCCGACCTTGATTTGACTGCGCGTCGCGTTCCTTGGTACATCCAGTGTATCATAGTGGCTGTTGCCTGCCCGCGCAGCCGGGGAGACGCTGAAGTGCCGCATCTGGTGCGCGAGGGCGGAGCGAATGGACGACGGCCCTGCAATACCTCTTCCACTGAACACCATGCTCCTGTTACGCCGAAGTGAACCTCAGCTTCAGCGAGCTAGCCGTAATACTAACAGTGTGGACGTCAAGCATCACGGGGTACCGCCCAATGCGTACAGCAACCTGGCAATGTGTGACGTCACCGGGCACTGCTTTCGCGAGGAGCACTAGTGGCGGTGTCAGGTTCAACATCTCCTTCGCGGTTGGAAACCTGTGTCAATGCAGTAAAGCGAACTACTCGCCCCTGCTGCTGTGATCAGATCTGATTCATCCGTACTGCGACCGTATTTCTGCATGAGGCTGGACTCAGCGCGTCTATGTCTTGCACCATACCATTGTGAGCATCAACAATCCACCAAATATGTCTGCTCGACTGGTGAACTCGCGACGTGGACCCGCGCTTCCGGGCAAGTCGCGTCCGGCGATAACGGGAGACGAGCAGCAGTTCACCTTTTTGATGTACTGAGAAGCAAAGCGTTAGCGTCTGCGCCCAATCGCCACGAGGGGCAATGCCACTGTACTCGCATCTTCGAACCAAATCCGGAGCTGGTGATCGGCTGCTTCCATGGACTTCTGACGCAGAGCTTTTTTCCCCCCGAATTCACAAGCCCCTCGCGCCGACGTCGCGCTGCTTGCTTGGTGGCTCGCTCTTCCTCGTTCGTTGCGCTAGTTGGCCCTCTCATCTCGGAGGAGCGAGTCTCTCGGACGTCCCGCCTTTGGTGCCAATGACTTCTTACAACGCCACCGCCATCATCGTCGATGATACAGATCCAAGTATACATTATAATGGCGCATGGAACCATAAGCTCGACGTGGCCAACGACCTCGGCGCATACAACAACTCGTGGACCGACGCTTTCGGTGCTGGTTTGTCCGCGACGTACACGTTCGAAGGTATGTGTTATGTTCTGGCCGGTTCACGATTTCTCATGCTGCTAAACAGGAACGGCCGTGGATGTTTACGGTGCAGTAGGATCCTTCGACGTCGATGGGGTGCCCTCCGCTTCGTATTCGATTGATGGCGGCTCTCCTACCATCTACACGGCGGACGTCATACCACCAGGCCAATTCCAAACGCGTCAGCTCTTCTACAGTTCCCCAACTCTCCCCCCCGGTCGCCATAGTCTTGTCATTGCAACTCTGAACGCAACAGCCGATTTCGTTTTTGACTTCCTGGTGTACACTCCGGTCTTGAACGCCAGCACGTCAGCGACAGGCTCCATGGCAAGTGCTACATTAGAAGCCTATTCTGGGGCAGTTACGCCGTCGCAGACACCGCCCTCTACGTCGGTATCGTCAACATCGCACGGACACGTCGCCACTGCAGCTATTGCGGGTGGTGTCGCGGCCGGATTGGCTGTATTGGGCACCTGTTTGATTGTCTTCCTATGCCTCCTTCGCCGGAGTCGTCGCAATAGGGTGGATCGAGTGGGCCCCCTTCCGAAGTCCAAGGTCAACCTCCAGGCCGGTGAGCTTGCTCTTGACGCGTTTCTGCGCCAACGCTGAGGGCCGGTTTGCACAGAGATGCCATTGTTACCTACGACCCCTGTGCTACATAGGGAGCATTCTCCTCATCCCCACAACGCATTGTCCCCCGTCGCTGCCACGTTCTCCAGACCCTCGTCGCACCGCAGCCAAACAATGACCGACGGCCGCGAGCTCGTCGCACGCGGAGAGCCCCAGAAGGCGACAGACACGCCCCTGATAAATACAGGTACCAGGAAACGTCCACCTCGAGAGCCTACGGTTGACGCGCGGCTGCTGCCGGTGCATCGAGACGCTGGAATTCGTTTAGCTGCGGGGGACGGAAGTGTTACGCCATCGGAACTACCCCCTGCATATCAGCAGTACATCAATTGACCGCTCGAAGCAGTAACAACATTAGCAGGCCCTTACCCCAGCAGGCAATATTGGCTTGCGCCGTTCCGATGGTCCGGAGGGGACCGAAGCAGTAACAACTTGACGTAGCCTTACCACCCCGTTCACAACGGACAGTCTGCTCGTTACTTCCTAACATTCTCGCTCTTTTGTCGACTTGCTTTCTCATTAGTGTAATAATCGGCCCTACTTGCATTATCTACTGAATGTCCGTGTAATCCCCGTGTCTATTCCAACTTCAGGACCGACAGCATGGCGAAATGTCGTTTGACCAACATCACAGCGCATCACGGCTTCGGCGGCGGACTACCCGTAGTGGTATTCCACGCCTCGCCTTCCGGCACATCCCAGTCGCCGTGGCAGCCCCATGCCCAGTCGGCCTCGGCGATGATCTCCTTCTGCGCAGCAACGAACGCGTCCACGGGGCACATGCCGTCCTTCTGTTGGGGACACCCGCGAATGCCAGTGAGTGGAACAACTCCGTCGTTGACGATGACACGGATTTGATCCCCGGGGAGGGCATCTGAGTCGCAAGAGAGGAGCTGGAACTGGACGTTTGTCGCGAAGGGTGCGAGATGGGAGACCTTGAATGAGCGGTTGGACGGAATGTGGTCCGCGGGTAGCGGTCCGTTCGCCGCCAAGGTCGTCAGATTGAGCGCCGTCAAGACTGCAATCGTGAACGTCAGAAATCATGAACAGATTAGAAGATGGTATCCCGTACTGTTCAGCACCACGACCTCGTGCGTTGCATCAACGTAGAGTGACTGACCCAGCGGGAAAGTGCGCTCGTCGTCATCCAAGGTCGCGTTGGTCGACGAGTTGTGCTGCATCGTCCCGTTCATCAGCATATTGCGAAAGCTCATCAACGGAGGGGAACTCACCACAGCGATAGGCGTATGCGTCAGCCTCGCTATCATCTCTTGGACGTAGCCTATGCCCTGCACTTTCGCGACGGGCGAGCCGAACGCCGAGTCGTACCAGAAGTACAGATCCCACGCGTAATCAAAACCTTCCCATTCCTCCTGTGTAAAGAGCTCGCAGAATTTGGAGTACCCAATTGCCACAGTCTCGTAGGCACACATCTGCTGGAGGACGAAGGTGTCTTCGATGGAAAGGGAGTAGCCCTGGAACAGTGGTGCCAGACGCGCGTTGGCGTCTTTCAAGTATATCTATATGGACATATTGTCAGCTCTTCGGTTTCTAGCTTCGTGACAATCGTTGCTCACCTCCGCCCATTTGCTGACATAGTACACCCCGCGGTCAGACTTGGTTTTGACGCGGGCATTCGGGCAGGTTTTGTATGGAGCTAGCGTGTTGTTGAACTAACGTATAGTGATTAGCGTGTCGGATTTAAGGGTCGCTATTACTCACGCCATCCTCTTCGATGGTGATGCTCTGCTCGTACATTCCGTCATAAGGGTAACCGAAGAAACCGATGGCAAAGTTGAGCGCGGAAGCGAGCATACGGTCCCTGCAATGGAATTTCAGAGCAGGCTTGCAAGATAGGCAACGCCCGACTCACTGGCTCTCCGTCCTGAAGACCGGAATGGTGTTCTTCTCGGTGAAGTTCTTGAGCAGGAACCCATACTTCATCCGAAGTCCAATGCCAAGGTCATAGAGTTGCTGCCTCCCAAACGGAGTGAGCACTTCCTCGCCCAGCTTGTATGTCCAGTCATTCAGGAATTCCAGCTCTCCCGACGTATTCCAGCCGGAGGCAGTGGCATGAAGGCGACTGGAGAAATTGGCTGGTCCGCCGTAGGAAGCGTAGCCGGTAGGGTAACGCGCGCCGTGACGATGAAGAAAGTGTAAGCCAGTGATCCTGCACGTTTCGGGAGCTTCGGGGGACGAATCTAGACCGAATGCATCTTTGGGCACGCTATACCACGGACTCAGGTTACCCCAGGATTTGAAAAGGTCGAATTTATTTGACGTGGCGGGCGCCTGGAGCTTGGCTGGTGCGAGAAGATGGGGGACGGACGTATGTACGGGATAAGAGGGCGCGGTCGCGATCACCGCTGGCTCGGCGCCTGTTGGAGTTGGTCCGGGATAACCGACGTCTGTAGGAAAGAGCGAGGGGAACGCGTTGGTTGGCTTGATGGGAGGGAAGCGGTGAACTTCCGTGGATCCAGCGTCTGGGCTGGCGAGGATGTCTACTTGGGAGGAAGTCGACGGAGAAGGAGCGGGTGCGAATCGAGGAAAGCATGCGGAGCCGCAGAGAAGGTATTGGGCAAGGAAAGTGGCGAAGATGCCAACGACGAACGAGGCGCCAAGGTGGACCAAGCTAAAGCGCGGTTTGGGGGACGCACAGCAGCGGGCGCGTTTCTGGTCCAGGCCAGCGTCGAGAGCGGCGTTCTGAGACAGATCGGAGGAGAGAAGGGCCTGGTTCTCGTCGGAGACGTCGTGGACGGTCTTGTACTCGATGCGGCCGGACTCGAGGTCGTCGCGGTTGGAGTCCATCGCGGCGTGGTGTGAGGCTGGCGGATGCCCGTCGAGGTATATCTGCTCGCTCACGACTGCAGAAGCGCGACTCGGGGCCAGCTCAGGCGAGGAACCGACTCGGATACGAGGTGGCTGTGCCGCATGGCCGATTGCTTGGATTACAGTACTTACATCGAGAGTGCCCTGCATACATCTGCGTGCCTCGACGGAGACTGTAGCCAAGCATATACGTATGGCTGCAGTGCCCCTTTCCCGGCGAGCTTGCACTTCGGAGTACATAGCTTGGTCGACGTCGACCGGGCTCAGATATCTCAACGGCAGCATCAGCACTGCCACGTACCTCCGTCACCATCGACTCCGGACCAACCGGGCGCTACTGGATCGTCCGACATCCTGCCTTACGCCTCATCTAATCATCTGCCGGTGTACTGGACTCTTGTTTTTCTTGAAATACAGCGCTGCTACACACCCAGGTCCGTCGCGGAGGACTTCTTATACCACGACAATACTTTCGGATTACCCTTACGCTCCGCACGACAGCTAGAGACGACAAACGTCAGCTCAGCTTGCGATGACAAGTTCTAGAGACGCATTGGTACTGTGCATCTACTGACCAACGTTGGCGTACCTGACCATGCAACCATAGTGGGCTAGTGGCCACGACGAATCGGTAGAGGTGAACCAGCGTGCGCTGATCGACAAGGTCTTGGCGCGATACTCTGGAGAGTTCACCGGTACGCCCCCGCCATCGCGATCAACGGTTTTGCTCAAACTTATCCCAACATCCAGTGTTCCGAGAGCTCCTGCAGAACTCGGACGACGCGAAGGCGCGCTCAGTTGAGATTCGGTTTGAGACGAAGCAATATTTGGATCGGAAAGAGCGGAAGAACGGTACTGCGGAGGTTGTTGATGCCGATACTCACTCCGAGGCGGAGAAGTTACCCGACCTGAAAACCATAGCGGTAGGCATAATCTTACACCTTCGTTTCCATGTACTCATGATGTCACAGGTCCACAGATGGTCATTCAGAAACAATGGAATCGTCTTCCGAGATGAAGACTGGACTCGGTTAAAGAAAATCGCAGAGGGAAATCCTGACGAGGAGAAGATTGGTGCATTCGGGGTTGGTGCGCATGACATGCCTTTGGAAATAGAGGCACGGGGGAATCAACTTCTCTAGGTTTCTACAGCTTGTTTTCGGTGACAGAAGAACCTTGGGTAACCTCAGGAGGTATGTGTTTACCCTGCTCATTCCGAAAATATCTACACAACACCGGTGTTGGTAGATCAATGGATGCGATTCTATTGGAAGAATCAAGGAGACCAACTATTTGTGCGGCGTGGTACGCTCCCTCCGGATCAACTACCACCAAGCAGCGAAAACGGTCACGGCAACCCATGGACGACGTTTGAGATGGACTTGCGAGAACCGCAGCCCATTCCAAGCCCTTTCGATTTCACACGCTTCTTAGCGTCGTCCATCACGTTCATGAATACATTGTCGGACGGTGCGAATGCCTGTTGCATGTCTTTCTAGTCGACGTGATTGACGCTACTGTTAATAGTTAGCTTCTACTTCGACGACAAGCGGCTTGCCCGGCTTACTAAGTCGCCTGGGGTGCCAAAACAGTTGTCTTTACCGCAAGGTCTCAAGGCTACGAGCGATGCCAACATGATGCACGTACGAGGCATTCAATCCACGCGTCAGTGACCGCTTTACGTCTTAATTCACACTTTTCACTAACTGTACCCGTAGCGCTGCACATATCGGCCCAGGTGATGCGCTGGGTGCATACGGTAGGCACCGATAAGCCGCCTCCTCCTGCCAAGCAGCGGCAGCAAGCAAAGCCTAGTGCTCAGACCTCAGGCGGATTTTTCTCGTCCCTCTTCTCCTCCCTGGGTGTATCGACGCCGCAGCGTTCCAATACTCCACTGCCGCCCGCCCCGCCACTGCCTAAACCGAAGGAGGTTGACCTGACGGAGAACATCGACTCCAGCGTCGTTTTAACCATCTTTTCTGCAGACGTAGAAGTTAAACTTGATAAGAAAATGACCGCGGAGCTAGTGCGGAGCACGAAGAAGAATCCACCCAGTCGCATGAAGTACGAACTGATCTATACTGGCAAGGACGAGTATGATGCCAGCAAGAAGGAGGATGATGCCCAAACTCAGACCAGTGGGAGCGTGTTCCAGGGCCTCCGCGCGGATCTCGAGGGCACGGGCGCGGCACGAATATTCATTGGACACGCGACTGGGCAAACGACGGGCATAGGAGGACACATGGCTGCGAGGTTCATACCCACAGTCGAACGCGAATCCATCGACTTGGTGGATAGGAATGTCGCCGTGTGGAACCGTGAGCTGCTATACGTTGGAGGATACCTCGCGAGATCAGCGTACGAAATGGAGATGACAAACATTCGCGAGCTGTGGGATGCTGCAGCTAGCTCTATCCATGGCGCACCGCCCGACGACGAGCTCCAAGTCTGGCTACGGACACGCGCTCTTCACGCGATGAGATTCTTTACATTCAACAGATCAACACCTTCTGCCGAAGTTTCCTCGTACCTCGAGCAAGCATTTTTCAAATGCAGTTTCCAGGTTGGCAGCGGAGGTCCTTTTCCTCTCATGTCTACGGTCGGCGTCCGTAACGCCCGTGACGTTCGGCTACCCAATAACATATTTTCTGGCTTCCTCAAGCAACTCCCCGTACTTCCGGAAGGCTGGGCGGAGGAAGGCTTCGTTGCCTCGTTGCAGATCCAGAAGATAATACGGGCAATCTCGGACGAGGACGTGTTACGTGAGCTAAATCAGCGCCCTCTCAACGAGGAAGAGATGATCGGGTGTTTGAAGTGGTGGATTGGGGAAGCCAAGCAGAATCCGAGGAATCCTACCGTGACTAGATTCCGAGAACGACTGTTGGATGTTGCCGTGTTGAGCATGAAAGTTCCGGGAAAGGAAGATGAGAAGATTGTCCCGCTCAATTCGATCAAGACCTTCATCAATGCGAAGAAACTCGGCGGCTTGCTTCCTATGGATGGTCCTTTACCCCCCGACGTTCTGCCCCCGAACTTCGGCAAGTTCTTCAACCCCGACATGCTCAATGTTGCTTTCGATTGGGATGAGCTCACAATGCTCGACTGGGTTCGACATATCACCTCACCCACTGTCCTGAAAGGTCCCATAGAGTACGACATCACTCGTTCCGCACCATGGTCGGAACGGGTCCTGAACGTTTTAGCTCGTGCCTGGCAGACACTGCCCGAAATGCAGCGAGCCGGGATTACGGCTCTGCTCGCGGATAAGACATGCATACCGACATCTGCTGGCCTCCGCGTTCCAGGTGATGCTTATATGCCCAATGTGAATTTGTTCCCCGATTTACCGGTGGCGATTATGCCGTCCGGGGCCCCGATCAAGAAGGAACTGGAAAGGTTGCTAATAGACTTGAAAGTTCGCAAGACCGTGGACTTGCAAATGGTCTTTGATAGGTATTGTGCGTTCCATCAACTCACTAGGGTTATACGCTGAAAGCGCATTCAGGATGATCAAGACAGGTGACTGGACGACGGGGGACCTAACCAAGTACCTGGTGTCTGTGCAGAATGATCTGTCCAATGAAGAGATGGAGCGGCTCAAACACACCCCTGCGTTCCCCCGAGAGGATCAACAGGGCTTAGAGCAAAGACCGAAGAAGGCAAAGGCTCGTGATCTTTATGAGCCCATAGAGATCCACCGAGAACTGGGTTTGCCTGTGCTTGAGTGGGCTGGCAAAGGAAAATGGCGCCCATCTTCGGACGAAGGTATGATATGTAGCGATCCATTTCACGAACGAATGAATTTGGACTGATGACATTGCCACCCCTTCTAGCGAAACTTTTGTTTAAACTTGGTCTTCGCCGTTTCCCGCCATTGAAAGATGTCATTGAATTAGCTGCCAGCCAAAATGTTGGCATCCGCACGAAGGCGCTGCGATACTTCCTGGACAATCACCGCGATCGCTACAACAGCTATGATCCGGAGGAGTTTGCGCAGGTGTCCTTCGTACCTGCTACGGATGGAAAAAATACTCGCCTTGGTACTCCGAAGGAGGTGCATACATCATATTGTTTGCTCTGGTGCGAATTCCTCATCATGCACGCCCAGGTATTCGTCGGGCTAGAGTGGTCCGCACTGGGTTTCTTGGTGGTAGAACCGAGCCTTCGGAACGACGCTTTGGCGAAACTCAAAATCAGAGAACATCCGCCGACCTCTATGTTGGTTGCACTGCTTCAGAACTCCCCGCCGAAAACCCACGCGGTTGCTCAGCAATGGTTCACCGTACTTGCTAGTCGTGTAACAGGTGAAGCTGCAGTCGTATACACCCATATATACTCATGCCCCCCTTCATAGATTTCACTCCATCAGAGCTCAAACGATTGGAGAAGATGTCTTTCATCCCCACCATTAGTAGCGGTACTGGTGGCGCGGTTTCCATGCGGGCGCCTTGGGAATGTCATTTCGCCGGACAAACCCGTGCAGATTATCATTCGCAACTGTTCGTCTTTGTTGACTTTGGTCAGCATGCAAATAGCTTTCTGAGCGCATGTGGTGTGAAACATGCCCCTTCTATTGAGGAGATCGCCCAAATCATGTTGAACGACCCTACACACTTTTACAAACTAGCAGGTGGCCGTGACAAGTGTGTATTCACCTATGTTTCCTGCATCACTGATGTTCATGGTTGCGAAAGCTATATCAACGAATTACGGAATCTCGCGAACAACGTTAACTCATTGACACCAACAACGTTGACGCGTTTGAAGAGATCATCCGTTCTCCTCGGATCGAGGAGAGTCAAGAGGGAGGCTGGAAAGGAGCAAGGTCAGAAACCTCTCGGCGTCCACGACCTCGATGAAGACGATTGGGAGTACGAGCACGATCTTCTTCGGGCGGATCAGATTGTGATCGTCGATGACATCAACGAGCATCAGCTATTCGGAGACTCAGTCTTCATAGCTCCTCAAGAGGAACCGCTGGAGAGTGCGTTTTCGTGTGCACTCTGATATTGCTAACGTTGAGCTCCTGATGCTCAGAATTCTATCTGTCCTTGGGCTCGAAGCGGCTTACCTCCGCTGTCCGTGAAGAATACAAAACGACAGCAGAAGTCAAAGCTGACAAAATCGCGGCCGATATCCGTGCTCTCGTGCTCGAACGGCTCCCGCTGTTTCTCCATGAGCATACCCACGCACGACCAAAACGTCCATACAGCTGGTTTACCGAGCGCGATCATTTTGTAGTGCGCATGTTCGGCAAGATCGTCGTTGCGAAGACACTTATGCTTGGGCCTAATGCACCGTCGAGAACAATGGAGGCATCCGCCGTAGGGAAGACCGTTGGGGCCTCCCAGTTCCAGCTATGGCTCGCAAGTAATGCTCAGGTGGATCTTTATGAGTACGTTCTCTCATCTCTTGAACGGTGTGCCATTCCATGATACATACTTGGCTTCAGGGTTGCTACTTCCTTGAACCGCCTTCTATTTGATGCACCAAAGCCCGGTGATGCACTCCTCTTCATGACCATTCTTTCGACGGACTTGAGGTCCCTCAAGCGAAGGGGCTACAACGGCACGTTGCGTTCACATAATACCCCTTATATTACTAACTTGCTCCTTGTCCAGTGGATCGTATTTTACGCCAACAGAAGGCGGAGAAGCTGGCCGTAGAAGAAGCACGTCGAAAAGAAGTATCCGAGAAAGAACAGCAGCTTGTTTCGGACAGCAACCGTCCAGTTGCAGGGCCGACCATCCCTACTTCACATTCCGGGCCTATGGGTACGTTAGGGGAAGTTGGCAGCAGCGGCCCTCAGGATCAGAGCCAGGCCGTGCTACCGGTCCAGCCTGACGGCTCGAAACGGAACTCAAGGCCCCAAAGCATGATCAATTCGTTACAGAAATGGGGGAGAAAGCTCACTCCACGGCCTGAGCATGATCACTCTGAAAGCTCTGACATCGCAGCCCCTGTCGGAGCGTTGAGACCCGACAAATCTCACGAGATAGTCAGAGCGCAATCTCCACGACCTGGCGTAACGCCCCTCAGCAACATCGGTTCGTCCACGATTTCACTTGCCATTGACGATAGTGGGTTTACCTGACGGGACCACTCCTAGCTGCGAACATCAATACTGCAATCCAAGCTTGCCGACAAGAGCAGGGCAGTGTGCTGCATAATCGAGAACAGATGCAGCTCGTCAAGGAATCGCTAGAGGAGGGATATTGCGATGTCTCAGGACGGGCAGATGACCTTGTCCATATTGGTGCGTATTTCCTCTCAGGAGAGCCCGTTGTATCTAACATTTATTATCATGCCGCAGGGGATATGGGCGGCATCGGCGTATATGCGTCCCGAAGTGAGTCGAGGCTTCATCCATCCCGATAATTCACTAACATGCGGATTGAAGCCGTACCTGATTCAGCTTCATTAATGCGAACGAAGCGTGAAATCATTGCTCGTTTCATACACGTCATGAACCCCTTGCGAGATGTGTACCAACTCCCGCAACGCAGTCTGCATATTTTCTACGATACTGCCGGAGACCTTATTGCATTTAACCGCAACGCCAGTCTATTCTTGAATTTGCGATTCTACGAGGCTTGGCGTATGTGTTCTCTTGTATCAACTTTCAGTCATATGACTTACGATACCGCCACATGCAGACGATCAAGATGTACAACAGGGGCGCTTTGCTGCGGCGTATACCTCATGGTAAATTTATGGTGTACTTCATTCTCTCGTCCCATGTAACCTTTTTGGCAGGTTTTTCACGCTTGCGCACGAAATCGCCCATAATCTCGTCCATGCCCACAACTCAGAACATGAATTCTACTTCTCTGCCATTTGCGAACAGTACATGGGCTCCTTCGCAAAATTATTAGCTTCAACCTCGTGATGTCCCTGTCTATTCATTTCCGTCGTCATATACAGGATGTCGTGGCCTGTTCTGTGCATTTTCATACTTGCCCGGTTACATAGTATAAATCGACCAATGCAACTCAATAGGGATAGAGGTGCCCGTGCGAAGCGCACTATGAGCCACTATGTAAGGATCGCCCATCCTGTGACAACGACCCGAGGACGGCGGTAGACAGACGTTTTTCCGTTGAGCCGGATGATTGCGCATGTTTCCCCAGGCAATAGCACCCGGCACCACAAGCGGCGGTTCACTGGCGGCCTCATACACCGCAGCATCGCCGGTATATAACAATACCGCCTAACGACGAGTTCTACGCTCTCCGTATCTTACTCCAGAATGGCTGTCGCGAAGATCTTGTACTCTGCCGGAGCCGCGTTCGCCATCTATTCTACATGGAAGTTGCTCAGATGGGCGTTACGTCCGTTGTTCTCGCCTCTGCGGTCTTTGCCTGGACCGTCCAATCCCAGCTGGATCTTCGGTAACCTCAGAGACATATTCAAGGAAGATCCGATGGTGTTGCACGAGAGGTGGCATCAGCAATATGGCAGCACATACAAGTATAAAGCCATCCTCAATGTACGTGTCTCTCTGAATCAGGGAGTGAGGCATTAGCCATCGTGCATGTTACCTGCAACATTGTGCTTGCAGCTCGGCTGCATGATTTGTACCGCAACTGATTCCTTTGCTGTAGAGTGACCGCTTGAGCACGTTTGACACTCGCGCTTTGAATCATATGTTGACCCACTCGCTGGACTATCAAAAACCGGAGATGGCCCGACATCAGCTGGCCGAGATATTAGGCGAAGGGGTCCTGGTTGCTGAGGGAGAGACACATCGCAAACAACGTCGGATCATGAACCCCGGGTTTGGACCTGCCCAAATCCGCGAGTTGACTAGCGTATTCGTCCAGAAAGCTTCCGAGCTGCGTGACGGCTGGATAACCGAGATCAATAACACAGGAGTCGACGGCGTCGCAAGAATCGACGTTTTGTCTTGGTTGAGTCGAGCGACGCTTGATATCATCGGATTGGCCGGTGTGTTTACTCATATTGACAGCAGACGAATGCGTTCCTAAACTAATGCGTAGGCTTCAACTACGAGTTCGAATCTTTGAACCCTAATGTTCCCCGCAACGAACTGAACGAAGCATTTTCTACTATCTTTCGTGCCGGAGAGAGCTTCAATCTGTTCCCGCTCTTCCAGTACTTTATACCGCCTTTACGCTTGATAGTGAGTTGATTTTGCTCTCCCTCGGCGCCGCGCTTGACAACCGACGCCTCAGTCCAATGATCGGGCCCGCACGGTCAAATTCGCGCAAGAGACTATGAGACGCATCGGCACCAGGCTCATCGCAGAGAAGAAGGCTGCTGTACGAGCTGAGAAGGATCGTGGTCATGTCGGGAAGGATGATTTACGAGGTTGGCAGCGTCATATCAGTCAAGGTATCCCCATTCTGAAAGGCAGCAGGTCGTGATCTGCTGAGCATCCTCGTGCGAGCCAATATGGCCGTCGACGTACCGGATAACCAGCGTCTCAGCGATGAAGATATACTCGCACGTGGGTCGTTTCGATGGTTTCTCTGGGCACAACATGATATGGACGTCTTTGTCAGAGATCCCGACATTTATGGTCGCTGGACACGAGACTACCAGCACCGGCACGACATGGGCATTGTTCGCATTGACACAGCGACCCGATGTTCAGAGCAGACTGCGCGAAGAGTTGCTGGAATTTCCTTCGGACTCGCCGACGATGGACGAACTGCAAGCATTCCCATATCTCGATGCGGTCGTGCGCGAGACAATGCGTGTGCATTCGCCAGTGCCCAGCACCGTCCGTGTCGCCATGAAGGACGACGTTATACCGCTGGCTGAGCCATTCATTAACCGCAATGGCGAGTCACAGTCCGAAATCCGGTAAATATAGTGTATACCATCGGTTGGCGTGCCTGACTCATGAACCAACTTTCTGTAGGATATCGAAAGGCGAGACTATATTCATTCCCATACTTGGGGTCAATCGCGCCAAGAACATCTGGGGAGAAGATGCCCAAGAATTCAAGTCAGTGGAACTTCAACCTTGGTCGTACCCTTGACTAACGCTAGCTCAGGCCTGAACGATGGTTGCAACCATTGCCAGACACAGTCACCAACGTTCCTGGTGTATGGGGCAATTTGCTAACCTTCCTCGGCGGACCACACGCTTGCATCGGTTACAGGTTTTCCGTCGTCGAGTACGTCAATCCATCACGCTTTATGTCTCACCTTCGATACTTACGAAACGACCCTGTGCAGAATGAAGGCTTTACTGTTTGTGCTGATCAGAACCTTCGAGTTTGAGCTGGCGGTGCCTGTCACGGAGATCAAGAAGAAGTCGACGGCGGTTACAAGACCGCTGGTGGCGAGCGAGAGTGATAAAGGCAATCAGTTGCCATTGTTGGTAAGATTGCATCAGCCTCAAGTGTGAAGTGCATCAAGGCAACGCCCATCTATCCATGTAATGTAATTTCCATCGGTTGATGTACGATACGTGTGATTTTGGCACTGTGCGTGCTACTTGTCGCGGCCAAGTACTTCAGCCCAGGCTCAAACGTCTTGTTGGGGTCGGAAAGGACTCGCAGCAAGTAATATCGATTATTAGACTAGATTCAGGTAGCGGGATAGACAGGTTCAGGGCAATAACAAATACTTGGCCAAGAAGACGGGGAACTTGGGGGTACCGAGACCTGCATATGGCGTCAGTAAACGACATAATGCCGTAGGTAGAAGTAAGCGCGAACCTGTCACAGGATCCCATCCCTTCGTGGCGTTGAATCCCAGAGTGCCTGTAAAACGCGGTTCAGAAGTCGTTGCCTTACAGAATTATAAACAGCACTCACCGCAGCCCGGGTTGGTACCATTGGTGATATCGTTGAAAGCACCGTGGAACGAGCTGGAGTAGATCTAATCAAGTAATAGGTATGTCAGACGTGGGCACGGCGATTATTGCTGAAAGACCGTACAGTGGGGTTGATGAACCCGATTGGCTTCTTGCCGATAGCCAGACGCGCATCGTTCACCAGCGAGAGCATGGCACCGATGACGGGGCTGCTCTATATCACACAAACCAGCAATCTCAGCACCTAAATTTTATTCCGACCCCGAAAGCGGTGATTCACGAACCGCAGACGTTCCAAACACCCGTGCAAATTCACCGTCGACCGCGACGACGTAGTTAGCTCCGTTGGCGGAGATATCCGGGAAGCCGCGGCTCGTGCCGGACGTGTTGTACCTGGCCGACGTGTATGGTGGGGGGTAGTTCTTCAGGTAGGACTCAACGGCCGACTTCTGATACGACGGGATGGCGAAGTTGTTGGAGAATCCTCCTCCAGAGTAAATGACCTCTGTTCAGCCGGTCATTAGCAAACGCCACGTCACCGATCGCGGACGACTCGAGACGTACCGTAGGTGGCAGTCTCAGGAGCAAAGACGGATGCGTTAGGCGAAATCTGGGTGGCACCCACGGACGTGATGTAGGGGCAAGAACCAGGGAACGACGGGTTGAAGATCGTGCCGTTTGTGGTCTGAGATCCTGTATCACGTGTGAGCATATAGGTCCAACGAATGTGCGACGAGCTTACCATCGGGGTTCAGGCACAGACCACCATTGCCCGCGACACCATAGTCTGCAAGAAGAGTAGTATAGTTGGAAGATATTCTATGAATCATGTCTGGGGCGAGCACGGACCTCCGGAAGAGTAAAGGACCGTAACACCCATCAGGCCAAGCTTGGCGTATTCAGCGCACTGCCTTGCCTCGTACGCGGGGCTGAGATCAGCTTCGTCGTAAGCATAACTGGTGCTGATCACGTAGGCCGGCTTGGCGGTTCCGCAGTCCTCCGGGCCCTCGTAGGCACCGTCGTACCCGGTATAAGGGTCGGGGTAGACGCCGTCCTGGTCGGGATCGTCACCGCCCTCGAACGTGCAGTAGCTGCCGTCGATGGCGTCGAGGAAGTTGTTGAAGGACGCGCCCTCGACGATGTCGCCAACCTGGTAGAGGGTGATGGGCGTGGTCTGCGCGAGAGCGTACGCGTATTCGAGGTCGAGGTCGGATTCGCCGTTGTAGCTGAAGCTCTCGACCTCGGTCTGGAGGACCGCTTTGAAAGTAATATCAGTTTTGTCGCGCTCGGTGGGAGCAAACGATGTTCACGGACCTCCATCCACAAGGTAGGTGTTGGGGCGCGTTCCGAGCAAGTTCTTGGAATAGTTGGTGAAGAACAGATCCAAGTCGGCAGGGAGGTAGGCCTGAGGGGTGTATTCGACTATGCCATAGCTGTTCTTGTGGGCCGCGATGGGCACGTACGCGATACCGTACAGGGCGCGGAGGCAGTTGGGGGTGATCTAGTCGCATGTGAGCAAGTTGTGTGGCGCGCTGCATAGTCCGGTCGCTTACGTGAGTGTTGCAGTTCTCCAACTCGTCGATCAGGTTGTGAACGGTGCCGGCAAGCTTGGGGAAGACGGTACCATACCCGGGCTTGCCGATGGAGGTGGCCGCCTTGCTGTTCGGGTCGAGGTCGCGACTCCTGAGGGCGGGTGAGTCGAAATGGACAGAGGGGGTGACGATGTCGATGTGAGGAGCAACGTGTTCAGGAAGGCGGTACGCGTCGCAGGCTACGAGGTGTGATCAGAAGGAGACGAGAATGCAGGATATGCTCTGCTCACCAACGTGCTCCTTGCCAGAGCTGTGGGTGTAGACGTAGTACTCCGTTCCCAAGAGCCGTTCGGCCTCCTCTACGGTGGCATTGACTTCGATCCAGCCCTTTCCGCCGGCAAGCTTGGTCCTGTGCCCAGCAATTCCGCTCTCAGAAAGCCAGGAGCGGACGACGTCGATGGTATCGTCGCTAGGTGCAAACGTCTTGGCCACCTGGGCCGCGCTCCAGTGGTTACCGTAGTTGGGAGACTCCGGGTGCGACACGTCGAGGAGGAGTTCCTCGAGCTTGTCGAGGTTGGACTGGACGAGACCGAACCTCAACGGCAAGATGGAGTCCGCCGCGTGCCTCTTGACGCGATCCCATCCGAGAGGGGCGTGCCTCCGCTTCTCGTGCAGGACGGAGGGGGACGCGAGAGCCAGTCCGGCGAGGAGGGCGACGACCAGAGAACGCGCCATGAGGGAAGCACCCGACGGGAGTAGGGTCAGAGGGTGATGGTTACGAGGGCATTATGGGGTATTATATACGCCCGCATTGCATACTGGACAGAGACATGAGGACCGTCGCTGATAAGACAAGAAGCCAGATGGTGTAACGTAACCTGGACTTCGCGACAATGTGGTTCCAGTCGAGTTGATGGATGGTCGCTGAGGACGGCAGGGGTTCGGTGCCGACGGTGATCAGCATCCCGCCCTGGGCCGTCGCGCACAACGACCGAGAACAGCAGTGGTGATCGTCTGCAGGCTCCGGCACGTTGCGTAGTACGACAGAGGATCGGCGTGGACCGACTGGCGCTCAACGCGCTTCGCAACGAAGATGGAAGCGGTGCGCGTCTAGGCACAAGCGCCAGTGCATCAACGCGACAGCGAGCAATCGTAGCGCTGCTCTGACGCTGGGGGTGATCGATCTCCCTCGTGCATCCGACGACGATCATGAGTGCCTATTTATACATCACCTGTACGGTCCTCGGTGCCATAATTTGGCGGTGGGAATACAGCATACGTCCTGACATAGCTGGGATTTTCTTCTGTGTGCGTCAAGTGTGCGTCAACGTCAGTTCAGACTCCGCTTGTAATTTGATACCATCTCCGCCTCAGCCGGACCAATCGGGTTTGTCAAATCGGAGTTCGGGGAGTCGGAACCCGGCGCTTGGCCCCCCCTTATGTACTCACGTTTCTGGCGAAGCGCCTACTCACGTGACTATTTTTGTGCCGAAGGTATTCATGGTCGACGTACCGTCGGCGGCTTCAGCAGTCAGCTCAACTCTGCCTGCTTGGTCCGCTTTATAGTGGCTATTGCTGTCGTTGTCAACGTCTCGCGATGGCTTTGAATCTGGCACGGCACTCGTTTAATCGGTGCTTCCACTATACCTCCCGATCCATCTGTCATCCCACAACATATGGTCGACATAGGATGCTCTCTCTCGTGAAGCAGCTGCACACTGCACCGAATCGGCCTGGACTACGTTCGCTGCCGTGGCCTGCTCAGAAAAACGCAACTTTGCTTCGTGTCTCGCGGCGGACATTGCATACGACTTCAGGTGCGCGAACGTCATTCGAGTCGAAGGTCGTGCAGAGTTGACACCATCTCAAAGCTGTGGCACATGGGGATATTACGCGTCCAGAACCTGGAACTGGGTGAGAATAGTCTTTACTGCCATTGAGGTCCATCTATTTGGGACAAATACTTCACATTCCACCAACACATGGAGCTTGCGCTAACATGACCCATTTACAGGATCAAGTTACATTTCAAGGATTCCAAGGGGAATTTGATCAAAACAGTCGAGGCGAATGAAGGCGACGACATTCTATCTATTGCTCACGAGTACGACATCGACTTGGAAGGTACGGCCGCGCGCCCACTGGTCAAGAGTGCTTCTTACGCTTCCTCAGGGGCATGCGAGGGCTCGATAGCATGCTCAACTTGTCATGTCATCCTCTCTCCAGAGCATTATGATCTGCTCCCTGAGCCGTGCGATGACGAGAATGACATGCTTGACCTTGCTTTCGGCCTCACGGACACGTCACGACTGGGCTGTCAAGTTCGCCTCACCAAAGACCTCGATGGGATAACAGCTACATTGCCATCAGCGACCAGGAATATGTTCGTTGACGGTCAGTCCTGAAGTACAAGAATCTGTATACGTGCCTAGTCCTCACCCCTCATCTCAATGGCCGTTCATAGGACATAAACCAACGCATCATTAAACGCAGGTCTTCTGCGACACTCCGGCCTTTCCTGCCTAACACGAAATCTCGGAGGGCCTACATCTACACTATACTCGGATGAGCATACTCCACTAACCACATGCTTGTCCTGGATAATACCTGCAATAATCCCACCTCTCACACACCGACATGCTCGCGTCATTGGTCTGGCTGACTGCTATAAGCCACCCTATAACGCGATAGATTTTGGTTCGCGTTCAAGTGCACATATATGTACATGAGTTATGCTGCAAACATCGATGCTGTGTAGAATGCAATAGCGGTCGCCATGATCAACAATGCAAGAGAGATATCCAGAAACACAAGCGAATGGTGATTAAGATATGTGATGTGCTGCCTGATTGTAAACAGATTGTGTCTTCGTGAGGAGTCGTATAAAGTTCATGAAGGATTAGGAATGATCCGCGGAGCCTATGCCGGCGCAAGCAGTCGTGTCTGCCTCCGCCTCTGGAGGTCGTTGCTTCCGGTCACAAGGACGGCGAACCATCCGACAAGAGCGACTACGACCTTGAGCATCCACGCAGGATCCGCGACGTTCACTAATTGTACCACTGCCTGCGCGATTAACACCTGCGGCTGGGGGATCATGGCACGGAGGTCGAGATCGGGCAAAGGTGCGGCGTGGCCGCGCCGGCTCCGAGGCGATGGAACGGGAGACAGCCTCGGGGTCGGCGGATCCATGGCGTACGCGCTCATCGCTCCGGGCATCGACGGTGGCGAAGATGCAGTCATTGAGGGCGACAAAGCCAGCGAGCCCGCAGCACGAGAGATAGGCATCACGATTAGCTGAGGCGACACTTCGAGTTGCCTGATGCTCGGAACCGGCGATGTGGGACGCGTAGGAGGCCGTTGCACGGTTACTAATGCTAGAGCATTCGAATTGGCGTCCGTGGCACGAAGGGACCAAGCCGGAGCGTTGGGGAGGTCCTGCAACGAAGGCGTGCTGCGCATCTGCAGCGGCCGGCGAGGGGGCGGTGACGGCGAGTGGGGAGGGCTAGGCAGGCGTGACAATACTGCTTGAGGTGTCGCCGAGGGCGAGTCCAGCTGGATGGACGAGGGAGCGGTCGCGTCAGCGGCGCTAGTGGTGGTCTCCAAACGCTCATATGACAGAGAGGGTGTAGTGGGTCGCGACGAAGATGTAATCACAATAGGTGGCAATGCTTGGGATAAAACTTCAGCGATGGCACTTGGCGCATGCATCGAGCTAGCTGCCAGGAACGAAGGTGAGGGTGGCGGAGACAGGAGAGGCGATGGCGCTCCTGCTACATGCCCCGCGAGTATATTTTCGATCGATGGGTTCCTGGAGGCCCACGCTGTTGCCCCGATATCGTCGGGACTTGTCTTGGACGGGACCAAATCAATCGAAACGGTGTCCAGCTGCAATAGCGGAGCGAGGGGTGAAGGTAAAGTCTGAGAACAAGGGAGAGTCCGATGCGCCAATCCTGAGCCCACATGTGAAGCTGAAAGTGAATGCCCAATAGATCCAGGGGTCCTCCCTGATGTCCGGCTATTTTTTGCGAGTGCGATCGCAGCATTCGAGGTAGCCGATGGAGGTGAGGTGCCGGAGGAGGAAGCTGATAGGGCCGAAGCTTGCCCTGGAGGAACATGGGGATAGATTGCGTATGGCGTGGATAATTTGGAAGTAGCATCGAGTGCGTGCTCTAGCCTGAGAGTAGGCCGCGACGCAGCAATCTCAGTAATCGCTGGGGCGAAGAGCATTGGCGATGATGGACGTAGAGGCGACGACGGAGTGAGGGAAGGTATTCGAGACAGCGAGTCTTGCTCAGAGGAGTTTGCGTTCGACGAAATTCCTGAGTACAAAGCGTCATTCAATAGGTCATACTGAGCGGCATTAATTGCGTATAAGTCGTTAAAGGGATCCAGTCTGCGTTGAGGGGGTAAACGTGTCGGTCCGCGAAAGACAGACAGCTCCATTGCATCCGATGACACTCGGTTGATCGGTACGCATACCTCAAAGCTGCGCCGCGACTGATCGAGACGATGATCCTCTGGGAAACAGCGAACGCTGTGGAGCTCGGTCGCGTCTTCCTCATCTCGATCTTCGAGCGAAAGGAGTGGCTCGTCCTCCTAGGCACCGTGAAGCACATCTTCGCCGCCGTTCGCGGCTGATAGACTGGAGATAGATCGCCGCCGGGATCCGGTGCTGAAGAGCCGGGCGCCGGAAAGACAGTCCCATACGGGGCGTGACCGAATACCACGAGAGCGCAGACGCTTGGCGCGGTATACAGCGAGCAAAGCTAGGCATAGAATAACGAAGACAGCCGCGACAGAGACAACTGATTCAACGCCAAAATGTGACTGCAAGTCAGAAATGAACTAGCGAGTATTTACATACGTAAACAGCGACTAACCGATAATGGCGGTGCGATCCACTACGGCGGTTGCAACGTTCGTCGAGTATGCGGCCAATGCGAATATGAGTTTCATGGCTTTCTTACTCTCTGCCTCTATGGGACGTGTCAACACAGTCGATCCCCCAAATGGAACCCCGGGGTCCGAGCTTGGCATCCACGAGTTAGATATCATATGAAAACCAGTCCGCTCAGCATCGGTCGCGGAGGACACCCTTTTGTTGATGAATCAGCTCAGGGAAGTCACTCCGAAGTGGGGTGGTGTGTACGGCTTACCACTGTACTTGGCCAGCCGATGGCGCTGGGCTGGCAGCGGCGCCGCGAGCAAGGCATACAGAAGCAGCCAGGAGAATGCTCAGCATCCCGCAAATCTCGCTGATTGTGAGATATCAGCGTTAATGAGAAGTAACAGGAAGAACAGCGTACTCTGGGCGACCTGCAAACTCGCTGTCAGCGCACCGACAAACCCGGGCCCCTGAGTGCGTCCGCGCCGGAACGACGTGTCAATGACTTCCGACACAGCCACGTCTGTCGTGGATGGCCTCGTTCTCGACCACGATCTGAGCCGCGATCTCATCTGCTGGATTTGCTACGGAGACAAGACTAGTCGAGCTGACTTCGGGACAGGATACAAGATACAGAGGGCTAGGCAAGGCTCAGCTGCAGAGGAATTAGCACTGTCCACTACCGGGATCGTGGGCGAAACAGCGTGCGTTCAAGTTCCGTTATAAGGTGGTACAGTGAGCATTACCTGACCCTCTCCCTCGTTTCTTGGCAGCTCTGTCTGTGTTGTACCTCTGTGTCTCTATTACTGGTCACTGGACTCACGCCAAAGCATGTCAACTAGGATACTCCCTCGCGGTCACATCGATTCAACGGTGTTCGTCAGAAGGTGTGCTACGAAGTAACGGAGCTATCGTTGTTGCAGTCAGGTGCTACCATGCCTCCGAGAAAGACGCTACCTCGTGGAGGTACCTTCTATCCGTCGAACGACTCAGCCACGTATCGTGATCTTCTTCTCTTCGAGGAGCGTCTCAAGACGAATGCAGCTGCTCTCAAGCGCCGTAAATCACGATATCGACGTGTGTTCTACGCTTCATCATGATACGTTCAACCACTGACATCGCGTGGCAGTATTCCTTCTGCAATTACTCGTGATCATCGCCTTTCTCCTGAGCGAAGTCCATCTCCAGACCAATTTCCTGGCTATCCCGTATGCTCTATTCCTGCGCAAGCTGCTCCCGGATATCTATACCCCCGAAACTCCGGTATTGCTTCACCCGTACTTTGCGAGCGGGATGCTCTTTGTTAGTGTCACCACGCTGGTTCTGTTCTTTGCGAGTGGTATGTATTCAGAGAAGATCGGCTACGCAAACAGGTGCGTTTGTTCATATGCGCTCCGTGTGACAATGTTTACCGATGGCATTAGATATGTACCGCATGCCAACAAGGCACTTCGCTCATTCAACATGTATCTGAACGTACGGCAGCCGCCGTTACGATCAAAGTATCCTCTGAAAGCGCTGTTAACGCCTTTCTCTGTGTTCTTCTCTGCCAACCCCGATCCAACAACCCCGACATCACCACGCACTCCACGCCGCAGTCCCAGTCCTTCTCCTTGTGAGTGTTGTCATCGGTCGGATCCCGCAGCGAACTGAACATTGATGCTATATCAGTATCAGCTCGCTCACCTTCCTCGGCGCGGCCTATAACGTCCATTCCACCATCTACGAATCCTCGCGGTGAACTCATATTTTCCTCCCGCGTTGCCCCCGCCTTTCGCGAAGGGTACGAGCGATACCGCTCGGCGTTTGAACGCAAACGAGCCGAACGCGCTTCGTTGATGCGGGCGAACACATGGCTGGGGTGGCTGACTATTCAAGTGAGAAACCGCGTTCTGGGACCGGTGATCGGCGTCAAGGAGGAAAAACCGGTGGTGGTTAGTTTACCGCCGAGTCGGACGCCGAGCAGCGCAGGAAGGGGCAGGCCAGGCAGCACGCAGGGCAGTAGGAAAGGAAGTCCGATACCGAGAGGGAGAGTACCTCGAGGCAACACCCCACCTGTTCCGGGTGGTCCTCACATTGGACAGAACACCGGCGGTAGTCCGCTTGCTAGCGAAGTAACGCGCAGCAACGTCGATGAGAGCTAGCATAAGTCTTGTATCATATTTCTTACCCGACGTCAGTCGAGCAAATACCGGCGCAATCTCCGCCCTAGATACCTCAGAGCTTGGCAGAAGTAAATGGCGGTTTAGGACTTGTCGACTCCAGTAACTTCTCTAAACCGACGCGGAGCGCGGAGCCTGCACTGTCCATTGCGACGCTCTTCCTCGTCGCACTGTCCACGAACACATGCGTATATCCGCCTACAGCGGACGGCTGACTCTTCCCCTCCTCGAACACCCCAACCTCATAGGTCGCCGACCTCTTACCGAGCTTCGTCACGCGGAGCCCGAGATCGAGAACTGCAGGGAAGGACAGAGGGGAGAAGAAGGTGCATGACGAGGACACCACCAGTCCGATTAAGGGCGAGGATGTTGGGTTTTGACCACAGTGCTCAACGAGATATGCGTTGATGATACTATCGAAGAAATGATAGTAAAGAGCGTTGTTGATGTGTCCGTATTGGTCGTTGTCACTCCTGGATGCGGGAAGTCGGCAGCAAACGTAAGATGACCACCGCCACGGAGAGATTCAAACGGTCTGATACTGACCATCGTGTGCGATACGAGAGGAAATAAGAGTAGTCCGAGCGTATGCGGGCTTTACCAGAGTTGGTGGCGGAAGTCATTGCCTGAGGTTCGGCTATGGACGGAACCATAAATTGCCGAACTTGTCCGATTCAGGCTGAGCAGCAATATTGGTCATGAAAACCTCCTGGGACTTCGCATTGCATTCAGGTTCTACCGAGAGAACCACGGGCACAGAATATGACAACAGCGGCAACATGTCAACGCAATTAACTAGTAATGCAACGATCCTCCAAGCCTGCAGCCCTTCGCACGCAAAGGGTACTTACAGGAAGACGCCCCAGGCGCCAGGACCGCCATGTAACCGTGGCAAGGGGATAAAGCTGAGATTATAAACATCGGGGACTTGCAGCACGATAACGTTAAGGAATGGCGTCGGGATGTGGGAGCGATCTGTTTAGAGATCATCCCACACCCAGGTCATACCGGACAGGCGACCAACGGACTCGTCCGCGAGCTGATCGAAGGCGGAAGGCGAGAAGTCGAGGTCGGTGAGAGCACATCCGGTGCAACGATCCGTGATGGTAACGCTGACGCTCTTGCCTTTGTCTATAAATGACAGTAAGAACCTGGCGCGCGACTCATAATGTGGCAAAAAACGCACAGGTCGCGGTCACCTTCTTGTTGCAAATAGGATTATTGTTGGGGTTGACGCCATTGTAACCCCTGCGAGCGAGCGGATAGAAAGATTGAGCGATAGATAATCGTAATGACGTGCGCGACTCACGGGAATGTATCGAACAACAAGTGGGACACGGCAGCGATGTAGTCGGTGTCCGTGTTGGTGATTCCACAAGCGCCGAGACCAGTGGCGTAGAACGTGCCTTGGCCAGTTTGGGTACCAATCAGGAAGCTCTGGGTGAAGGTACTGGAAGCGGCAGAAGACGTCTTGGTGGCAGAGGCCTTGGTAGTGGTCTCCTGCTGCTTGGTCGTGGTCGGTTTGGCATTAGTGGTAGGTGCCACCTGGGAAGTATGCGTAGACGAGGGAGCCTCCGAGTGTTTGGAGGACGTCGGAGAGCTCGAGGCTTCCTCAAACGAGCTGCTGCTAAGACTTGGCACGGGGGCGACGTTCACGATCGTTGCAGCGTCACTGGAAGTAGCAGCGACGGAGGAGGAAGCGGGGGTGCTAGAACTGGGAGCAGCGGTCGAGGAGGCGCTACTGGACCGGGTTTTGCAGCGTCCGCTTGCCCTCTTCTTGTTGCGGCGAACCATGCGCTTGTCCGAGGAGAGCGGTGCGCGCTCCTCCACCGCGATGGGTTCGGGGGCGGCAACCGGAGCGGGGACGGGCTCCGGAGCGGCATGGCGTGCAGCAAGCGCGTGATGACGGCGCGCATCGGTAGCATGCGGGCTCGCAAGGGCCGAGAGAGAGAAGGCGGCGAGGGCGAGGGCGAGGGACTTCGTGAGGCCGAACATGGTAGCAGGTATGTCTCAAAACCGGGTAAAGAGCGGGAGGGTCTTGTTGGAGAAAGGACCGAGGACGGGTCTTTAAGGAAGACTAGAAAACGACAACCTGCTCCTGCTCGACGGCGGTTAGCAGAAGGTACGCGGAAATGAGGCGGTGGGCCGTTTACCTGCACAACCAGAGGGCGACGAAGGGAACACGGGTTCCAGAACGATCCCCTCGCCTTGGATATAAAGGATTTCTCACGTGACGCTTTTGTAGCTTAATTTCATCACACCCGGCGTGCGCACGCCGCCGGCGCAGCCCCTGCAGTACAGTTGTTGTCGGACGTTCTCAGACATCTCCACTACTGGAGCCCCTTTGCTGTCGTTACGAAATGTGGGTCTAGAACAGCCACTTGCTCTACCTACGGCGCCTCTATAGGGGGCGCAGATTCGCCCAGTACTCCTGTTCTCCTGAGCCTGCTACCGCCAGATCGACGGCAGCCGGCAGGTCGTCAGCGCTTGTCCCACGAGGCGTCAACGTCGCAACCAGATCCAACGCAAGGCGTCGCAATGCGCTAGACGGCAGCCGGCAAAAGGGTCCTGGTAATCTCCCCTTTGTGGGATGAACGAAAGAGAAATACGGGACGAGACGTAAACGCAAGGCCGACGCCATCTGATGACCCGTGCACGTCAGGAGCCAAACGTGGAAGAGAAGCGCGCTGTAATTACCTCTTCTAAGGCAGCGCCGGTGCGCCTTTGGCTCAAACGGAGCAAGACGCGTAGTATGGCCTGCATGCATGCATTAGGTTCGTGTATCGAGGAACTGGAATGCCTCCCCACCTCGGTGGCTTCGCCGTTACTCGTTCCGAGCTCCCAGAGGGTCTTCGGCAAATGCAAGATCCATTCCTCGATTTTGGGGTGGTGTAAACCATGCACGCCGCCCCTATACGATCGCTGCGTGCTGAGCTTCAGAAAGGAGGCTTAGTCATTACGCCTGGTCGGCGATTGATGGAAAGACCTACCAGGACGAGACGACCGAGGAACTCCACTGAATACCTCTTGACCTGCGCAGTGCTTGAGGTGCGGATAGCGTGTTCTACAACTACCTGCAGGACTTCGTTTGTGTCCTCTGTGTCACGCCCCGCGTCCATTAAGCACCAGATGGTCGGAAGAAGTACCGTATAAGCCGCAGATGACAATGATCGACCGACACCGGACGAGTTACCCTCGCCTCGCAGAAGTCGGAAGATATACGCGCGGACGGCAGCAACCTGAACTTCAGATATCATAAGGGACTGCCCAGCCTGACGCCCCGCCTTTTTACGCGCGGCTGGTCCGGCTGTCGAGTGGGACCGGCTAGCCATGATCACCAGAGATGTAAGCTCGCAGTATATCAGATTCAGGTCTTGGAACGCCTGTTCGACCTAGACCCGGCCGATCATCAAGGGCTCTACGAACGATATCCAAAACCCCGCACCTTGACATCCCGTTTATTTCCATTAGGAACGAAGGGGAAGTATGGCGAAAAATACCCCAGCAATGTCCGAAGGTTATCGAGAGTGGAAATGAGACCGCTATACTGCTAGAAGTGTCTTTGTCAACCAAACACGCTGCAGATGAACAGGACAACGCGCCTGTGATCTTCCGCGCAGGAGGCCTCCATGAATGCTTCTCACAATCTGCGCCACAGAGAGGACGAGCTGCAGTTCCGTCTCAGAAGGGGCCGAACTTGGTGAAAAGACCGTGGGAGCAGAATCGAGGAACGTGGCCACCAGCAGGGGTTGTAGTGAATGGGCAATACGCTACGGGTGCAAAGCCGTCAGAACTTGAAACGGACGCGTACATGCATGATCAGTCATCACCTGCAGGTAGGACGACCGAGGGTCACAAGTCTCGCTTGCACCAGGATTGGCACCAGCTACCTCCTCCTGCAGATCGACATTCGATAGGTCTGCCAATCTGCATTGAGATACATGGGAAGCGAGCGCCAGGTTAAACTGTTCCATCCAGTCCTCGTCATTTTCCGGACTGATTTCCGTCTTCCAATGGCATAACCGCGGATGGCCAATCGACCGGGACTCGATAGAAGGACGAAGCAAAGAATCGAATGCCTGGAACTCGTGCAGAGAATCGAAGGCAGAAGCTATGTACCATGTTGAGATTGTATTGGACTCCGGCGAAGCCGTCTTCACGGTGGAGTGAGATGACGTGATTGCAATATGCAAAAACTTCGCGAGAGATTTCAAGATGATCGCTTTCGACTACGAGTATCTGAGCTCTGCCCTCGTCATGAAATCGATGAGCACATACCACAGTGGACAACACAACGCTTGCAGTCGAAGTCGCTTGTGGCGGGCCAGACTCGTTGCTCTCGCCAAACTTTGTGCCACCATTCAGAATACCGAGGTATCCTTCCAACACTCGGCTACCATGGCTCGCGCTATCACTGGAGCTGCTGATCGTTATCTTGTCCTTGCTTTTGCCCTTCATCGCCTGATTGAGGAGGGCGGAGTTTCGCGCGCCATCATCCCAGCCTGCCACCACCATTTCTGGAACCGCCTCCATGAGGACGTCGAGAAGTTTGACAGCATCTATCCTGATATCCGGAAAAATGTGCGTCTGAGCGGATGTGGTGAACAGCAGTAAGAGCGGTGTGTGCGGAGCTAGGGTCTCCCGTGATAGTTGCGGCTGGGATAATAGCCATGATAGAAAGCTTAACAACGTTTTGCGAACACTAGCGTCATCGTCTGCAATAACGCGGACACAAGCATTCACGAGGGCGGTTAAATGGGGCGGGAGGAGCTCCGGATGGTCCGTGAATAGCTCCCGAAGACCGTGCAATGCATCTGACCACACGTAGGCATGAGCCATTCCGGGAGTCTTCATACTAGCAACAGATCTCACCTTTACGGGTTCCGGGGTTGTAGTGCTTCAGATGAATGATCAGGTCGTCGAAGGTCAGTTTACGCTTGGTGCTTGGACCAGCGTCTCGGTCAGAGGCGATACTCTGATTCGGTAGATTGATGGCTAACGTTCCTTGGGACCATGATCAACTGCAGAAGGAAGGGGAGGGCTTAAGGATACTCACAGCGTGCCTTGAAGGAGGTGTCTATCACATTTGACGGCTGCTGCTTGCCCTTCCCTAGCTTCAGTTTCGCTTTGTGAAAGTCGGCCGCTTTCTCCTTCTTTTTCTTCGTCGCTTTCGGCATGCTGCGGGATTTGACCGGTGTAAGAGCGTTGAGAAATCTTGCGCTGAAAGGGCCCACGGTGGCGTTCGATTCGGGTGAAATTGACCAGCGCGTGAGGTGAAAGTCGCCTTTCACCCAAAAATCAGGTGAATGGGGTGGCGTGCGGGTGAAATGGATTCGCCCGAAAGTGAGGTGAAAATAGCCCACTGGCATTTTTCTGCGAGGAAACACATCATATTGCTGCCAACTACTGCTAGACATACCTCCTTGAGATTCTATTGGTTATTGTGTTATATACTTGTACTCTACACTCTGCATGCACAGCGACGGGCTGCCTTGCACCGATACTATTCGCAAGTCCAAGTCGGCTGCTTTGGGGGTGGAGCGCTGATGTAAGCGGTTGCATTACGCGCCACGACCCGCTTTGCGATACGACTTTCTCTGCTTCCACCATTACCAACGACCAGCAAACGGACTTCAAAGCAAAGCATGTAGCTCCGTACGAGACAAAGAAGCAGCGCGTAGGAGATCATCTATGATCACCGATGCTGAAGGAGGCGTTAGGCGACAACTACCCTCGACTGCCAATGCAGACCCT